TTCTTTAACATGGTACATTTATATTCAAAGTTTCACCTGGTCTATGAACATAAGATTTTATATCTACCACTTGTTTATATTAAACTATAAAATATATTTTCTATAAATTTGACTTTCTGGAGTTTTATTTTACACATCTGGAAGCATGTCACTTTAATGGTAGCTAACATTCTGCTTGTTAACATTTAACGATAAAGGGTAGACATATATGAAACATAGTGTCATTTACTTCCCTTTAGTAATCACCCTGAACAGTATTTACTTCCCTTTAGCAACAACCATAAACAACAATGACTTGAAAAAAATTAATGGGAAGCTATTAACCTTTACAATAGTATTATTTCTTATGTTTGAAAATCAAGACACATATACAATTAATGAAATAAGCAAAAAGAAGTCATTTATAAGGAGAGGTGGAGTTTTTTTTTAAATGTACTTGGGTTAATATATCTCAATATGTCAGAATGTCAACAAATACTATATTCATATCTTCCTTATTTTGGCAGATTAAAAACACTGAACTAAAGTGCACTCTGTAATTAACAATTAGCATTCATTCTAAATTAAATTTCTTTCCAAATAAAATCTTAATTTAGAAATGTAATCATCCAAATTTCATACTTTATATGTTTTTTATGACACAGTGGTATTTCAGCATACCATATAAATTAATTGTATTGGATAAAAATCATGCAATGTCTTATCACAAATATTAAATAACTTGTTCTTAAATACCAACAATACATAATATATTAAAAATTCAAGGCATTTTGATTTGAGGTGTATTAGATTGTAAAAAAAAAATATGACACCTTAACGTCTTTACAATTTAAAGCCAATATTTCCACTGCATTATAATTTCAACATGTAGTATTAAAATTATTTTTTATGTACATTTTTTTGAAAATCAATATCTAAACTTAGTTCAGACAGCTGCTTGTAATCATTTTATAATATTTTTAACCAACTAGTTAAAATAAAAACAAATTCTCAAGTAGCACAGGTCAACAGGCACTAGTGATACCATCCCTACTTCATCGATGTCATTCACTTTTAAATTACATTGCAGATATCTTGAGGCTCTCAATCAACCCTTTTGAATGTAAGTGGCAATAAATGTATACAAATTCAGACTCTATACTGTTGACTGTTTGAGGACTGCCAGGATGAGCCTGTTATACAAGTAAAGCAACATCAGTTAATATCATGGCTTCCAAAACAGTGTGGAGGGAGTGTGGCAATATAATGACCCCATCTGTATCCAGCCTGTTCCTGCACTGAAGGGTGAATCTTAGCCACGGTTTGAAAATCCAAAAGTCACAGAATTTTCTTAAAAGAATTCTCTTAAACTTTTACCCCATGAGCATATTGTAAAAATCTCCTGTTACAAGTTCAAACTGCTATAGAACTATGAAAAATGCTTCAATACTGATGAAACTTGGCACAAATTTTGACTGGACCATAGCCTCTGTAACAGCATGCTCAATCGTAAATTTTCTGTTACCATGGCAACGGGCGACGTCTTAAAATTGCCAAAAATCACTATTTTGCATTGTTTTTTTTTTCCCATCAGAACTGATTTCAAAGTGCTGTGACTACTCAATGAATTAAGATAAAGTAAAAGGCTTTTCATCATCGGATTCTAGTTACCCTAGGATCCACCTGAGGCCATTTTTAGCCTGTCACATGTCCAAAATTTTCTTGGTGATGAGGGGCACTACCGCCTACCTTCAAACCCCCCAAACACATCCCCCTTTTGGCAACCCCCTGATGTACCAGTTTGATGGGGAACCGTGCCGAAAAAGTAGTCACTTTTTTAGCAACATTTCTCAAATGAAAAACAGTGTTTGGTGCCTAAATAGGCATTTTTACACTGTTTGAGGCCTCAAAAAAAAAGGAAGGGAGGCACAAAGCCCTCAAAACACGCTTATATAAGGGAAAAGGTTAAGGGTTTATAATATAAATGAATGTAACAGTAACAACTGCAGGACTGGTGCAAAAAGAGTTATAGTAATATTTAAAAGGCAGATTCTTTTTCAGTTGTTTCGTTGAGTTTTAAAAGTCATAACCAACACTGTAAAGGTCAAATTGCGAATTTCCAGCTTTCCTGGTCAGGGAAGACCTAAGGTACTCCTCTATGCATTATTGTAGCCACATGTGCAAGTTGAGAACAAGTTGGATTCCTCACATGAAAGTGGCAGTATTTGAACCCACAGTGGTAATGGGCTAGTGTTTCTAAGTCAGACCATTTCCATTTGGACACCTAGGGCACAAGTTTTTTAATTTTTTAATAACTTTCAAACTCCAGTGAATTAATTCAAAATTTTGACAGCTAGCCACAAAGCAGATAAGGCAGCCCATAACACTGCAAGAAAACTAATGATGTGCTCATTATGTCTGATAGAAATTTCACGTGCACTTCAAAAACCTGCATCAGAATCTATTTCAGTATAATCAGCTTGTGTTATTTTACTTAAATTTTCAAAAATAAACTCTAATAGCTAAATACAAACATTGCATCTGCAAAACACAACTTCTTTAAAGCTATTCATAATTCAAGTGATAAATCTTAAATATTTTGTAATAAATTGTTTCTACTTTAAGAAGGTTACGGGACGGTGCGGCAGCCTAAATGACTATGTACTCATAAAAATAGTTAAAATGTCTTCAAAAAAATATATATAGTTAATAAAATAATTGAGATCCAGGGTCTGTTTGCTTTTATTTTATAATGAAACTCTCACGCCGCACGTAAACAAAATTATCCCACTTATACTACCTATGACCTTCTTTGTATCTGTCCTTTTTAAACTGTCTCAAAGCTGGTAGGAATAATTCAGGCCAGCTAAAGTATCCATCCTTTATGACAACACTGCACTAACATTCACATTTAGATACTGAAAAGGCTTAAAATCACAAGTAAGACTAACTCAAATGCACAAATTGAGCCCAAAGGTATTAATTTAGCAAAAATAAGAAAATTAAGCAACCATGTCTATAGACTTAGAGTCAGACAGAACAGGTTATGCAGGCCACCATGTTACTAACTGGTAAGTTTCTTTTGTATTATTATTATCAAAGCATATTTATAATAAAGCAACCTACAGATACATGTTGTTGTTGGGACTTTTTTTAAAGTTACACTGACACTGAAAAGGGCATACATGTATATTGATTAGCTACTTTCAATCTTTGATGGTGCAAAAGACCTAAGGGTCACGGGGGTGCCTCTCCAAGCATTATAGATACCTGAAGGAAACTACAGAACTGTAAGAAAGAATTTAAAGACTATGGGAGGACTTGAAGTCACAGCTGTGAAGGCAAGTACTTGAAAGGCATCCATTAACATGTTGACTCTACTTCAACATTATATACATGTTATAGCAACTACAATACAACCATTTGATATATTATAATCATTTGTTAATTTTCTATAAATACTTTAATAATTATATACTTTATCATAGAGAATTTCTGCATGAAAAGTCCACAAATCAATACACTGATAGTTTTCATGCTCATATTTATAAAAAACATTGGGATTTTTTTTTTGTAAGATACACACACACAAATTGTGCAAAATAGTAGAAAACTAATGAACATTGTTTCCATGATATTTTACTTCTGTACAGTGTAAAATTAAATTATAGAATACTTTGATATATCTGAAGTGAGACAGACAAGAACCACAATATTTACACCGCCATTCAGACAAAACAATATTACATCATGTTTTATTCTGAATATTGAATCAATGTGTCCACAATCTGGCACAGCAAATTTTCGGTGACTCATTTATTTGTTTATATGATCTGACCCATTCAACCAAATTAAGTGTCCTTTAAACAAGAGCTGTCAGAAGGACAGCGCGCTCGACTTTTTTAGTGCTTGCCTATAAAACAAAACTTTGACAGTTAAGGGCACACAAGACTTTAACTAGGAATTTCTAAGTACAAATCAAGAAACATTTTCACAGAGTTATCTTCTCTTGCTTACAGATAGGTCTCATGATGGCACATAAGAACTCCAACTTCCAAAGTAATATCTCAAATGGTTAAGTCAACAAGTGGACAAGAATGAAAATCTTAACTGAGTTTCTAAGTCAAAAAGGGCCATAATTCAAATAAAATCCTTAACAGAATTACCTTCTCCTGCCCATGTTTTGGGACCATGATGGTAAAACAAGTATTCCAACTTTCAAATTAATATCTCAAACAGTTCAGTCAAAAAGTGGACTGGTACTAAAAACTTAACCAAGATTCTAAGTCGATAAAAGGCCTTAATTTTTAAAACAAATCCTTGACAGAGTTACCTTCTCTTGCGTACAGATGGGGGTAATGATGTGAAATAGCATTAAAAGTTTCAAAGCAATATCTCAAAGGGTTAAGGCAATAAGTGGATTTTACCCATATTCAATGTATTTTCTAAGTCAAAAAGGGGCATAATTCTGTCAAAAACCTTGACAGAGTTATGTCTCTTGTCTGTTGATGAAGGTCGTGATGGTAAACAAGTATGGTCAGTTTCAAAGCAATACCTCCAATGGTTTTGAAATAAAGTGAGGTGGTACAAAAAACTTAACCAAGCTCAATACACTTTCTAAGTCAAAAAAGGGCCATAATTCTGTCAAAAACCTTGACAGAGTTATGTACTCTTGTCTGTAGATGGAGGTTATGATGGTGAACAAGTATGGTAAGTTTCAAAAGCCATACTTGTAATACTTCTGAAATAAAGTGGGGTGGTACGAAAAACTTAACCAAGGTGTGACGCCAACGCTAACGCCGACGCCGACGCCGACGCCGGGGCGAGTAGGATAGCTCCCCTTTTCATAGAAAAGTCGAGCTAAAAATGAAAACAAGCTGTATGTATAGCCTGTATCCACTCAAATGATAGTTGGTTTAGGTACATTATTTAAAGATGTTACTGAAGTATCTGTTTAAAGTTTATCTCAAGCAGAAGTTTGAAATAAATAAACAAATATTGTAGACAAACCGGAAACTTACCTTCAACAGTTCAACACCTGCATTCCTGAAAATATACAAAAATATCAACATTAAGTTTACATTTTACATAGACCTGAAAACGTTTTTAAAGGCATAAATACAAAGCAATACATAAGGGTTGTACATTCATTATGGCCAAACTTATGTCAGTCGAGCAATGGAAAAACCATGGCTCCATTGTTACATTATTCTAATGCCATTCAACACTAGAAAGCACAACAAAATAGTTTCTTTTATAATACGAGAAACAGAAATTACCAAATTAAATGTATAATTTAATGCAAGAATATTGCTAATGCACCCTTTTTTTGAGCATTTACATCTGCAGAAGCACATGGACTTACTAAATCCCTTATCCTGAAGACTCTGGCTCTGCTTCTGCAGCTGTAAAGATACGAAAAAAGGTGCATACTGGTGTATATACAAATGAGCACATACACGTACATGCAGCATTGGAATTTTAACACTAGCAAACTAGCAAAATGTGAGATACAAATGAAAAATGTGAATCACCTTTATTGAAACTAGCAAAATATTGCAAACACTATAATACACATAATAAATTCTAGCCATGACAAGGTTACAACATATGCCTTTGAAATTTTCAATATCAAAGCACTTTAATATACCATATATAACCATTTAAAAACTGAAATGAGAAATAATTATTATTTATGAGCAATCATAAAATATTATGAATTCTTATACACATCCGAAGAATATCCGCTAACTCAAGTGTTCAATTACCTTGACAGCATTATTAATGGTAGTTATTTTTTATAACATTAAAACATAAACAGCTGTAGAATTTGATCTACCTGATTGTGTGACACTATTTATACATGTAAGTTGAGGAAAATCATTTACAATGCATGTTCTTTTCGTATGAAAAAACAAAATACATGTATATTGGTCGGGGTGATAAAACACTGTTTATAATGAGAGGGTGTCAGATTTTGTTATCTGTACTGATACATGTATACACTACAAAACTGTTTGAGACTAGCCCAACTTTTGGAATGGCCTTTTTAAAGTTTAAAAGATTTCATAATATGAAAATACAGAAAAATGAGCTACCAAGGCAACAGTTTAGAGCCTGGTCAGACTGCATGGATGCGCAGGCTGGCCTGCACGTGTTATACTGCAGGTTTTGGTTTAAACTGTATCAAAAATGATTTATTACACAATACTGTTACTTGATCCAATGCACAAACCTTATTTATTGTTTCTTTCAATGCAAGAAATACATATACAGTAATACAAGCAAACAGATGTGTGTAAAACAACAACATTTTAATCGAACAGTGGTGGTATAAAGTGTCTATACAATCTATTCATTTATAGCCTATATAGACATAATAGCCTAAAACTGAAATTTTGATTCCACAGTGAAACCTATAAATACCGGTAATAGAAAAGAGAACATATCTTTTGAGGACAGTAAGAATTATATTTTCTGTTGTCTTAATTTTATCAAAACATAGAGCCCATACAAATCAAGGGTTATTTGCAACACTGCTGTAAGTCCGTCTTTATTTTATATAAGTTACTACAGTTTTGCAGTCAACCCTCGAAATATCCATCAATATATTGAATTATGCAATTATATTTATTCTTCAATATCAATATACTAGTCAGTTTAAAAAGAACAAAACAGCTTCTGGAATTCTTTACAGACAATTAAGTTTATAAACTACATGTACATTGGAAGTCTAGGTCAGAAGTAAGAGTTCACAGGAAAAAGATAATTAACAGTGTGTATGTGTAATATAAATAAAGTATATAATTTATGAATCATGTCCTTGTATACATTTGTACTTTTAAATGATCCTGATACTTCAGTTAATTAACCTCCATCTTGCTCAAGTTTTGTAATGGACTTCTCTGATTTATTTAAAATCTGGAATTGCCTTATAGTATTTTAAAGGATTTTAGTTTTAAATACTAAAATCAAATGTCTGCAATGCAAACATAGTTTAATAGAAAGAGCGCTGGATTTGTAAATCATGGGTTGCTGGTTGGATCCTTGGGCAAAGTGAAATTTATTCTTATAGTCATTTGTCTCTGGCTGCCAATTCAGAAATCATATGGGATAAATAGTCATTTGTAGAGAAACCGATAATTTTAAAGATGGCCTGACTCTCAGAACAGGTCTATTCTAGAAACAGTTAACATTTCAAAATGAGCAGCTTGAACAAATGGTAGAGGTAATGGGATGATCTTCAATATAGAAAAAGTCAATGAAATATTTCATACAATAGATTGTGCAAAAAGTGTCTGAAATACACACATGTAAATTTTACAATCACATGGTTATTGTTACTGCATTGCTTGAAATTCACTGGCATGAAATGTTAAAAGGTTATAAAAAAATATATATATTTAAGACACTTTGTCCAAAGTAGTATAGGTTAAGTAAACTAGGACAAACTTTAAATAGGTCAAGGCTTAGGCTCGAAATATTATGGACTGTTTACTACAAAAACCATTAACAACGGTGCACTAACTAAAAATTGGTTCAATGTGGACGCTATTTATCAAATTTAGCAATATCATTAAGCAATAGTAAATGCATAATATTTCAATCTGGCCCATCTCCAACTGTCTTTGTTTACACTGAAAATATTCGCATATGTGACGTAAATCAAACCGAACAAACAGAACGATAATAAGGTAAAAACCTTTTACGTGGCCTTGTAATTTATCAATATACTATTAGGCAGGACAATACCTTACTTTTCAATGGTAGTTATAAACTTGCTTTTGAGATTAATGCATGCGATTCGATCATTTTTGCATTATTTTGAAACATTATAAACCGTCTATGATCGAGTTATTGAAAAATAGGCGATAATAATCCTTACGACTTTGCCATAAATAAACTTAAGAAACAACTGTTCATTTAGCCCAGACAAAATCCATACTAGATAATCTTATACTTTTTATAGCCTGTAAATTTGCATAAGCAAGGCAGATCAAAGGACTGTAAAGAATGAAGACAAATACCTTTCTTAAACACAACATTTGGTCACATGTTGTATTAAAATGTTTTTCTCTGGAGACAAGGTGTACCACTATCAGATACACCCCCCCCCCTTATACAACAGTATGAAAAACTTCAGACAAAGCAAAAACAATGGTTACTTAAAGTACTAAAAGCAAAATCCATTATAACAAATCTCACCAGTTACATATATATGATTATAATCATTATATCCCTGTACATTTGAAGATACTTAGGGTGTCAACATTGTCAAGACATACAATTTTTATACAAAAATCTGAACTATTTTTGTACATGTTTATATGTTTTTTTTTAATACAGGATTTTGACTGTTATCAATCAAATGAAAGGTTTCAATGGCACAAACTGTATCCATATCATTCTTGATACAAGCTATATCCATAATACACATCAAGAACAAAATTTATGTTTTCATCCACAGCCTTGTAATAGTATACTGCATATTGACAGAATCAGTACTTTGATAAATAATTATGTCCTTTTGAACTCACTGAATGCAGCATAATTCTTTTATTTTGACAATGAACTCAACACAAACTTACAACAGACAGATTTCAGGACAAGCTAACCATTTAATCAAATTTAACAGGGTATATGAAGTAAACAAAATGCTTGGCAGCTATAGGGACAAAACGAGCCATAATCACCATAAAGAATATAGAATGAAGTTTGTTTTGTTTGTTTTGTTTGTTTTTTGGTTTTACGTCACATCGACACAGTATAGGTCATATCATGAAGTTCCAGCTTTACTGGTGGAGGAAGACTTCAGGTGCCCTTCCGTGCATTATTTCATGCACAAATGGGCACCTGAGTAGAACCACCGACGTTCCGTTAGCTAGCTGGATAGCTTCCTCACATGAAAGAATCCAAAGTCCCTGTCGGGATTCGAACCAACAGCGGTGAGGGGCAAGTGGTTTGAAGTCAATGACCTAAACCACTCGGCCACGGACGCCCCTAGAATGAAGTCATTAGTTAGCAAGGACCACCAGCAAAGATACATCTGTAACTATCATTACTAAAGCTTGGTGCCATGACTTCATTTCAACCCAGCTCAACTACACTTACTGGTAGTTTGTTTGATACTGTGGAAGGTAGTATGTGACAGTGTGGTTTATATGATAAAATTATAGTGTTTCAATATGTATGTCATGGGACTTGTCATTGTTAAAATATGTAAATTAATGTTCAATTAAGTTTTATAGTAGCTGCCTGTTAGCTTTGGTAAGTATTTGGTATTAACATAAGATTCTCGACTGAGGCACATTTTTCTTCTTTGACAATAAAACAATATGTATTATAAAGCCATTCATGTGGAGAAGTAGGTAGTCACTTGCTAAACAGCACAGGTAGTTACCTGGGGATATCTGTTAGAGCAATATATGTTTATTTTTAATGTTATCACTAGTCTTGAAAACCCATAAATATGGGTGGTACACTCAATAATACTGTTTATTTAGTAAGGTTACAGCATACACCATTCAACAAGAAACAACTGGTTCTTTACTGTAGGTCAGAGTTACCATGGAGTTTCATCATAAAGACTTGCTAGTTCTTTTTAATAGTTGAGGACTTACTGGAATCAAACTCAAAACCCGCCTATATGTAGCACGACAGTGTAACCTCTTAAGAAACTACACAGTCACATTCTACTCACAAACATTATCAATATTATTCATGTATCTGAAACAATGTAACAACTAGACTTGCGCTAAACCTTACAATTAAGCATAGGTAAGTGTTTATAAGTATAAGCATTCATACATTATTTGGTCAAGAATGGGGCACACAATTTAGTATTTGACATTATTATCTAATATTTATAACACTTACTATTTACTAGACTGATTAAATTTAGTTGGTTTACATGTAAATGTGTTATGATTCATTTGAAATACTTCAATGCTCGATTCTATTGGACAAAAAATAATTTCATACACTAAATAAGCCTTTAAAAAATATATTTCCTACAAATTATTACAACAGCCTGCAAATACCATGGAAGTTTCAAGCTACTGTTTTTTCGATTTCTTTAGTCTTTTGGATTTTAAGGGAACTCAAGTTGTAACTTTCTAAATAGAAAAGCAATGAAGACATGTACAGTACCTATATTAACTTCAGGAAATGAGTCATCTTAAAATCTGTACATCTGTGAAGTACTATTATTACAAGAAATTGAAGATTACATAAAAAAAGCTTATCCTTAAACCTAACAAGAAACAGAATTCCCCCAAGAGAGAGATATTGGGCTAGAAATTCCTCCATACCATCATAGTAGGGTTATCTCAAATCACCAGCATTGATTTGCTGTACAGGAACATGGTGAACACTAAGAAAAAATCTTTACAAGCCAATATTGATACTTCAGTTTGTAGGTCATGTGATTTGTTTCTGTACATTTTTTGTAAATATTCAACTTGCTGAGAATTTCTTTTTCTTTGAAAGCTAGCTTTCTAGTGCTTTGAATTTTGGAATGTTTAACATTACCAACCAACTTTGGAGGTTTCAGTATTAAAGTTGACTATTTAGATAAGCTTCAAATAGTATTACCCATCAAAAAGTACGATTCTTCACCCGTTTAATATGCACAAAATGTATATTCAGTGAAAGTTTCTCCTGAGCTGTGTAAATTAATTCATAATTGATAAATATCAAGCCTAACTTAATTCTAAACAAAATGAAACATCGTTCAGCACTAATCAGAAAAATCTAAGTCCCCTCCTTCAGTACATGTAACCTCTTGTAGTAAATTACAAAATTTTTGCAGAAGAACTAGTCAACAAAAAAAGGTTTACCATAAAAACAACCCATTATAAGACAGCTTTTGATAAATTGACAAGACATAAATCTCATGTAAGCACTCATTTTTGTTTGTTATTCTACTACATGTAGGTTTATAGGTTTTTAACATAAACATTTAAATTAATAAGACAGAACCTTTAAATGTTTAGATGTGTATGAACTGTTCAAATCAACATTTCACTTTTTTGCCTACATAAGAAAAAAAAAACATGGCTTATTATGCAATAAGGTAACGACTTTAATAAATATGTTTTAAACATCGAATGGATACAATCTTTTAAATGTGAAATCCAATGAATTTTGTCTATATAAGTACATGTAGTGCAGTTAACATAATTAAAAAGATACATAAAACCGCAGCATCTGTAGATACAGAAAAAAAACTTTACAATCAGATAAAATTGTTGTGCATGTCTCATGCACATTAAAGGATGAGACACTGAGGTCCATTAATAAACATAACATTATAAATTCTTACGTAGATTAACTGGGGGCATTTTAAACAGAACAATACGATACGCAAAGATTATCAGGAAATCAGAAATAAATTGAAAATCATACTTTTGTGCTACTCTTTGCCCAATTTGAGTATTATTTATTCATGATTAGAATTAGTATTTGGAGTAGTGAACAATCTGAAATTTTCAACCCCAACCCAAAAAGTTTTATCTAGACCACATCAAAATTAAATTGACAAACATTGAAAAAAACAATCCGCATTTAAAAAACCCCTGTGGGGTCCCTTAAAAAAACATAACTTAGTTTTTCCCCTGTTTATAGGAAAAATTTTTAAAATTAGAATATTTAGGATAAAGACATATGTACTAGGAAGGCATTGTTTATAGCTAGATTATTGTAGACCTGAAATCATCTCTTTGGGGTTTACACCCCTTTGTAACATTGTATTAAGCATGTGATTTACAGGTGGGTACATGTGTAGTTACTGTGAGTTTAAACCTTTTTATCTTCTAACAAATAACTGCAAACTTCCACACATAAATTACTTGAATCAGCAGTGAATTATGAAGAGTGTTAGACAAACTGTCTCCAACAAAACTGTCTATGGCAAAGTAAGCCAGCAAGACCCCGTACATCTAGACTTAACACTCTGGTTGCTAAACAAACAGTTAGGGTATTATGGATATTTGATTAACATTGCGGAATCAGTTATGGCCATTAACAACACATTTGTGAAACTTGTAAAATTTCTATTCACTCAAGTATAACATAAAAAGGATTAAATCTTTCTGTAAATTTACTATACCAGCTTTTTAATATCTATAAAAATTTATGAGGAAATTAATCTACCAGTAATAATATTGATAACAGATTGTTTTTCTACTTTGAAGTTTAGTAAACAGACCCCTTTACAGTCATTAGAAAATTGATATTTACCAAATAATATAAAAATTTGTGTTTGGGAGTTTTTAAAAACTTTTTGAAAAAAAATTTTAAAAAATTAAAAAACCCGAAGAAGTTAACAAGATATAACTAAAAAAGGCATTATAAAGTAAAAAACCCGTAAATAAACTGACCCCCCCAACCAATTTTTTAAACCCCCCCCAACTTAATTTTTTTAATTTTTTTTCCTTGATGATCCTCCAAAAAAATTCAAATATTAGTTAAATTTCAAAACTATATGCTTTACAAAATTTTTCCATAAATTTAACATTTTACTCAAGTATAGAGAAAAACTTACAAGAGGGAAAAAGTGGTTTATTTCAAGTTTTTTACACTACCGAATTTTTAATATAAAATTTATCTTATTATAAGACAAGTTTTTTTTTCAGGGGTTTTTAAGGGTTCCACTTTTATCAGAATGGGGGGTTTGGGGATTTTTTAACGGGGGCTTTGAAACTCTTTAAATGTCCCTAATCTAAAATTTTTTAAAAAAAATTTCTTTTTTAACAGCAGTAAAAAAAAAAAACCAATTTTGCAAAAACACATCTATTTATGTCGATGAAAAAAAACCTGTTAAAAAAAAATTTAAACCCTACTTTTTTCCCAATCAAAGGAAAATTTTATAATGGTAATTCTACAATATCTTCTTTTTTTATTTCTATTACTAATCAAATTGTAAGGTAGTGGCATTAAAGCAGATACTAGCCATAATGTTAATACACAATTATCCCTATATCTGAAAATTTATATTCTATTCAATTATTTATATCCACATAACTGTGTTTCAAAATTTTTGAAAACTTAAAAACTCAAATAAGAACAAGTTTATGATTCAGACATACAATTAAATCAATGACGCACAAGTCACACAATGCTATACATTTATAAATATGGTTACTAAAATATGTTACGGTAACACTTGAAACAAACTCTTGCTCACTTTTAAGCAATGCTACTTAAGCACTCATCAATTTACATGCATATATTATGTGCATTTATACTCTTTTTTAATTTACATTTTAATGATTTAACTTCTAAGAAAGTGAGCACTGAAACTGAAAATTTATTCCAGGCATGGGCAAATAATATCTTTTGTCCATCTTTTTTTCTGTATAACCCAAAATCACCAAACCAAAACATTTTTGTTTTGTCAAATTTATTAAAAAATTACTAAAAAATGAACATCAATGTCAAATGATGTGTTTCTACAACTAAACCCTTCTGTCCAAAAAAAAAAAATAAGATAAAAAAACAAGCATGTCTGCTGTCAAGGAAACAGTATGAATTGACCATTTAATTTTAGAAAAAAAAATGAGAAAAAAAGAAAACCTTTATCAATGATGTGCCTAGATTTCTATAATTTATTCATTCAAGCAATTGGTACATGTATGTGCAGCTGCTACTTTTACATCAAGAAAAGTTATTGCTGTCTTTGTAATTTTACACATGAGATAAGCTGTTGAATCACAACCTTTATTTTTATGAAATGTCTGCATAATAATTACAGTATTAGGAGAATAAGGCTTAAATGATAGTTATTAATATTGTTGGAATTTATGTTAATACTGAAAATTTTAGTAATTAAGCCCTTGGCCATTTCTTACAATAGTTAATCTATTATTATCAAGAGATATATTGATGGTCAAAGACTTGAGCTAATTATTTCCATAAGAAAATGTATGATCTTTAATACAGAGAAAATTTCCACAGACAAAATTAAAAACAAAAATTGTATGAAATCTTTTGGTGCTAATATTTATTTAGATAGGTTTGGAAATAAGAATTCTTACTTGTAAATATTGGCTATACATGTAATATATATAGCTGTATAGGTTATCAACTCAATACAGTTAATTGATCTTAATATAATTCACATAATAATTATTGATTTTTTATTTTTTTTAATCAAATTAAATATGTTTGATTGCCTAAATCCAAATATTAGAACTTAAAGTTAATTTCTTTTTCTTTGAACAGTCAAATATGCACAAAATGTACTTCAGGGCCTCATCCAGGAAACTGATGTCTCAGTCCTCAAAATTGTGAGCTTCACTCAATTTTGTGTAGATATAACTTCTTCCCTTATTTCAATATCTATATCTTGTAGTTGTAAATTAAAAAGACATCTCATTGTTAATTTATCTCTATAAAATGATACATTGGGAGATGCAAATAACTTTACTAACTGAAAGGAAAATGATAGATTGGGAGATGCAAATAACTTAACTTAAAAACTAACTCAGTAACTGAAAGGAAAATAGATTTTTTTTTTATTTAATACCAATTTAATTAAATACTTAGTAACTAGGATACATTAATAAATTATAGCACCAACACATTATGATATTGCCTAAGACACAAATTCACATTTAATGAAATTCAGATAGTAGTAATTACGTAGAATAATAACTGAAATTGTATGTGTTCAGACACTCACAGCCTTTCAAATATTAACGTACACAACAACCACAATAAATAAACGACTCCACTAAACTGGTTTATACCTGAACATATCCACATGCTCTTCAAAGTTGAGCTTTTTGCTCTTCTTCTCACTCATCCAATATCCAACACGCTTCATTCTGAATGCATAAACACAATGAACTTCCAAATTAATAATATTCACATGTTTTTGCAAGTAAAAACATCTCTGAAACTGCACTAACTTCCTACTTAGTAATCTTGTTCCGGTTGAACGAGCACATGCAAATGTATCCGAATGCGTAGACTGGATTATTTCAAAATCTCCGAGACGCTCTGATAACTTGTGAAACACGGAACGCAGTCTGTTTTAATGACAACGTGGTTAGACGTAAACAACATCAGAAAACTGCGGATTATTTCCTTAAATGGAAATGACATCGACCATATTTGCTTTGCAGCCATTCGGATCTATTTAAAGGCCAAACTCATATGATTATGAACATGTTTCCCTGATTGAAAACGATAGTAGGTAATCATGAAAGTTGAGTGTATTTTGTCTATTTTTTTTCGGATACGTAATCCTGCGAACTCCGTGCTAAATTAAGCTTAATAGATCTGCACATGTTTTGCTAAAGTGTTTTCGCCATAATTTGAATTAAATGATTTCTTGAATTTTAATAAACCGTCTTGAATATTCTGTAGAAATAAATTATAATATATTTTTAAAAAAATCATGTGAGTACAAAATTGTAAATATTGAATTTGTAAAATCTAGCATTCGAGCCAGTCCTTGAATTTTTGTATAAGTAACAAGGTTGTTATCTTCTTTTTTGTTAAATAAAAAGAATTGTATTTAAGGGTATGCTCTTACAACAGATAATAATTTAAAACACTTTTTGTCTGGTTTGTACTTCTATACAAACCAATCGCCATTTACAGGCTATATCCTGGAATAGACCCAGTGGTTTAAACCAGGAGTATATATAAGGTTCATTCCGTTTTCTATAGTGTATTGTATAAAAGTTTTACTTCTGAAATATACATAGGGGTCTTATCCAGGAGATTGCCCTCCTTTGATGAATCCAAGTTGCTGCACCATCAATTCCTCTACCTATTATATATTGTTTGCCCTTTATGGCTGCTTTTTGTATGTTATTCATGCAATGAGCTATGGATGTGTCTTGAGTTTTGTCTAAAGTTGTTACCCATTTTGCTTTTGTGTGATATATCTGTTATCATGATGTACTTATGTTGTCTAGGATTTGCTCTTACTATTGACAACACATACAACACATTTGTCAGATTTATAAGTGTCTTCAAATCTGCAAAGGTTCACATAAAAGATATACTGGGAATTGATGTACTCTTACATTATGCATATTTTGGTATAAGTGAACATCACTTATATATTACTGAAAATTACTGGACCAAATATGTTAAATTGTATAAGTGAATAACTTGTGAATGTGAAAGTTTTTCTGGATGAGAAAGTTGTGGCATAAGCGCTATTGAGGTTATTATATCTGTTTGATGCTTTATATCTCATAATGGAAGATAGTTATTTCTAATTTTACTTTTTTAAAGATAGTATTTGTATGTATGTAAGATGAAGGCTCTGTTTGATTTTCAGAAGTACAGAAAATGTGGAATTGCCGAGTTTTGAAGCCCCCATTGTATTGTGAAATAAAGACCACATTGAAACAATCTGAAATAGGTTGGTTTAAAAAAGAAACATTTGTATGATATTCCTCAAATTAAGAAAACATACTTAAAGAAGAATATTATTCAAAATGAAATTGGTTAAAAATAAAGCAAAATATTTTAAAATAAGGCAGATCATTGAAATATTTTAATGTTGATAGATGCATAAGCTTTTAAGTCATTAAATTGTTCATGGCTATAAACCCAATATTTTCTAATACAGGATCTTTATATGGAGCAAGAATGTTCTTGAAGAAATCAAAAGGATCGGTCAGTGATCATATGAAGTTACTGACAACGGAGCATTACATGGTTAAACGTATCATCTACAAACTTGTAAATCAGTTCCGGTCTGACAAAGCTCTGAAAACTTTAAAGCAGGTTTGTACTATTATGACATATCTCTTTGTCATATTAAATTAACTTTACCATTATTATCATTAAGATGTTTTCTGTAGTTTTCTAAATAAATAGCTAAGTCTAAACCTTTTTTCAATTTTATGCATATATTTGCAATCTGTCTTTGGCATGTTACTTATTGGTAATTAGCCTTGATTCAAACAAAACTGCAGAGTTGGATGCAGTCATTGACAAAAAGGAAAATTTGGATAAAAAAAGCATAATTATTAACATTTTGCAGGTTCATACCTGTATGGCGACTGGTTGGAGTTAAGGGGTTAAATTAATGATATATTTTGCAGGTTCATACCTGTATGAAGCGACTGGAAGGTGTTAACATTGAGAAACAAATGACCGAGTCATTACAGCTTGTTGATAGGTATTTATTAAACTCCAGGACTATCTTACATTGAAATCTTAAAAGGGAAAACAAAGTCTATACTATAGACCTCAAGTTTATGGGCTTGAGCATTGGATGCATGACACTCTATATCTAAGGCCATTTGACGTCTTTTACTGAGCGCTTTATGTAGAGAATTTTATAGTTAATACCTATTATTTTACTTTCATACACTTCTGGAGATAAATTCTATCACATATAAAATCATAACATTGATTTGATATAAGCTAAAAGAATTTATTTCTTAGTTTAAAAATATTTTGTATATAAACATTTCATTTGCATAAAAAAAACTTTACAGATTGAGTATGGAACTTTAATACAGCTTTTTAAAAACTTTCCATAATTAAACATCATATTGCATGTTTTACAAAATGAACAATTATTTGGTGCATAATCTACCTACACTTGTTTGAGTAATTCTGGTTGTATATTATATAGCTTAAAGAATTAATTTTTAAATAAATGATAAATATTTCCCAGGTCTTCCTGTAATCGAGATGATACAGAATTTTATTTTCCATCCCGCCAAGTGCTTGAACATCAGCTTGTCATGTTACAGGGGATTGGTGCCTTGCTTCGACAAACTGTACTATACTGCCAGAAAACATTCCTGTATCCTTACCATATGTTACATATTAGACTGAATTTTACTTACAGTATCAATTGCTGTTATAACTATCTGCTGTTTTTTTTTCCAGGAAACACTACATTGCTCATCAAAGTTTTTGAATCACCTATTTTTTGTAAAAAAAAACAAAAAAAACCCAGAAACAACACAAAACGTGCAATCATGTGCCAGTGTTAGTTTTCTATCAGACTTATTGAAATTTTTTCAACATTTAACCTTTTGGATAAAGAGGAGATATCTGTGCATACACTACCAGTACAGGGCCAGGCCAGCTGTCATAGCTGTACAGTCTGACCAGGTTAGACTTTTAGAATCTGCATTATAAGTATGAGCTTGTGACAGCTCAATTCTGCCGGCTTATCTCAATAGGGACAGCATCAGATTAGTTATTAAGGGATCGCTGGTTAGGTCATCAGTGAAGGCATAATTTCACTATGACGATTGATCTTGACATTGACTCTAATGGTCATTTGTCTCTGAGTGTTGATCATGTGAGATTAGTAGTTGGTCACTTGCAGAGGGTTATTACTTTGTTATTTATCCAGGAAAGCAGGTTAGATGGATCAACTGCCGAGACATGACCATATACAAATGTATAGTAATTGGGGTAAAAAACAGAAAACAAGCAAACTATATAGTTCAACTTGTTAATGATACATATGTAATTTTGGCTGCTTTATTGTAAATCTCATGAATAATAACTCCCTGCTGATGAACAGGTGACACAAAGCAGGACAGGTCCATTAAAGCTGCATACCTCCAGAGTAGGCACAATATTTCAAGAATATTTAAGATAAAAGTAATAATTTCCATAAAATGCGCAATTAATGACCGATTTTTAGTACTTTTCATAATATTTCTTCTGCGTTACTAATGCTGTAAGGGCTTTTTTTGCATATTTTGGTCATTTTATAGTTATGTACATGGGTTGTCAGTGCCGTTTACTTATAAATACATTTTAAAAACTTTCATGAAAATCAGTAGGAATCTTGAGGCATGCTGCTTTAAAGTAATTTTAGATAAATGTACATGAAAACTTGAATACAAAATATCTTTAACAATATAATCAGTCATGTGAGACAACATCTTGAGCTTGGTAACATGATACCACAGAACTTGTTGATGCTTGCCTTAATCTCCAGGATCTGGTTAGTGTTGATGTTTCTTGTCTTTAGTACTGGTTCATAATTGTCATCTAGTGTAGTTAAGTAGGGTTAAGTCTTTCTAAATCTAATAAGAGTTAACCAGTTATTGTACTAATGTGACTAAGCTACTCAGTTGCTTGTTCAATCCAGAGTTATGTTTACTTCAGTCTGAATCACATGAACATTTGCCCACAGTACATGTATGATAAAATTTAGTAAAAAAAAAAAGTTAGTTTTCAATGTCTTTAAGGAGAGCACATGACAGTATGTGGCACAGAGTGACAGATCAGATTTCAATTATAAAGTTAAAATGATTAAAAAAAGCATCATATGTTTGTTAAACATCAAGAATCAGAAGATCAAGTTAACCTTATATATGAAAACACCTGCTACATTTTGACTCATGACTATGCCACTCATAAAAATATGACACTTTGTTTTTCACTTACATGTAATATATTGTGACATATATTTGTATAATTATATAAGACTGAATGAAACAAATATCCTCCTATGCTTTCTTTAAAACAATACTCCATAAATTATGAGTAAAACTGGTACAAATATCAAAAAGATGGTGAAAAATGTTTCAAGTTGGTTTATGATGATATACATTGCTTCCTTGCTGTAGAGGATGGACCCATTTACTCTATAAGCCACAACTTGAGTACTTCAAGCCTTAAAGTCAATAAACAAATGAGCCGCGTCACCACAAAACCAACATAATGGGTTTGCGAACAGCATGGATCCAGACCAGCCTGCGCATCCGCGCAGTCTGATCAGGATCCATGCTGTTTGCTTACCAACTCTATTACAAGTAGAGAAACTGATAGCGAACAGCATGGATCCTGATCAGACTGCGCAGATGCGCAGGCCGGTCTGGATCCATGCTGGTCGCAAACCCATTATATTGGTTTTGTCATGGCAAGGCTCAAATAGTTCTTATTTACAAGGAAAACATGTACATTGCCGGTAATTTATGTGCTTGAAAATAAATCTCTTTTCAATGGTAACAGGAAATTGTTTGATTGATCATTGAAGTCCTTTCAAATTTTCCATTCAGGTATGATACAGGATCCAGGATATTGTTTCCCTACTATACATATATTTACATGTATATATATTAATTGTTTAATGTTTATATTACCCTCTTGTGGCTGAGGGGTTGCCTTTTAAAGTTGATGAATCAGAATTGCAGCAAATATTTATCTCTGTGTGATGGTAAAGGCAACAAAATGGGTTTGAATTACTGAAGTCTATGCATCTCTTAGCTCCAGATAGTAAGGTGGTTTTGACTCCTGGTGTTGCTTTAAGTTTGTAATAACCATGGTTAGCCAAAATAATCTTTCCTGCTGTGGGGGGAATACTAAATTGTTGATTGAATACAAATTAATTCCAAGGTTTGACCTTTATTCATAAGTCTGAAGAAAAAATGTGAATTTATTGTATATATATACATTTTTAGCTCGACTTTTTTTTTTTTTTTTTAAAAGTAGAGGTATTGTTATAGTCAGGTCGGCGTTGCCTTTGCCGTTGCCGTTGCCGTTGCCGTCCGAAAACTTGTACCTGGATCATAACTTTTTTATTTCTTGGTGTATTGTCTTCATACTTGGCCACAACAACCCTTGGGACAATACCTTTCAGTAGACCACACTAACCTTGATCTTCATCCATAAATGACCTTGACCTTCAAGGTTAAAAGTCCAATTTTTGCTTGTTCATGCTGTTATTGGCTGTAACTTTGTTATTTTTGAATGGATTGTCTTCAAACTTGAACATAATAATCTTCAAGGATATCCCTTAAAAATAACCAGTCAGACCTTGACCTTCACTCATCAATGACCTTGACTTTGAAGGTCAAATTATTGAAATGTTCATTTTTTTGGCTATTATTGGCTGTAACTTTGTTATTTTTGAATGGATTGTCTTCAAACTTGAACATAATAATCTTCAAAGATAACTGTTAAAAATATACCGAAAGACCTTGACCTTCACTCATTAATGACATTGTCTTTGAAGGTCAAATTATTGAAATTTTCATTGTTTTGGCGGTAACTGACTGTAACTTTGCTATTTTTGAAGGGATAAACTTCATATTATAACAGAACATTCTTAAGGACCAGACCTTGTTGTTTATCAAACCCAAATTTGCTTGGGCTCTTTAATGACCTTGACCTTAAAGGTTATATTACTGAATATTCTCAGATTGTGCATTTATTGGTGTGTGTGTATGTATAGTATATGTATTATATATATATATAAATGTGTGTGTGTGTAACTGACTGTAACTTTGCTATTTTTGAAGGGATAAACTTCATATTATAACAGAACATTCTTAAGGACCAGACCTTGTTGTTTATCAAACCCAAATTTGCTTGGGCTCTTTAATGACCTTGACCTTGAAGGTTATATTACTGAATATTCTCAGATTGTGCATTTATTGGTGTGTGTGTATGTATAGTATATGTATTATATATATATAAATAAATTGTGTGTGTGTGTGTGTGTGTGTGTATATATATATATCATATATATATATATATATATATATTATATATATATATCAAATATATATATATATCAAATATATATATACATATATATACATGTGTATATATTCATAAAATATAGAAATATAAATAGAATATATATATATATATATATTTATTTTTTTTTTTATTTTTTTTTTTTTTTTGAATATATACAGTTGACTCTCGGTTACTCGAAATCCAAGGGACTGGGCATTTTACTTCGAGAGAAACGGAATTTGAGTAACGTGGAACTGCCGCCATTACGTTGACATTCGTACATGTACCTGATTAAATGTGCAAAGAAGTAGGTTTGTTATTGTTGTTAGCGGCAATGCTGCAATATTTAACCGTTGAAATGACGGTTAATCACGTACAACTACAAATTATAGATGAACAAAAATATATCATTCAAAATTTAATACATGTATATTAATAGTGAAACATAAACACACAATTATATTTGATTTAATTGATCATCGGACGAAAACGAAAGTAGCAACTATCGTGAACCGGAAGTGCAAATTAATGTATGCAAAATGACGGAACATTAATTATACAAATGTCATTTACGTTGATAACACACATCAATACCTAGGCTGTTATTTGACTAACACCCGTCAGGCTTGCACGAGTCAACTTTCTTAAAGAAATGTAATCAAATTTTAATTTAGTTATCTAACTGTTAAAACCAATTAAGTGCTGAAACGGATTAAAGCCACTTATACGACGTGTTAATAATACATGATGACCGGCAATTAAAAATTTCTATGAAACGTGTAAATCACGAGTGACAACATCTCACCTTGATGTCGCCGACCTTTGATCAGTCGGCTGATTTCACACTTCGACTAATTGAGATGAAAATATGTTGGACTTTAATTGACGGGACCAAATTTTCTTTTCGACTAAACAGGAGTCTCGGTTAGTCAAAATTTGACCTATGCGGAGTTAAAATACAAAGATAAAGAAGGAAATTTGACGGGACTTTAGAAATTCTTCGACTAAACGCGGAATTTTGAGTAAAGCGATTTTGACTTATTGAGAGTCAACTGTATATGCATGTATATATATATATATATATATATATACATATATATATATATATAAATGTGTTTGTGTATATATATATATATATATATATGCATGTATATATATATATATACACACATATATATATAAATTGCGTCATTTGTTCTATTTTTAGGAATTGCGTCATTATGCCCCCACAGAGTGGGAGCATATAGCGTTGCACTTGTCCGTCCGAGTGTCAGTCTGTCAGTCCGTCCGTCAGTCCGTCCGTACGTCCCGAAATCTTGTGAACGCAACTCCTCTTAAACCGGATGGCAGATTTTGCTTAAACTTACAGGGATGAACAACCTTAATGTGTAGATGGTAGTAAAGGAAGGAATTTTCGCTGCGACCAAATTTAACAGAATTATGGCCCTTTGTTGATTTTTTCACTAGATACTATGAAGAAATTTTGTGAACGCAACTCCTCTTAAACCGCATGGCAGATTTTGCTTAAACTTACAGGGATGAACAACCTTAATGTGTAGATGGTAGTAAAGGAAGGAATTTTTGCTGCGACCAAATTTAACAGAATTATGGCCCTTTGTTGATTTTTTCACTATATACTATGTAGAAATTTTGTGAATGCAACTCCTCTTAAACCGCATGGCAGATTTTGCTTAAACTTACAGGGATGAACAACCTTAAGGTGAAGATGGTAGTAAAGGAAGGAATTTTTGCTGCGACCAAACTTTACAGAATTATGGCCCTTTGTTGATTTTTTCACTATATACTATATAGAAATTTTGTGAATGCAACTCCTCTTAAACCGGATGGCAGATTTTGCTTAAACTTCCAAGGATGAACAACCTTTATGTGTAGATGGCAGTAAAGGAAGGAATTTTCGCTGCAACCAAATTTAACAGAATTATGGCCCTTTGTTGTTTTTTTCATTATATACTATGTAGAAATTTGTGATTGCAACTCCTCTTAAACCGGATGGCAGATTTTGCTTAAACTTCCAGGGATTAACAAACCTTAATGTGTAGATGGTAGTAAAGGTAGGAATTTTTGCTGCGACCAAGTTTAACAGAATTATGGCCTTTGTTGATTTTTTAGTTTTCAACTTGTGGCACATGTAGTCCAAAAAATATTTGACCTAGAGTCATAAGATTGACAGAACAGTGGTGTGTGGGGGCATCCGTGTCCTATGGACACATTTCTAGTTTTTAGCTCACCTGAGCTTGCTCAGGGTGAGCTTTTAGGATCGGTGAATGTCCGTCGTCCGTCGTCCGTCGTCCGTCGTCCGTCCGGCCGTCCACAATTACTTGTGAACACTCTAGCGGTCGCATTTTTGCCTCAATCATCATCAAACTTGGTCAGGATGCTTATCTAGTTGAAAGCTCGGATGAGTTCGAACATGGGTCATCTCGGATGAAAAACAAGGTCACAAGAGCTAAAAATAGAAAAACCTTGTGAACACTCTAGAGGTCACATTTTTGACCCAATCATCATCAAACTTGGTCAGGATGTTTGTCTAGGTGATAGCTTGGATGAGTTCGAACATGGGTCATCTCGGATGAAAAAGTAGGTCACAGGAGCTATAAATAGAAAAACCTTGTGAACACTCTAGTGGTCACATTTTTGAACCAATCATCATCAAACTTGGTCAGAATGCTTGTCTAGTCAATTGCTTGGATGAGTTCGAATATGGGTCATCTCTGATGAAAAACTAGGTCACAGGAGCTAAAAATAGAAAAACCTTGTGAACACTCTAGTGGTCACATTTTTGACCCAATCATCATCAAACTTTGTCAGGATGCTTGTTTAGATAATAGCTCGGATGAGTTCGAATATGGGTCATCTCGGATGAAAAAACTAGGTCACCGGAGCTATAAATAGAAAAACCTTGTGAACACTCTAGTGGTCACATTTTTGCATCAATCATCATCAAACTTGGTCAGGATGCTTATCTAGTTGATAGCTTGGATGAGTTCGAACATGGGTCATCTCGGATGAAAAAGTAGGTCACCAGAGCTAAAAATAGAAAAACCTTGTTAACACTTTAGCGGTCACATTTTTGCATCAATCATCATCAAACTTGATCAAGATGCTTGTCTAGGTGATAGCTCGGATGAGTTCGAACATGGGTCATCTCGGATGAAAAACTAGGTCACAGGAGCTAAAAATAGAAAAACCTTGTTAACACTCTAGTGGTCACAATTTTGACTCAATTGTCATCAAACTTGGTCAGGAAACTTGTCTAGGTCATTGCTGGGAATAAATCGAACATGGGACATTTCGGATGAAAAACTAGGTCACAGGAGCTAAAAATAGAAAAAATCTTGTTAACACTCTAGTGGCTACTGTTGTGATCCAAATATTCTGTTAATTGGTCTGAAAGTTTGTTTTGATGATTTCTAAGTCAAGATCGAACATGGGTCATCTTGGATGAAAAACTAGGTCACACCGCCCAAATATGGAAAAACCTTGTTAACATTCTAGTGGTCACATTTTCGACTCAATTATCATCAAACTTGGTCAGGATGTTTGTCTAGGTAATTGCTTGGATGAGTTCGAAATCGCATGTGAAACTAGGTCACCGGAGCTAAAAATAGAAAAATCTTGTTAACACTCTAGTTGCTACTGTTTTGATCCAAGTATCCTGGAAATTGGTCTGAAAGTTTGTTTTGATGATTTCTAGGTCAAGTTTGAATATGTGTCACCTGGGTAAAAAACTAGGTCGCACTGCTCAAATATGGATAATCCTTGTTAACACTGTAGTGGTCACATTTTTGACTCACCTGTCATGAGACTTGGTCAGAATGCTTGTCTAGGTAATTGTTTGGATGAGTTTGATAATTCAGGTGAGCGATCTAGGGCCATCATGGCCCTCTTGTTTTTCTATTTTTAGAAATTGCGTCATTTTTTTCTATTTTTAGAAACTGCGTCATTTTTTTCTATTTTTAGAAATTGCGTCATTGTTGCTATTTTTAGAAATTGCGTCATTTTTTCTATTTTTAGAAATTGTGTCATTTTTTTCTATTTTTAGAAATTACGTCATTTTTTTCTATTTTTAGAAATTGCGTCATTTTTTTCTATTTTTAGAAATTGCGTCATTGTTGCTATTTTTTAGAAATTGCGTCATTTTTTCTATTTTTAGAAATTGTGTCATTTTTTTCTATTTTTAGAAATTACGTCATTTTTTTCTATTTTTAGAAATTGCGTCATTTTTTTCTATTTTTAGAAATTGCGTCATTTTTTTTCTATTTTTAGAAATTGCGTCATTTTTTTCTATTTTTAGAAGTTAAGTCATTTTTTCTATTTTTAGAAATTGCGTCATTTTTTTCTGTTTTTAGAAATTGCGTCATTTTTTTTTTCTATTTTTAGAAATTGCGTCATTTTTTCTACTTTTAGAAATTGCGTCATTTTTTTCTATTTTTAGATTCTATTTTTAGAAATTGCGTCATTTTTTCTATATTTAGAAATTTCGTCATTTTTTTCTTTTTTTAGAAATTGCGTCATTGTTGCTATTTTTAGAAATTGTTGCTATTTTTAGAAATTGCGTCAATTTTTCTATTTTTAGAAATTGCATCATTGTTGCTATTTTTAGAAATTGCGTCATTTTTTTATTTTTAGAAATTATGGCATTTTTTTTCTATTTTTAGAAATTGCATCATTTTTTCTATTTTTAGAAATTGCATCATGTTGCTATTTTAAGAAATTGCTTACTGTTGCTATTTTTAGAAATATGCTTAATGTTTCTATTCATATATATATAAAATATATAAACAAAACTAATGTGACAAGACAGACCAACTAAATTTATAAAAAGGAAACGTTAATATATGTTCAAACCTTTCTATGTTTGCGTTTAGAAAAAGTAAAAAGTCAAGCGTTGCCCCCCCCCCGGCGGTGGCTCTTGTTGTATATTCTTTCTGTCCTTTAATTTGAAATGTTTTTATTTCAGGTATGTTTGTAATTCACTAGGATTGTATGTTTGTAATTGGTATCGTAGGTTATATAGTTGTCTGTCTTTCTTTAAACCTACAGCTGTACCATGGGTATGTATATATTATTGATTTGTAATGTATATTCTATGTAAGTGGAAACATAATTATGATAGATTTGTGTTTTCTTTGTTCTGCAGATATTTTCTTTGTGGTGGAAAAAATATTTATGATGCTTTTTTAGTGACTTCGTATCAGCAATGAAAATTTCAAAGAACATTTATTGATATTCAAGACAGTCTTTCATTACTCTAATTTCATTCTTGTTTATTTTTATATTTATTATTTTACAGCCATATGGGATTTTTTATCTCGGATTCCATATCACATTGATACATGCCAACATGTCTAAAATAGTGATATGTTATACATTATTCTAACACGACCCTTAGTTTTCCCTATTGAACAAAGAAGAACCGAAAGTGTGCGTTATGCTATAAAATCACTGTTTGACGTTCTATATTTAGACATGTGACGTAATAATTATACACGTGATGTAACCACTAAAAACGTGACGCACTGACAATAAGTACAGAAACAAATTAGGCGCAATTTAGCTTAATATCAGGTACGGCAGCATTTATCTGTTGATGTTGTGTTAGAATCGAAATAATATATCCAAATCGGTGATTTTATTGCTTGATAAAATCACTGTTTGTCGTTCAGATGTGCATCATTATATCACTAGTGCGTAGCCCTAGCGATATAATTCCTCGCATTAGAACTCCAAACAGTGATTTTAATGAGCAATAAAATCACAGTTTGGGATATATTATTTCTTAATTCACACTCAGACATTACTAAAATATTTACTGATTATTAGTTACAGAAAGACGAATTACCAAAAGATCTTACAGCATGGTTATCAGAACAATTCAAAGAAACAGAACAACCTGAGCAGTATGTAGTATTCTCAATAAGTGTATATTAACTATTTCTCAAAACACAGCTGTTCTGGATATTATTCTAAAATTAATGAGCAATGATACATTGTATTTTGTAAAAGTAAGGTATCCAACTAGCGTACACATACTAAAAATAGTGGTTCTACACAGGTGTTCTGCTACAGGGAAAGCTTTGATCATTGCACCTAAACCATGTTGGTTTGACGTTAAAACTTGATCTAAAAAAAAAAATATAGAAATGACTTTAATGTTAGACATGTTTCAAAAGTGTTCCACTCATATTAGTTTCTGTTGTGTTATAGCAGATAAAATTATGAATATAGGATACATGTTGTTTTTGGTTCATTCATTTCAATATGGAAAACATGATAGACACTTCTTGCATATCAGACTGGTGTTTCTAAGCCTTATTTGACATTACTGCTTAATGGGCAGGTCCCCTCGGGACATATATTCCAAATTGAATCACAACAAAGACATAATTTAATCTGGCAACATATGACAGATATTAATCTGAACATTTCATTATTGAGAAGTCATGTTTAAAATGATTGTTACAGTAAAGCAAACAACAATAAAGAAAAACATTATCTTATAAGTTTGGAAATATCTTTTACCTGTTGAAAGGACATAGGTGGGTAATGTTTTTAGCCTTAATTACTGGTACCTAGCTTCTGTGGGTATGCATCCTACAAAGTACAAGGTAAAATTCTGTTGAAAAATGAAGTTGTGAAGCTTGTTTACTGAAGGTCATGGTTGTAATCAAGCCCCTAAATGTTAGTTCTGTATTTGATTTTCTGTATATTTTAGAAACTTGATGGAAAGTGTTGAAGGTGAAAAATCAAGTGGGAGTTTACCTGCAAATGTTCAGTTTTTAGAATCAGCTGATCAGGAAGATATTGGAGGTATATCATTTGTTATTTTCTTCCTTCCTTTTTTTTGCATTTTACAACATTATACAACATTTTACAGTTTTAAAAGTTCATAGGTCAAGGAAAGCCTTTAGAATGGTCTGTCTTGCCATGTCAGCATTGACACTGGTAACGGATTGGAAGTCTAATCTGAATAACATGTATCCTAGGAGACAATTTTGACCCCAATATAAATTCTTAACAATACCTAGTCCTGAAATTTATTTCTATAATACTTATGATGATTTTAAATATGTTATTTTAACTCCTGCCAGAATGTGAAAATGTTGCCACTTACATCTTTGCTACTTTCATAGTCAGAACCAAACACTATATACAATTTTGAAAATGGCAGATGAACTGTTTTAGTTTTTGATCTAATGACATTGAGGTGTGTTTAATTAATTGTTGTATGCCTTTATTAGTGATAAGGTATTTTTTACTTGAAATTCACGAAGTATCTTCCTTAGTGTTACAGAAACAATTTATTTTTTTACTGTGTATAAATTTTATAAAAACATTTTATTAGATATAGTGTTATATGTTCTTTGATACAAGTTAATCAAGATAGAAACAAACAGTTTACCAATTTAAGACATTCAAATATATATCTTTATTTTACCCTTGTTGAATTGACCAATTTACATTCAATTTTTTTCTCATTTAGAACCAATACGGAGAAAGACCGTTGTTGAAGAATCAGATAATCTACAAAACAAAACCTCTACTGTCACTGATAGTGCTGTAGCAATGTATAGAAATAAAAGGAAAATTGAGAAGGATGATAAAGGTTATGGTGATGAAACAGAAACTTCAACAAAAAAGAAGCAGAAAATATTGATAAAACCAGAAAAGACTAGTAATAAAGGTGACACAATAATGAAAATAGAATCTACCAGAGAGTCAGATTCTGACTCAAATGTTAGATCAGGAGATGAGGATAATGAAATGGGTAAAATGCATAAATCATTAGATGTGAACTTTAAAGATAATGGTAGCATAGAACATAAAGTGCCTGCAAAAGTGGCAGATTTTGATATTAGTAGTGTGACTGATGTGAAAGCCCATTTACAAAATGTTCTTCAAACTTCAGAAGATTTTGACAATTTTGTTCAGCAAATAAAGACTGGGACTTTTAAAATTTGTGAAACTTGCTGTAGCTTTTCAAATGTGGGGAAGAAAAAGATATTGAAAAACATAGGTAAATGGAGAAATTCAATGAAAAATAAAACTACAGGATTAAAAACAGAACAAATATTCTTGGAAAAAGTAAGAGGACCTTTAAGTGAATTGATAGTAAAGCTCAATCTTACACCTATGGTAGCAAAAGTTAAAACAAAAATGGAGCTAAATTCTGGTCAGAAAGAGGATAAAGGTAACAAACAAGGTGTTGTAGCACAAGAAGAAAGTGGTCAAAATTGGTTGAAGAATGAACTAGAAGATGTACAAAGGACAAGTGATATGCAGTTAGGGTTAAGTAATCAGTCTGCTATGAAGATAAAAAAGAAAAAAGATAAAAAGATGAGAGCAGAAGTGACTAATAGTACAATGACTGGGACAATGGAGCATAGTCAAACTAAACAGGCTAATGAGACAGTTGTTAAATCTAGTTCCTCTAGAAGGAGGAAAAGGAAGTCAAAGAAAAAGTGATTATTTGTAATGAATAAGATTATGTATGTATATTCTGAAAATTTGTAAAAGTTGTTAAAAAAAATTGTAATTTCAACTTAATTTGTTTGAAATATATTTGTGAGAAAATATTTTATTTAGATGCAAGGCAAAGTTGCTAGAAGTTAGTGGTGATTTTACTTAAAATTTTGTAAAAAAAGAAATGTTTATCTAAAATTTAACAAGTGCACCTGTCCAATTACCTAGACCAATTATATTTGCTTTCCATTTATTTTATTATAATACATTGTTTTGATTATTACATAAGCAAAAGTGTGTAATACATGTACATTGTTATGATTCTAACATAAGCAAAAGTCTTCTGTTAATAAAAAATTAAAATATTATGAACACACTTGGTTTCATTATCTCATTTTCCCACCAACTATCAAGTAAGGATTAATTTGGTGTGATATTGATATTGGATGGCTGCGCATTTAAAGGATTTGTAGACTACTGTCAGAGTAACTTGGTCATATTTGCTTAGCTCCACTAGGATGAGCTATTATGATTCCTACGGTATGTTGGGTGGCATCAACCACATCTCATTTGCTATCATCAGGCCAATGTTTATGACTTATCAGGAATGTTCCTTTATAAGTTGTATAAAAAATTCCATACCATGCAAAACTTTGGCTGCCGAGGCAACTGAATGCAAAATCTATAAAAATCTTAATAATTATAAAAGTTTTGGCTCCGCCAGGGGGTCGCTTGATTTTACTCAAAAAGGAAATAACTTCATACTCCGGCAATTTGGTCTATAGCATTGTCTAGTGGATCTTTACTTTTGTCCAGCAAATCATTACCAAGTTTGTTCAAATCCTAAACCATGGATCGAAGTTTGGGGGTCACTTGATTTTAAATATTTATACAGGGAAAACTATAGACTTGTCTTCTCCATAAAAGTAACTTGCAGTGCATAGAGCTTGGATTTTTTGTGTGGAGCATTGTTTAGTACCCTAAAGTTTGATCAAAAATTGTTCCTGGTCAAAGTTGGCCTGTCTCCGTGTGTCCCATGATTTTACTCGCACCGGAAGATTTTAAAATTCTCTATAACTGCAAGGCCTAAAGCTTTGGTATTTGGTGTGTAGCACGGAATAGTTGACCAATACTAAGTTTGTTTAGATCATGCCCCTTTGGAGACAGAATAAGCCCTACCCAGGGAACCACTTTATTTAACTTCTACAGTAAAATATTTTCTATGACTACAAAACTTAAATATTGGTATGTAGCATTGTAAAATGGACCACTATCAAGTTTGTTTGAATCATAACCCTTGTTCCAAATTTTAACCGCCCCATTTTGGTCACTTGAATTTATATAAAATAATAAAGGAATACCTTTATAACTCATTTTAATGTCTCTAGTGAACATTTCGTTATATCATCCTTGGTGGGATGTTTCCGAGGTGTTGCAGAAATAATAGAATATAACAAAAGAAAAATTGAAAAAAAAAGAAAATATATAAAAAAATATTATAAAAATATTGCATAAACATCAAACCATAGTTGCAAAAAATGCAATATTTCGCTTTCCAAGACTCTTTACGATTTAATAAAGATGTTTGTCGGTCAAAAGTAATTTTAAAATAGTAATACTTCTTACATAAGAACAAATTCATACATAAACTCTACCATTGACACATTGGACATGTTTACTTTCAGTTTGCTAAATAATTTAATTTTAATTTGATTAAATAGACCATGGAGCTTTACATTCATATCTGTAATAATCAAAATTTTATTTCTAAATATCTATTGAATTAGAATTGCATCATTAATGTCAACTTAGAAGTGATTCGAGAAAATGGAACAAAACCTAGCGTATATCTTCATTTTTTTTTTCATTTTCATGTTTATTAAAATAACTATAATGTTTCCAATAATTACCAAAGTAAATGGTGGAAATATCTTAAATGTTGTGATTGTGCCAGACGAAATTCATCAGAATTAAATGGTAGATTGGTAGATTTTCTTATAAATAAAATTCCATAGCAGCCTTTTTTCTTTTTTCTGTATCAATAATACTAGTACTATACAATTTTTGTGTGGATGTAAAAAGTAAATTAAAAATGATATATTTGTTAAACTGGTAATAGTTACCATGCACCAACTATGTTAATAACAAATTGTACAATTGCTGTAATAATACAAAACGTTACTATTACAATTCGCAATTGAATCAAAGTACTGAAAGCTCTATAAGTATAACTGTGGTCATGTAGTATATGAGTAGTGCCAAGGTCTAGCGCTGGTGTATTTTGTTAATCCACAAAAGCTCTACTATTATTACTAACATTATTATTAATACTTATCCTCACCCTAACCCGGTGGTATAATTTCTGATTATAGGGTTTTATTACTTCAAATATATTTTCTTGATCTTCATTCATCATTGGCATCATGTTTGAGAAGGTACAAGGTAGCAATGTCAAGAATTGGACCACCTATTAATATTTTTTTTTTTGCTTAAAAATGGTAATTTTTACTCTGTACTCTTTATTACAAAAAAGAATAAACTTCAGACTGTTTTGTTCATTATAATTAAACAAACGTGTACGAAAACTTTCATGACTAGCATCTATATTTAAAGAATTATCTGCACTTGCAACTTGTGTATCTATAAATGGTATTTTTTACTCTATACGTATAATAACCTAAAAGAATTACTACTGACTATAATTAAGCAGTACGTATATATAATCAAGGGTTATAACTCTGGCATTTGAATGTAAATATTTGAAATAAGTGAAAAAATTTAAGTGAAGGACATCTAACTCGAAAACAAAATCACTGAGCCCATTTCCCGCTTTTTTTCGCTTGTTTGTTATCATCTACGAAAGTTTAAAAAAAAACACCTTTCCATTCTGCGTAAAACAATTCTGTAACTATCTATCATATGCATTCATTTAGATAAAAAAATGTTTCTGAAAAACATATATGACAAAATTACATGTATACTAAATAAATGTTATATACATGTTCATGTATATATACGTCCCTGATAATAATTGTGAATATGCATTTACACAGACATTTCAAAATACAAAATGTAGTACAAAATCATTCTGTTTATAAATACCAATTAGTTACTTGACACTATTATGTTTACCGGTGGTGTGTTTTAACAAAAAGCTGTTGCCAAGAAAATTAAACACCCTCATTATTCAACCTATAAACTTAACTTTAATAATATCCCATATTAAGTTTATTGGCACATGATCTGTAAAATAGATTTTATTCCTGTTTAAGCCAAAATTAACCCCACTGATACCCAAACATGCTCGCTTCTTTTATATTCACGGCGATTTATGATTATTTATAGAACGTTGAAAATGCATATTTAATAGTGTTTCAATACATATAAAAAGGTAATCGATGATAGATCGATATTGAACTAGGCCGACGATGGGCGATTGTTGAATTTCTTTTAAGACATATTTCTGTGACTATCGATCGGAAAACTGATCCAGACATTAATTCGCATGAAGATTGTGCTGAAACTAAACAAAAATACTATCATTATATTTCATTTTATTTATATTAGATATATATAGTTATGGTTGTAACAAAATAACATCAGTATCTTTTCAGTAAGGCTACATGAAAATGATGCTTAAACACAATTGAAAAATAATCTGGACCAGATGAAACAGTTCCTTGAATATTGTGGTAGGTCGGTGATCGATGAAAAAAAGTATTGATTTTGAAACAGTAATATGAATGTCTAAAATTTTAATGAAAAAAAAAACATGTAATACCTGGTATGATAAAACGTAAATTTTAAAAATTTTGATAAGAATTCGTTTAGCAAATGCAGACATATAAGTATGCGTTTCAAGTTTGCAAATGAACTCTTTCGATATTACTGAGTCTAGTCTTAACCCATTACTTCATGAGCATTTTGTGAAAAATGGCTGTTTTCATTGAAAAGTCTCCCGTTACAAGTTCAAATTGCTATAATACTATAAAAACTGCTTCATCACTAATCAAACTTGGCACAAATGTTGACTGGACCATTGCCCTTGACACAAGATGCTCAGGCTTAACTTTTCTGTTACCATGGCAACGAGGGGACATCTCAAAATTGCCAAAAAATCACTATTTTGCGTTGATTTTTTCCATCAAAATTGATTTCAAAGTGCTGCAACTTCTCAATGGATAGAGATAGAGTCAAATGCTTTTCAGCGTTGGTTACACGTTGCCTAAGGATCAATCTTGGGTAATTTATAGCCTCTCACAAGTCCAAAATTTTCTTGGCGATGAGGGGGACTCCGCCCGCCCCCCTTCAAACCCCCCAAACAGAAGGGGGCACATCCCCCTTCTGGCAACCCCCTGATGTATCTTTTGGATGGGGGCCGCGCCGAAAAAGAGGTCACTTTTTTTAACAACATTTCTCAAACAAAAACAAGTGTTTGGGGCCTAAATAAGGCATTTTTTCATCATTTGAGACAACAAAAAAGGGGGGGGGGGGGTGAAAAAGGCGTTAAAAGGCGTGTATATGAAGTAATGGGTTAACCAACGGATCATTAGATAGATACATTTCTTGTGATTTTGGATTCAAGTGATTTAAGTAGTATTTTTCCCAGCATTTCGAAAGATTCACTGTGCGAGGTTTAAATATATCATTTGTTAAAAGAATGCTGCAAGTTTTATTGCGTATTGTTGTAAAATCTTGGCACTTATTTCAGTTATTTTTGCAAACCATGCAACACGTATAAAGAAGGTGACAAGGAAAAACCTACTTATAATAATGATTGCATTTCTAAGCAAATGCATCATGACCACATAGTATTACGTATATACATAATATCATGACAGTCTGAACAAGCAGTGGAAAATTATGACAAGACACAGAATTTATTACTTCATATCAATATTCTTCGCAAGGAATTGATTGTCTATTACCTATATTGTTTATTCTCACTAGGCTGCAAAACAAAAATACATGATTTGCAGCGATGTGTCAAACTGAAAATAGAATATATGTCATTATAAAATGTTTTCCGATATGACTTGTTAAATTAGGTGTTTTTAAATAAAGATTGTTCTAAAATAACCGTTGAAATGAATGCTCTAAGTATAGAACATAATCATATCATGTTCCTAATTTTGTCCTCTCATTTCATGCTATTTTGTTACCCGCACTGTGTAAACAATTTGAATTAAATATAAATATATCATTTTCATTTAAAAAGTAAGATATGCTTATCTGTAAGATTATCTATGTTAGACTATACGCTCGCGATATGAGCGTTATCGTATCAATTTACAAAGATACAAGTTATGTAAACAAAAGTACGTGAAATAAACACCAAAACATTTTTATTTTGAAGAACTGTTCAAACACGAAAATGCATTGCGGAAACATATCAGTTATCATTAACATTGCTGATCGAGAAAAGTTCAAAGAACACGGCCAAATGCATAAAACACCCCGCAAAATAAATGTGAAAATATCTGTTTTCTATATAATATAAAATATAATATAAAAGTGTTTTCTATAGCAGAATATGTGCATTACAATGGGGTCATACCAGAACGGAATATATGCTTTCCTTCGTCGCAATTATAGATATTGTATTAGTTTAATTGCAATAAATGATAAAGATCTTGCGATCGGAAGTAAAAGTGTGCTCGCAAAAAGATGATACATGTATATATTGTACAAGTTGAATTGTACCACTATATTATCCAGAGATTCCTATATTATACATTGTGAGAACGGTAAGTTCAGTTCTAATCGTTTGAGACAGAGACCGACTGTGCAACATGTGTCCAAACGCCATCAATATGATCTTCGACGATCTTCTTCAACTGCTCCGCTTCCGTCTTTCCGTTCACAGGAATGTACAACGTTGATCCAGAACCGGTCATACATACTTCTCTGTTTACTATGTCCGATAATTCTTCGTGCATTTTTTGTAGATCGGGATACAGATAAAAAACAGGAGGTACAAGGTCATTTTCTCCAAAGTTGTCCTCCAAGTTTGGATATACATCATTTAAATCTCGTACTTGTTTTCCGTGATAGTCAAATTCTTTGTAAACATGCGCAGTTGAAGCTTTAAAGTTCGGATAAATAAGTAAAAACCATTTGGGTTTCATTTCATGCAGACGGGTTACAGTTACACTGGAACGAATGGTAACAGAGCATGTGCCACCTTCAAGAAAATACGGGACATCTGATCCTATTTCAGATGCAAGCTTCTGTAACTCGCTAATACTATATTCTGGTTCACAGAAACGATTTAGGAATTGTAGTATGGCTGCCGCATTACTACACCCACCTCCTAGACCTGCTCCCACTGGTATCCTTTTCTTAACGCAAACTTCAATGCCAATCTTCAACCTGTCCTTTAACTTATTATATGCTTTCGTAATATCATTGTCTTGATTTAAAGGTATTTCCGACAAGTTGCAAATTATTTTACACTGCTTTTCATCACAGAGACGAATATTCAACGTATCGTGAAGCGATATTGTTTGGAATATACCTCGAATCGGATGAAGTTTTTGATTTTCTAACGACAAATGATAAACCCATAAACATAGATTTAGTTTCGCATTAGTCCTTATTTTGATTTGGTCCATTTTATACTAAAACACATGAAAGCGTTCTTTTCCCCGATATTATGATATGATAAAAATAATTTAGTATATTTTATTAAAAAAACTCGTCTTTTCACACTGATACAATGTTTATTGTTCTAGATGTTAAATTTTCCATATATAGGAAACTTAACGTATAGAAAATTTAAAAAAAATCTCAAGATCTTTTTTTTGCGAGTTTTGGTTTCCCTAAATTTAAATCATGTTTATAAATATTTGATTGTGCATTGAATTTGATACGATAAACTTTAAACATAAAAATTAAGTCGTAGAAAAACATTGATAGCTACAATAGCCCCTAATTTTGAATCCAAGTTCATTACAATATGTTAATGTTTGTCATGGGGCGACTTGGCGCGAAACTTCAACATAATTCTTCTTTCTGTCTCTCCTTTCTTTCGAAAACCATTGTACGTATATTTGATTTTTTTCCATCAGAAACAAAATTTCAAGTATGATCATGTTGATTGCTAAATGTGTATTATGAACACTTAGAATACAACAAAATTTATACACATCTTTTTTTTTTTACTTTTCTTCAGACAAATTGCGAAAGGTTAACCGCACTACACTAATAGTGTTAGGCTCCCTTCACAGCTCAGTGATTACACTCTTCTTACTTCACAGAAAGTGAAACATACTGGCGATGCGCAGCATAGTATAATGTTGTAAAACATGTGGTCCGACACTTTTGCTTTTCTAAACAATTATAGCATTCATTTAGGATATTGAATAAGTGTAAGTTCAATACTGAATTTATTGAACGAGTTGAATAATATTATATCATGCGAATATAATATAATATTCTATTTATCAAATACCAAAATAAAGACTGTTTAAAGTAAAAAAAGAGTTATTATTTCATTGACACGTCTATAGTACACTAGCTATTATGTTTGTATAGCGCAAATGACGTCACGTCAAAATATATGCATTGCAATACCATTTTACGGAGTCGCAAAAGCGCTACGGATATGTTATAAATAGACATTGTTGAATGAGTGTAAGTTCAATACTGACTATTGAACGAATTGAATAAATTAATACATTCTATGATGCTAGCCTATTGTGTGCAAAATATTATTTTATTAAATGAGTTCAATAAAATCAGTAATGAACCTACACGAATATAATATTCTTTTTATCACATGCCCAAAAGACTATTTAAAGTGCAAAAGAATAATAATATCTGTCGTAACTATGTTGAGGTGCGGATGTAATATGGAGAGAAACCATGCAGTGCTGTTGTGTATTTCAACGTTATAAGCGTGGACCAAGGGTGCAACAAAAAATTTCCAAACTAACTTTTTGCTTTCTTCTAATATTCTTTGAATTGTTGTAAAAGAATCTTAACTTTGACGTCCAGTATCAACAGTTTGTTTTTGTTTTGATTGTAGCATCTAAAATTCTTAATGATTAAGATTTAGTCTAGGCAGGAAGGTACACTGTGTATATGTGCCAATAACACTTTCTTTATGTAAAAAAACCGTTATTCTTCGATAGTCTCGGTGATGTGAAAGGCTTTCGAGCTTCTTCCACTAGTCTTCCACACCCTACACTCCAGTTATCATCACATAAATACACATGACATTTATGTTAAGTTAATATTTGTCATTTTTTATTTTACAAAAAGTCAAATGCTAGATCTAAATTGGGTCGCTTTTAAATGAATGCAGTTTTTTTTTAAGAAAATATTTACAAGAATAGAAAATTTGATGGGCAGATGTTAAAAGAAATGTTTTTCGTCACAAGACATTTATACATGTGCTGTCGTTCGTGCATGGAAATAAAGTACATGTATATGTTCGCTCTATCACTTTCGTCGAGATAAAAACCTTTGTGTTATTTATTTAATCTTTGGGTTTAATTATCCTTGTTATGATACTCTTCAGTTTCACCAAAACGCAGAAATGTCAAAATGAGTAAAACATCACTTGATGAGCTTGCAGAAAATTTAAAGGGAAAGATTAGCGATATTGAAGAAGAAATAAAGCGACAAGTTGCAGAGAGACTTTCAAAATATGATCTGACTTTAGTAAGATGCCTAGTGCTTGTCATTCATTGAAACACTTCGCGTTTTCTTTTTTACAGTTTTACGTTTATCGGAAAAAGTATGCGAATTTGTATCTTAACAAACCTTTATCCATAAATTTCCACAGACACTTGGGGTTTGGAGCTCAAAACGCCTTTAAAATCCAAATAAAATGCATATTTGTCAATCCCAGCACATGTACTGATCATAATATAAGCCGTTTTGAAAAAAAATCATATTTCAACATCTATAATAAGGGTGGGTCCGCTATAATAATACACAAGATAAAAATGTTCGCCGGAAAAAATCCGCACCCCTACCGTCATAATCACCATGTATTTTATTCCATTTCCAATATTTTCACATAATCCTTTGGTCCATCGACACAGAAGATATAATTCTTCACGATGATGGTCAATTTTAAACTTCAACGGTAATATAAACAACGCAACAGCTGAAATAAGCATCAAGATTATCACCGTTTTCCTCCATTTACAAAATCTTTCGATAGATTTCCATCTCCAGTCGGCTGTGTACGAAGCCATCCGATTGTAAATTCAAACGTCGCCCCAGCTTTGCCGTGTGCAAATGCGCAGCGCTTTTAAGTTTGGGAACCAACATAATTGGATGGCTTCGTACATTAAATGAATTGTTTATATAATTTCAGAGTATTGTGGTAGCAGTTTCTGTGGCTATTATCACCACCCTAGTCATTGTTGTCTTTGGACTATGGAAGCTAAAGAAAAGAGGTAACTAAAATAATATTAACATTGATGCAGTGTACGAAATTAGGATTTGAATCCAAAAGGCTGGTCAGGCTACCAAATTAGAATATTCACTAGCTCAAAAGACATTTCACTATTATGATTCATTCGTTCCAATCATTTCTTTATATTGCCTTTGAAAATACAGTAGCCCGGTCGGGCTTGTTACTGCGAAATATTGGTAGCCCAAGGAGAAATGTGGTAGTCATGGGCTATCAGACTACTGCTAATTTCAAACACTGATTGATGTATTTATTTCAGTATTTGTACAAATGTATTAGATTTCATGACATTAAGTGATTAGAAATATAATCTTAATTTTTAATTTAGTCATTGTTGTTACATTTGTGATGAAATTTATGGATTATTAAATTGAAATTCTTCAAAAACAGTTGTTTACTGCCATTGTTTTGCAAAAATAGAACTCAAGTGTAACAACCCTCCCTTAAAGAAACCTTGAATTGTCATTGATCTAATTCTGTTGTTGATGTGATTGTATAAATGAAGTTTATTTAGGTGTGTTACAAGTTTGTTTGACTATTTTAGCGGCTCAGCAGAGCCAAAGTGGTACACACAAGAAGTACCGGTTCAGGAAGAGGGACAAAGTCCTCTTCTATGGACGCAAGATGCTCAGGAAGGTAATATGTGGAAAATCTCATATTAAAAGTTTGTTATTTATATTTTATGATTATGAAGTGCATATGTGTTTTCACTTATGTATGGTTATCATTGAGAGTTTAGGTCAATCTTGGTCCAAAAAGATTTGAAGACAAAAATAGATTGTTTAATTTTTATTACACAGTGTAGTACAAATGTATATAAAACAGCAGTCATGGAAGGGAAGGAGTAGAAATGGCTGCTCACAGTACACAGATTTTGCAATAAACATGCATAGTATTTCCAATGAAACATACTACAGACTTATGTATAAATTTCAAATTTTATTTCATTTTATTTATTTTGCATATATTAATTAATTAATGAATTTGAGTATGGCTTATGCCAAACTCAGCGGTAAATCTAGAAGAACGTCCAGAATCTAGCATATGAATGACTCTAACACGATCCTCAAGAGAGATGAAAGTTTTGTGTTCATGGTAACATGATTGCCATAGAGAATAAAAAATTGTTAATTCAGCATGTTTTAAAGACATCATATTTACAATTTGACGTACAATTAATCAAACAATTAATGAGTTCAATTATCGCAATATTCAATTTACACCAACTAAATTAAATAACGTGAGTGTTTTTTCATGATAAAAACACCGACCGCATTAATCCTTTAATTATAATTTTCACAAAAACATTAAACAACAATAAAAACACTATCCGTAAATTACTGTTTGCGGGTTTAATCTTATATTTACCATTCATCAACACTTTGCTAATTGTCAAATACACAGGTGCAGCTGGGTAGGGCTGAATCTAGGTCGCGTAAGGGCATTTATAGATTTTCTCTTCACATGCTTGTGTGTTTTTACCTATGTGAAACTTTGTTGCCCGATAATTGTTGGTCATTGTATACGTGATTTGATTAAGTAGAGTGACCGTTGGCTGCATATCACAGATTAGTGTGATACGCAATGCATTTAAAGAAAAAAATGTACAGATGGACTTCAGCTGACCGTTGAATAAAAATTGGCTGTTGTGCAGGCGTGACTGCTTGTTCAGATATTACTGTATAAAGAAAGCCACAAAAATATTTTTGACAAAGTCACCATTGACAGAGTTGACATACCATTTGTACATGCATGAATCAGCATATTGTGTTATCAAAGAAACACACCCTTAACCAAACCCTACCACTACTTACCATTGATAGGGAATGAGTATGGAAAAAAAACATTTTATTGTTTAATTACTGTTAAATCAACAAGTTTGCATACTCACTAAAATATTACTGATGCATTGATGTTATATGACACAGATGGACAAAAAGAAATCATATTGAATACAAATGTTTCTTTTATTACTATAGGTAAGCAGTTTTTCTCGGAATACAATCAATGCTGCAGGATTGGGACAGGGGAAAGGCAGAGCTGAACTGAATAAAAAAGAAATCATGATGCTTGCTAGAAAGTAAGAAGATAATTACATGTATAACTTTATCTTCCACTCACTTACTAAATACTCAAAGCTGTCAACATGGTATGGCAAAAGTAGTTAATAGTAAAATTTGCTGAGGCCAGCAATTTTTTCAGAAGCTGGGAATTTCAGAGAGTAACATGAAATATAACATATTATACTCTAATTTTTAGCTTTTGAAATATAAAGGTAACAATCTGAATTGTTTTGTTGTGCCTTTGTGTTCTGAAAACAGTGTGAAACTGTTGCACAATGCCTTACAAAGTAATTGATTATCATGTATGTACTAAAATAATTTATTCATATTGTAAGGTTTTCAAAGATACTGCGCTTAAAGAAAGATCCATCCCAGCCAACTCTGCAGGTGAAAGGACCACCAAAATCTTTCTTTGAAGCGGATGGAGCAGATATGGAGGAAGATCACAGGATTCCATCAGAGGTGCTCTACATGCTCAGAAGTGTCCGGTTAGAACAATTACATGTATCTTCATTGTATAGTCATGTTGAGACTCCTTAAATATGCTTTTTACATGGGATTATTATTTCATATGCCAAAATACTTAATTTTTGCAGTCTGATTTAAATGACTATGTTCATACCTTTAATGAGACAATATGCCTTTGTTGTTGTTTGATAATTTTATGACCAGTATAAAGCTTTTTAAGCCCTATTAAACCTGAACATGCTAAATGTCATAAATGGCCATCTTTCAGCTTGGTCAAAATTATTCATTGTTTTTAGAGAAAATTTCAAAATTATTATATTTCTACAAACAATTTATTGACATGTTTTGATTTTGCAGGGTATTTGGTCACTTTGAGAAACCATTGTTTTTAGAGCTTTGTAAACATATGGAGTCAAAGTTTGTGCCAGCAGGGAGTTACCTGTTCCGGGTTGGAGATGAAGACAACTGTATATATGTAGTTCAAAGTGGCAAAATAAATGTTTACATCACTGAAGGGGTAAGGGATTAACTCTCTCAATTAATACTTACTTTGTTTTGTTTTATGGGATTATGAGATGTATCTTACATTTCAATCATTTTTGTTTTGACATTTGAATTGAAAAAAATGTCTCATAAACTTTTGTTGATAGATTTGAGAGGTCTTGACAAAACAAGTATGTAAATTTGCATAATTATATTATTTGATAAATCAAATTTATTTTTGCAATTTTGAAATCTTTACTTTAAACGATAATAGCTAAGCTTGAAGCAGTCAAACTTGATAAAATATTACCATCTTTTACTTTCAAGTATTAAGTCAGTTATTAATGTTTATAAATTGTATATTGAAATGTTAAACAGGGATCTGAGTATCTGGTGAAAGAGGTTGACACTGGGGACAGTATACACAGTCTACTCAGTATTCTAGACTTTATTACTGTAAGTATTTAACATTGATAAACTAATCTTATTGCTGTATAAAAACCCTTAACATGCCATGTCTATTTTGTAATTTACTCTGTATAGAAATGAAGATGGTCAGTTTTGAAAGACACATCTTTCATATTATTCTTGTGTAATATCTTGATTATTAACATTGCATAATTATCTTTTAGATCTGAAGTTTCTTCTCTCCTTCTCGTAGGAAATCCAAACTTGATTTAATATATTTTTGTTGAAGGGTAAACCTCAGCCTTACAAGACAGTGTCAGCTAGAGCTGTTGTTGATACAACCATTCTAAAGTAAGTAAACTTCTCTTTACATAACCATCCTTTTATATTCTAATTTTATCTGGTTTACAAAATAATATGCTATATTCAGTTTCTTTTGTTTTATTGGTGCAGTTAACAAAGAAAATCATATTATCAATTATATAATAAAGAGGATATGCAAATAACTTGTGTGAAAAATTACATAACAAATATTTTTCAAAATTTTTTTTTGGGAAATTTCTTCATTAAGAATATAATAGGATATGCATTTTTTCTACTATACATGTATATTCAGATTGTATTAGCAGTCACTACCAATACTCTCTATAAGTTAGAGACCGGGGTAAGTTTACATTGTTCATGGTGATGTTTCATATTGCATTAAATATTTATGTAGGTGATCACTTTACATTATATGTTACAGATTACCAGCTACAGCTTTCCAATCATTGTTTGAAAGGTTCCCAGAGTCTCTTGTCAGAGTTGTTCAGGTTTTGTTTACAATTTTTTCTTAATTTTGATAGCTTTGTAGATTAATCTCATTGTACAATTTTGTTGATCTTATATTTGTCAATTAGTGAATAAAATTGACACAGAAGTCTGTATACATTTTTGTGCCCCTGTAATATATCTGATTGAATGTCAAGTCTCAAGTTGACTGATGTGTATTTGATTATATAATGATCCATACTGTATTTAATACAAATAAAAAGTGGAAAATTATTTTTAAGAAGTTATGTAAAGATTTGGTCATACAACAATACCTAGAATGATGTAACTGTACTTCTTCTCTAAATTACAGAAATATATCCTATTACTTTAATTTGTTTGATATATTTATCATAATGTGACCATTTTGTCAACAGGTGATCATGGTAAGACTACAGAGGGTAACCTTCACAGCTTTACACAACTATCTTGGTCTTAGTAGTGAACTTATCAACAGGGTAAGATTCTTACAGTGTTTCATAATCATTTTATTGTTTTTATCATACAATTTCAGTGATTGGAATAACATTTACTGAAGGAAATAAGTTAAAACTCCACACACTTGTTCTTTGTGATCATATAACTCTGAATTACCCCTTACAGAGCTATGCCCTTTTTCATTCTGTCAAGCACCAAGAATGGTCAAGCTGGCTGTCTTTCAGATAGCTGTTCTTTTAAATGATTTCTCTATGACTTCTTCATCAATGTTTTGCGTAATAGAATTTTCTTGTATAAATTTGAAGAAAAGTTATTTTGTTGATTTCAGCGTAATTCAGTGGATCTCAAGACTCTGTCTATACATGCTATAGCTTCACAAACACCACTGTACAAGAGGCACAGTAGTCAAGCTGGTATATCTGAGTCAGAGAATGAAAAACATGAAGCTACAGGTAACATATATATAAATTAATATATATAGAAATATGAAAAATGACTTCACATGCAATTAATTATTTGATATAAATCAAAATGCCAAACATGTTTCACCTATACTGCTCATCAGTATGTATATTTTATACCTAATTTTGCTTCCTTTTTTTTCTTTTTTAGCTCACCTGTCACAAAGTGACAAGGTGAGCTTTTGTGATCGCTTTTCATTCGATGTCCGTTAACTTTTACTTTAAATGACATATCCTCATTAACTAAGCCAATCTCATCCAAGCTTCACAGGAATGTTCCTGGTGGCCACCTTTGAAAATTGTTCAAAGAATTTTAATTCCATGCAGAACTCTGGTTGCCATGGCAATCAAAAGAAAAAACTTAAAAAATCTTCTTTTAAAAAATCCAAAGAGCTAGAGCTTTGATATTTGGCATGAAACAGCATCTGATGTAGTGAGTGTCTACCAAGTTGGTTGCTCTTGTAAGGTTTCGATGAACCTGTCACAAATTAACAATTGAAATGGGAAGACAAAATAATATACCACTTCATGAACGAATATGTTTATTTTGTTTTAACCAAAATAATGTAACTGCTATTGATTGTGAATTTCATGCCTTTTTTCAATGTTCTAAGTATAATGACGTCCAAACTAATTATTTCTTTAATTGGTATTCAAATGGTACTACAATTAATGATTTTTATTCGCTGATGAATACACAAAATGAAGAAATCATCTATAAACTATCTCTGTTTGTATTTCACTTGTTGAAAAGTACCAGCTCTTGACTTATTTTATTCTAATTTTATATGTTATGCAACTTCATTCAATACATGTATACAATATTATATTTATACTGATGTGTATTTTGGGCCGGAGGCCTTTATTTACTTAAATAAAGTTGAGTTGAGTTGAGTTTGTTCCAAGTTAAATCCCTTGGGTTAAAATTGGCCTCGCCCCGGGGTCATTAATTTTCCTTATATGTATATAGTAAAAACTGGAAAAAAAATCATCTCTAAAAAAAACCCAAAAAAGCTAGAGTTTAGATATTAAGCATGAAACATCTTCTGGTGAGTGTCTACCAATTTGTTCAAATAAAAGCCTTGGGGTCAAAATCATTCTTATTCATTGAGAGTTTTTATATACAGGTGAGCAATTTCAGGGCCATCATGGCCCTCTTGTTTGTATTAGTGTATATATGATACAGTAACTATACCTAGATCAAGACTGTTATTTATGTGCAGAAGATTTTTTTTTAAATAAGAACCTTACAGATCATATTCCAGTAGAAATTAGGGGCCTTCAAGTTGTATGGTAAAGGTCAATGATTTCAAATAAATTTTGCCTCACTACTGTGGGTCTGAATTTTGCAATGGTCTTTGGATTATTTCATGTCAAGCAGTTATCCAGTAAGTTTACATAAATTGTGTTAATTCAACTCAGATACCAGCTTGTGTCTAAAATAAAACAGAAAGAGACACCTGAAGTTTACCTCCAGCAGTTTAGCTGGTAAGTCAATATTACATTGACAGTGTTGGTGTGACTTAAAAATATTGAAAGCAAAATTACGTACAGGACTGCAATATTTTAGAATTTATAAAACATGAATCAATATATTGGTGGGATGGGCATAATGTTATTGCTGCAAGTGTTGATAAAAATGGAAAGAAAGTTTATGTTGCTGCATGCAGTATTGACAGAAATGTAGCAGATGTATAATATACAAAGTAATTCCAGAATAGAAATGTAACTAAATCATCTAGTCCAAACAACAAACATTGCTACACATTTATCAGGCCTAGTTAAATAAATCAAACTAGTTTTAAAATCATGTCTCATGGTGTTTCTTTCAGGTAAAGTACAGGCACCAAGTGTCAGTAGTGTAGCTGATGAGTCAGACAATGATACCAGGATAACAGATTTTGATGCTGCTTGTTTGAGGGCTCGAGTCACTGATGCCAGCAAAACTGTGTTAAGACAGGTAAGTTTATTCTCCTGTAAGATTGGAATGTTTGAAGTATTGTTGATATGTTAGTTTTGATAGGCAAGCTTGATGATACTTGTCAGCATTTAATGTAGAAATGTGATTAGATTAAGTAAATTGTATTACATATGAAGACATTGTTAGAAAGGTTATGGATGATGACAATGTGTTAAATGCCATTTATTCTCCACTGCTTTCTAAAATTGATATATGGGCCAAGTTAGCACTTGCTTAAGATAAAAAAAGTCTAGTACTAGTACAGAGCATAGTAATATTGAAATACTGTAATATAGGCACCAGTGTTGCATCTAGAATTTCAAAATTATGGGGTTTTGTCCCCCACTCAACTGAAAAATGTGGGGGATTTGAAAAAAATGTGGGGGGCATACATTTACCTTACAATATGACGTACCAAAAAGAATTCATTTATTTTACGTTCAGGTATTTTAGACAGCTATCTTCCGCTCAAAAACAGAAGTAGAAAAAATAAAATATTGACGAATACTACAAAACACATGGACTTCATTAAAATGCGCGATCTGCATAAAAAATGTGCAAATCGTGCAATCGCGCGGCCTAGATGTAACACTGGGCACATATGGAATAAACATTTTATTTAGCTATATATGAATTATATCTAGGTATCAGATGATGGTATGTCAGGGTCACCACAGGGTCCGAGAATGAAGATAAAACGTCCCTCAGAGCCATTTATCTCTGAAAGTGGCGAGACATTTAAAGATGAGGATATTCTGGACATGGCAAAAGCAGATCTTGTCAAGATTCTTAAACTGAAGGTTAGTTTTTTTAAGCCTTGGTGTAACAGTTTTTTTACATGCCAAAACTTTTTAAATGTGGTCAAATTTTTCCAGACATTAATGCCATAAAATAAAAAGGAATATGATTTAAATGTGGTGTTTTGAATACAATTTAAGGTGTTTTTCTTCAAATAAAGTGTATTGCACCCTTCATATAATGACAGTTAGACTCTCAACGGTTCCTATCAGTATGCATAGAAATTGTGTATATGTATAAAGAATGCTATATAATTTCTCAAAGACCAGTTATACTTAAACTATGGTGTATTTATGTACCTGTTACTGCATAAAAGTTGTATGATATGTCTGATACTGTAAGTGATCTTCTATGATAATCCACTTGGTTTGGTTAACATATAGAGTGTTGTCTATGCCCTTGTGTTGGGAGTCTTGTGACATGATGTAATACATGTATATATTGCTGACATCTTTTCTGCAATCAATTAAAATGAATAACCATTACGACTGATTACTAATGAAATGATTTACTATTACAATGTACTACATTTAGATGATTATATAGAAATGTAACTTGTATCATATTGTATATATGTGCAGGATGAGTCACTATTAGAGGACAGGGTACACTTACATACATACAGAGGTGGAGTCAATCTGATGAAACAAGGGGATCAGGTATAGCTTTATCCTTGTATTACAACATGACTGACCTTCCAGTCATTGTACAAATTTTCTTTCAGAATAATCTGTTATCATTTTAAGAAAAAAATTTATATATAGTTCTAAACTATTTCAATTATAATTACTTACTATTTCAAAATCATATATAAGAAAAAAGTATGTTGTATACATGTTTCCAGTAAACACAGGGAGTCCATAAACCTAGTGTAAATGGAATCTGTACCAGTATTAACTTGTTTTTCTTCAAGTTGCTGCCAATTTCACCACATAAATCATTTGAAACAGCAGGATAGGTTGAATACTGTTTGGAACCAAATTGTTTTTAACCCCTAGCCTGCTAGCTATGACTGAATTTACCCATGTTTCCAGTTCAGACCAAGATCAGAGACACATTTATGTTGTTTAATCATAATCTACACTGTTTGCTTTTGAGAACTAAATTATTTGATTTCTTTTCAAACTAGCAAATCTAATGTTAATATCACTTTCCTAAGCAAGTTAAGTGGGCATAAAGATTAGAGTATATTGAATTTTAATAAAATTGAGCAAATTTTGCACATATGTAAATATTAAATTCATGTGAATAGAGTATTTACATTAGATTGTTTTTAATCTGGGGGAAAAAAATTGTCCTAGTTTTAATGAAGTTGTGTTAAGGCAGAGATTTTTGATATTTTTCAGGAAGCATCAATATTATTTGTGGTCAGTGGTCAGCTGAATGTATTACAGCATTATGTTGGAGAAGTATCAAAAGAGGTATTTTGAATATTTAAATAAACTCATTTCTGCTAGTATCAATATTTCATGTAACTGAAAATCTTGTATATTCAGTTATACTTGTAAAGCATTTTTTGTGAATGTTTGTATTGTACTGTATGTCTTTATAAATGTATTTAAAATACAAATGATTTTTGGTATCTTTTTAGTTTTAGTGACAAAAATGGCATGCATTTGTCATTAGTATAGTGACAGACCAGTAGAAACACAGGCCAGTCTGTATGTTCATGCAGTGTAAGCAGATTGTGAGCTGGCACTTTAAGTTGTTTGATATTCCATGAATAAACAATTTCAAAAAAGGTTCAGCCCATCATGTTCATCAGGGCGAGTTATTTTGAACACACGTGTATATTTTCAGGTGAAATTATTTTCTGCCCAGCCAGGTGAGATTGTAGGAGCTCTAGCTGTGTTGACGGGAGAACCTTCTTTCTTTACTATAAGATCAAAATATGAGACCAGAGTTGTTGTTATCTCAAAGAAGGATTTCTACCTGTAAGACATTCTTTGTTGCATATACAGTATATCGTATTACCAGAATTAAACCATTTTAATTATTAATACATTTTATGTTCAAAATATATCTGCAAGTTTTATTTCATGATTCTTAAGATACTATGTAGAGGTGAATAGTATTATGAATATTCTTATTTAATATGCTGTATGACTCGTACAGGTCTTTGTAAAAATTATCTTCCCACAGATTTGAATTTTGTTGACAGTTGATCTTTACAATGAAATAACTTTTCAAACATTACAACAGTATGCAAACAGAGTTATGAGTATTAGCTTCATGTTGGATTTGAAAAAAAAAATCTTAATTTTGTGAGGTTGCATTTTTTTTTCTCATAAATACCAACAATACTAGTAAACAGGTGCTTAACTAAAGTAACATAAAATTGATAATTTCAGGATAATGAGAGAGCAGCCATCTGTTGTGTTAAATGTAGCTTCAACAACACTGATACGACTAACACCATTTGTACGTCAGATAGACTTTGCTCTAGATTGGATGATGATAGAAGCTGGTAGAGCTCTCTTCAGGTAGTTAATATGTTAACTGTTTCTTGTCCATGATTTGATGATACTGAAGGAATAAATGTAGATTAATTGTTAACTATATAGATATTATAAAAGGTTAAAGATTCTTAATTTACCGTTATGTTTAATGTTGCACAAAATGTTAGGAGTCTTTTTTCTATCATTGTTATTTCAAATTATTAAAGGTATTGTATTGTATGGGCGTGCATATATTTTGACATCATTTGCATTATACAAGCATAGCGTAAGTACTGCTGAATGTTAGCGTTACATTATAACTATGTCAATGAAAAGCCAATTGTTTTTGCTATAAACAGTTCTTATTTTAGATTTGTGATAAATAGAATATTGCAATTGTGTAGCTTCAGTACTAAATTTATTGAACTTGTTAAATAAAGTAATATTATGCTCGCCAGATGCTTGCATAATATCATTTTATTCAACTCATTCAATAAATAGAATATAGAACTTACACTCATTTATTTTCCTCTATGTAAGAAATGAGCTGCTTCTTGCTAATAATAGATATTTGACAGATATTTGAAACTTAAGCATTTGTATTAGGAATAGCAATAAGTCACTGGTTAATTTTGGTAGTCATATGACCATCCAAATGTAAGTTAATTGATTCTTTAGTACTCAGTAAAAATTGTATCACTTCCATTTTTCCTTGTATAATGAAAAATATCTATAATTTCCGAAATATATCTCCTCTCTAGAAACGTTTTAACTTGATAAATGTAACTGAAACATCCATGCAGAAAGGGGCATATTTTATTGCAATTTGACAATGATTTAGAAGGCAGGCAATCAACAATTTGACTGGTTTATACAATAAACATCAACTTAGCCGCTTATATCATTTTTGACTGTTATCAAGATTTCATTACCATAATAGTGTTTTATATAATTCATGAATTCTGTTAGAATAACTGTTACACTAGAATGTTAACTAGAAAGTTGATGACGTTAGTTAAAAAAATTGTTTCAGAACTATTTTTCAGGAAGATAATGGAATAGTCGCTACTTTTGTTCAATATTTAAACTAAGTTGTGTATTCAATATGTTGTACTGAAAAAACAAACTAATGCTGAGCCTTCATTAAATGAGTTTATTACATTTTATATGTTTACAGACAAGGTGACCATTCTGATTCTATCTATATTGTATTAACTGGTCGTCTGAGAACTGTGATAACCAATGCAGGTAATAAGAAGGAAATGGTGGGAGAATATGGTAGAGGAGAACTGGTTGGTATTGTCGAAGTCCTTACACAGCAGGAGAGGGTAACAACTGGAATAGCTGTAAGGTATGGTTGCCATGTTGTCTTGAACATGGTTTTGCTTACCTTCCTGAGTAATATCAGATAAAACATTTATAGCTTTTTTTCTTCATTTGTCAGTGATATATTTTGCAGGTTCAAATTTGGCTTTTTATAGTCTTATGGAGACAAATGTAAATGTTTGTGAAATTGGTCTATGTTGGAATGTCTTACCATATTTCATTAATCCTATTTCATTTTGGTGGAGTTTAAAGTCATTGTGAATAATGTCATTTGTGTTAAAAAAATAATTGTTTACACTTTTGCTTATTCAACCTTTTGCTTATTCAACCTTTTGCTTATTCAACCTTTTGCTTATTCACTGACCCTTGTTTTTCACAGATGTTAGGTATATACCTGGGTGGGTCTTCTGATTTTGATAGAGTTAGGGGTCACATGGGTGAAAGTCAAGGACACCAGTTCTAATTATGGATTTTTACATGTTTGCTCATACAGAATTATTTTTAAATTATTGACCCATGTCTATCGTATATATAGAACGTGGTTGGTAGCCTTTTTGGTTGGAGGGCGATAGTACTAAACATAGATGTTTACATTTTCATACGAATGAAACTTGTAGTATATTGACAAAAGTGCAGTTTCAGGGACTTTACATCGCCTTTAGCATTATATTTTGTTTTTAAAAAAAGAATCAAATTCTTAACCTATTCTCTAGTTCATATTTTGTGCATTGTTGTTTTATTTTTCACAGAGACACAGAATTAGCCAAGCTTCCTTCTGAACTATTAAATGTGATAAAGAGAAAGTTTCCACAGGTTGTAACCAGGTTGATTCATTTACTGGGTCAACGTATTATAGGTTCTATGAGAAGTAAAGATTCATTACAAATATCTGGTAGGTTTTTCATTTTGTCTTATTTTGTAAAAAAAAATATTTCAATGGAGATATATTTAAGAATAGGTTTTTTTTACGGTGCTTGAGTAATTTGTAGTATTTATAACTCAGCTGAATTTGTGAAAGGAACATGTTCTGTTCTGAATTTAGATCAATCATTGAAAGATTTCTGTATCAAAAATAAAAAGATTGAAGGGGTAACATTACAGAGATTAGTTAGACTAAATAGTTGTGCATAAACTGGTCACTAGTAGCCCCTCTCAAGTTATGGATATGAAAAATTTTCCCTGTCATTATTAGTAAGATATATTGCTCCTTATTTTGTTTATTTTATACACTTACATACCTTTAAGCCTTAACCTGCTGAATTTCTTAAAGATATATTATGCTGAAATTTGATATTTGGATAAAAATTGATAATTACGATACAGTCTCTTTTGAAATGTATTCAGGAAGAATTTGCTAGATTTCATTAAATTTCTATCCAAAGGTAAGCATAGACTATCTTTAAATGGACTTGTTCATTATCAATTTTGGGGATATAAAAATGAAAATTTGAAGTTGGCTAGCCAACAGTAACGAGCCTGCTCTGATTACATGAAAGATTAGGCTGGGCTGGCCTGTCTATACTGGTAGCAGAGGGTAATCACTTCCTGTTCAAGCAGAGTAATGATTAGAGTATTCTTTGCTTTATATTCATCAACATTTGAGTGTATTTATTGTATGTATAAATCTGTATGTTTTATATATATAGAGACAATGCAAGGTGTAGATGCAAGAGGGTCAGTGAATAATCTGGCAACTGTTGCCATCTTACCAGCTTCTAGTGATGTTCCTCTTACCAACTTTACACTAGAATTACAACATGCAGTAAAAGCTATTGGTAAGTTTATATCTAACTTGCTAGTAAAGTAGTCAAATTACATGAACCATTATTCTTTCATTCATTGAAGGTACCTACACAAAAATTCAAATGGCTTGTCACAAATGATCACAATTTATTGACAATATCCAATTCTAGTCATCATATCAAAGGTCAAGGTCACTAGTGATTTAGCTTGATGGTTGCTATGTTGTCAATAATAATTATAGTAATAGTAAAAAACTATATATTAGAAATACAAATGTAATAATAATTAATTATGATAATGATCAGGATGATCTTGAGTAATGTCCAGCTTGTGTTTTGAAAAAGAGTTTTTCTCATTATGTTGTAAGTAACTCCTTGATATTTGTAGAATAATATACATGTTTATGCTTGAAGTCATTAATTATGTTTGATTTCTTTCTTTCTTTATGTTCTGTTTATTACATATAATATTTTTGTAAAAAATTGCTGATGGCTGCCACTATTGTTTAGCAATAAGTATATACAGTAGTTGCTCTATAAATAAAACTCATGTCCTTATGTATACTAGTAGGTAATAATGCAAATTTATAAAAAGCGGTGTTCACAGTTATTGTCCATTGTACCATTATGGTGATTTAATACACTATATGGTACTTAATGATAATTTAATACACTATATAGGTCCAGTGACTAGATTTACCAGTGACATTGTTAAGAGATGGCTTGGTGCTGGAGCATTTGACAGGTGAGTTAATTGTTTGATTTACCCTCACAAACTTTGCTGCCAGTAGATTGCATGTATTAGTGACACAATTGTATTGTCAAGTTTTTATACTTATCTAGAAATTCTTGTAGTGTTAACACTATGTAGTGTTAATTAATATTAACAATATTAACAATTCATTGATTTTATTGAGTTTAATGGAAGATTTTTTATATTTTTAACAATTGATTAGGAATGAAAATAATAAATGATATTAAAACCCAAATGCTTGTATGAAATGTAGATATACCCAGGGATTTTTTTTGGCTTATTTTATAGCCGTTATTGGGTCATATTCCCAATTGAAAATAGTATATTATTTTCCCAATTTACAGGAAAAAATTCCCAATTGAAAGTTACAAAATAAAAATATTGAATAAAAATGCTAAAATCTTTGAAAATAAGGGCTCCTTCACTGTATTAGTGCTTAAATGTTTGAAGATGCCATCCTAGACAGTAATTGTTTGCATCAATTTAATCACTGTAAAATTTCAGTCATGCAATTTTTCCCAATTTTTAACAAAACACCGCTGAAATTCCCAATTTTATGGGTATGGGTCATGTTCCCAAAATCCTTAAAAAAATCCCTGATACCCATCTTTAAGTTATTGTATACCGCATTAATACCATTTGTTCCATATAGTAAATGTTGATGATCAACAGTTTCAAATGCTTAAATAACATATTCATTATGCCGATAACATCAGATATGTCTTTTTGTGATCTGAGTGGGGTTAAAAACCAATAAAAATGACTGTCCAGTTAGTGATTTTTTTATTGGATCAAGTGTATAGCCTACTCATTCTCGTAAGTAACCTATACATAGAATGTTGTTGTGTCTTTTTTTTTTGTTCAGAAAAAATTGTATTCTTCTTGTAAAATGAAACTGTGTTTGAACAATCAGAAATTAATGTGGTTCAGTTTACAGAACAAAAACTGATTTTTTTCCCTCAAAAAAACATTTTTTATGGGTTGCCCACTAGAATATGCAGGCTCTACACTTTATCCCATAGAAAATCAGAAAAAATTAAAAAAGGTATTGTAGAAAATACTACATAGACCCTCTTTTGTGTTTGTTTTCCGCCTCACACTGATCACAAATAGTCCTTTGATTAGACACTGTCATATTATATTATTATATTGCACTGTTGTATCCTTTTGTGTAGCATCTTTTAACTAAATGTAAAAATATTTTTAAACAAAAGTATTAATACATATATTGTGAGCATATATTTTTTTGTAGTGTTCCTCAGTTTGTTTTAAATATTTTCACCATTGTATACACAAGTAAATAAAAATTTGTTCTGACGATTGACTAATTGTATACTAGAGCTTACGATGATGTGCAATCAAAGTAAGTGAACAATGTGTGCTTTATGCATGAAATAATCATACTAACTGTCAGTATGTCATGGCTTTATAATGTCACAATATTATAATCTTCATATTCCAACTATCAATGGTGGGAGCATTTTCTGATCACTGCATCATGATTTCTGAAAAGTGATTATAAAATGAGAATAGAAAAGCTTGATACATGTTTAATATAAGTTGTAATATGAATTTGTATGTGTTTTTATGTTGCCATGCTGACTTTAGTAATGTGTTTGCCCTGCTTAGAATTTAGAATTCTCTCAATTGTTAGTCTGAGACATTTCATTTTTGAAATAATGAAATTGAGAGTGTTAAACAGTAAATTTGTTAAAGTGCATGGATGTGCAGACTATGCTGATTCTATACTGGTAGGTTAGACAACTTATAAACACTGCTATCATTATAAGGTCATTGTGATAACCAGTCTGTACTGATTGAATCAATGCTTGTAATATAACAAATGTTTACTGAATCTATAGAAGATATTGATGGATGGAATTCCAACAATGATTGTTTTGTTGCATAACTTTCTCTACTTTGCAGTGATATATCAATGTAACATGTCCTAATATAATAAAAATGAGAATGCTTGCTTATGATTTTTAATGTGTTGCTATTTAGAAATACATGCATATTTTTAATTAATAATATAAGCTATTGTGGAATGACTAATAAGAATTATTATTTATACATGTTTGCATGCATATCCATTTGTAAACTGTTATAAATAATTCCATTATATTTCTAAAACATAACTTTTTGATGCTTTATATATAAAAACATATACTGTATAATGGGAGTAAATAACCGTTCATATGGTGCTATAGTGTATAAAAAGATTGTCTGATGTACAAGAGAAAACTGATATTATGATTGTATTTTCAGTGTAAATGAGTTCCGGTTGTTTAGTTGGTTGGGTCAGCAGGAGGATTTACACAGGGTTATACTGTATCAGTGTGATTATACAATGACAAAGTGGACTAAGATGTGTATTAGACAGTCTGACTGTATCCTCATTGTTGGCATCGCTGGAACCGATCCTAAAGTTGGAGAGGTATAATTTATTTATAGCTTGTATCGTCCTATTTATATCAAAATACACAGAAATATTTAAATGTTGAACATTCAGGTACTTTCTTGAATAATTCTCTTATAAGCATTAAATTTATGTAAACTAGACATATTGTAAACAATCTTGTACATTATCCTATGGTAAAACATAGCTAGTGTACCCTGCAATCTAGTTTTTGGTCTCAGAAAAACTGAAGCACTCGTGGTATAATATCATGATATGAGCCGCGTCAAGACAAAACCAACATTATGGGTTTGCGACCAGCATGGATCCAGACCAGCCTGCGTATTGGCACAGTCTGATCAGGATCCATGTTGTTCGCTTACAAACCCTATAACAAGTAGAGAAACTGATAGCGAACAGCATGGATCCTGGTCGCAAACACATTATGTTGGTTTTGTCATGGCACGGCTCATTATTATGTTTCCTCATCATAACACTAACATTATTTTAATGACAGGTAAAATAGGAGTTCCTATATATTGATTAATATAAATATAATCCATTTCTTTACCTTTCATTCTTCAAATGAAGATTTTGTAATTAAAACCTCACCTGTAATTTTTAGTCACCTACAATTTATAAACATCAAGACATATTTATTATTTCATATGAAAACAATAATGTAGGATTGAATAAGCAGATATATTGACAACATTGAAATGAATGAATTAAAACATCAATATGCATTGTGAACTTTGAATAGTAAAAACTCAAATTTGATTTTCTCAAACATTACTTGTAAAATGTAATTAATTTTTGCAAAATTTTTGTAAAATGTAATTAATTTTTGCAAAATAGTTTCAGTAGTGTCATTGTTAATTTTTAAGTAGTGGGGGCATATAGATCTGCGTTTATAAAAATTTGTCCGTCTTACTATCAGGCTGTCCATCTGTAGACAGACAAAACAGTAAAATGTAAGGGCGTCCATGTCCTTTTTACAAATATCCAGTTTTAATATAAAACATAAACAAGAATAGTGGATATAAATACAATTATTGTATGTACATTTCTAGTTGGAGCAACAGATGGAGACGATAGATGTTCGAGCCCAGAAAGAGCTTGTATTACTTCACCAAGAAGATGCCGATTATCCTCAAGGTACCGTAGAGTGGCTGAACGCTCGTGGTTGGTGCTCATCTCATCATCATATACGCTGTCCTAAACGTGTCTTCAGTAAACGATCTATAGCTAAAATGGTACATTAACATGTTTATATAACTTGTTTGTAATTGCTTTTCTCTCTAGTAATTCCTGGCTGGTAACATGCTAATTAACATGTATGATTTACGGTTTTTCTGTTAATTTTATAACTGCAATGCTTCAGCACTTTAATTGACTCTTCACTGCTTCTTCATTTTTTTGTCAGCTGATAATGTTGCATAATTATATACATGTACAATGCATATTTATTCAGAAAACTTGTGCAAACTTTGATTGACCTTAAGTTGTGTTAAAGGGAGAGGTGGCTTAGAAGTGAAGGTGTCTGCCTCTCAACCCATGGATAATGGGGTTTGGGCCCTTGTAGGTATTAACAACATTTCCTTATATGACACCAGTAGTTACAGGAAGCAAGCTGAAGAATGGTCCAAATAAGCTTTCAAGCTTTCTACTCAATAGAGGTTATGAAAAATATATATATAACTCAGTTTTTTGTTTGAACAGGTTTGACAAAATAAATAAATATTCACAATGCAAATGGGGAGTATGAGAAATAAGATGTAACCATTTGCTTCACGATCAAGGACTATTATTCATATATATATATTTTCAGACACAAGTATATGAGGAGTTAAGTAAGACGAAAGCAGATCGTATGTCAGATATGAGCAGGCTAGCTAGGTTTCTAACTGGAACATCTGTAGGTCTTGTGCTGGGTGGAGGAGGGGCCAGGTGAGAGGGATTTAAATATTTGTTGCTTGATATGCTGTTTCCTAGTGCTTAATTAATGAAAAACAATTTTGCTTGTATGTTGTTTCACTATGAAATCGAAAGAATGTGTTTCACTATGAAATCGAAGAATGTTGTTTCACTATGAAATCGAAGAATGTGTTTCACTATGAAATCGAAGAATGTTGTTTCACTATGAAATCGAAGAATGTTGTTTCACTATGAGATCGAAGAATGTGTTTCACTATGAAATCGAAGAATGTTGTTTCACTATGAAATCGAAGAATGTGTTTCACTATGAAATCGAAGAATGTGTTTCACTATGAAATCGAAGAATGTTGTTTCACTATGAAATCGAAGAATGTTGTTTCACTATGAGATCGAAGAATGTGTTTCACTATGAAATCGAAAGAATGTGTTTCACTATGAAATCGAAGAATGTTGTTTCACTATGAAATCGAAGAATGTGTTTCACTATGAAATCGAAGAATGTTGTTTCACTATGAAATCGAAGAATGTGTTTCACTATGAAATCGAAGAATGTTGTTTCACTATGAAATCGAAGAATGTTGTTTCACTATGAGATCAAAGAATATTGTTTCACTATGAAATCGAAGAATGTTGAATCACTGTGAAATATGTTGTGTCATTGTGCTAATATGTTAAAAATGTTAGCTTAAAATATAAAAAATAGAGACAAGAACTACAACCTTAACTCTGGGATAAACTTTATGTTACTTAACTTATTCAAAATAGTTCTATGAGTGGAGGGTTCTAATTAACAAAATTACAGGTCTGAAAAAACCTTTTTTTTTATAAAATAACATAATGACATAGTTAATTTAGAATATGGTTTCTTTAATTTTATCTTATTTCTTCTAACATTAAGAATGATACATGTACATTTAATAAATATTGTAAATGATTAATAAAAGATGCAATAATATATTACAATGCTACAATTATAAAATGTTTTATATGTTAACAGAGGACTATCTCATATTGGTATTATACGAGCTATGATTGAGGCAAAGATACCTATAGATATTGTTGGTGGGACCAGTATAGGATCATTTATGGGAGCACTGTGGTGTGAGGAGGTGAATCATACCAGGTTTATACAGCGGGCCAGAGAATGGTCAATGGTTAGTATGATTTAATTTATATTTTATATCTACAACACTAATGATTATTATGTTTGCTCTTGACTCTTTGAATGCCAGAGATGAGACTGCATTGACAGCCCTATGCCATAAGCATAGAGCAACTAGAATATATTTACTGGCCAACCTCCATCAACAGAGACTACAACTTTTGATATTTAAAGTTCAACCTCTACAGACAGGCTTTCTATGGAGCAGTTACCACACTACAAGAATATTAATTCTTATGAAAGTAAGAATTAACAATAAATAAAATCTTTCTACAGCAACACATTTCAGAAAAAAAACTTTTTGTCTCCTATAAGGTGTTTGCTTACAGAGATTGGACTGTTTAAGAAACTGGGTTTATTGAAAGAATAATATGATGAATATATACCAAGTGATATTTATGTTCATGAGTTGAATTTGCAGAACAATTCTGACTATTTGTATTGTTAAAAATTGTTCAAATAGTTCTTTGTTGCATTTTCTTGTTTTATTACAGAAAATGACATCAATAGCAAGTAAGATATTTGATCTGACATATCCAGTAGCATCAATGTTCACAGGTAATCTTTTTATATCTATAGTGCTTGATTGTTTAGTGTAAATCTAGTTTATTTATAAAAGTATTTTATTAATTCACTGAATAAAGATAATTATTAGTGATTCTACAATGGAACGCCTCTAATACATTGAATAATTACTGTGATATCATATCATATGTAATAGACATAAGACCAAAACATGAAAGAATTATACATGGAACATGTTGGCAAGTGTGAGATACTTGATGGGATATTTAATATATTTATATAGCAAATGTTAAATTTAAATAGACCAATTCACTTTAAATGTTGCTCCTCTGAAACAGAAGCTTCCATTTTATTGCTAACCTGTGGTGACCTAGTGGTTAAGGTGTCTGCCTCTCAACCTAGGAATCATGCATGGCTTTGAGCCTTACTTGGGTCACGATCATGATCCCTCATGTGACGACACTAGTACTGGTTAGTTCCAGGAAGCGGACTTGTAAGTGATTAATATAAGTTGCAAGAACTTGTTTTGCAATCAAGCTAAAATAAATATATTTAAAGTAATAAACTAATGATATATTATATTTTCAGGAAGTTCATTTAATGAGGGTATAGAGAGTACATTTAAGGATCGTCAGATTGAAGATCTATGGATACCATATTTCTGTATTAGTACCGATCTAAATATGTCACAGATGAGGGTACATACACATGGTATGTATTGTTTAATGAACATAGATAAAGTACTGTATAGTGTTAGGTCTGGGGCCTCCATGGCTGACTGGTTAAGGTTCCTAACCTAGAATTGTTGTAAGATGGATTCCTGCCATGTAAGGAAGCTGTCAAGCTAATGGAAGGTTGGTGCCAGAAATGTATGGTGTGCTATCAGAGTTGTTGCTCTTTCATGATATGGTTAAATCTTTGGAAATTTATGAAGAATGGGAAAAAAGCTTATGATAAACGCTGTACTAATATTTTGTCAAATTTCCTTAAATACTTGGAACAGTTATTGATAGGCCAATGTTAAAGTTGTAATTAATGTATGTTAAAAGCTTTAATGAAATACCATGTCTGAGAATTGATTATTGTCAATTAGAAAATGATAATTTCAAATATTATTTTACTCCATACTAACCATACAGTGATAGTTTAACTAGAAATTGTATGATATGATATGTATTTATATTGTTATAGGAAGTCTGTGGCGTTATGTACGAGCCAGTATGACACTAGCAGGTTATCTACCACCATTATGTGATCCTATAGATGGTCATCTACTGCTAGATGGAGGTTATGTTAACAATTTACCAGGTATAATAGTTATCTTCATTAATTTAACATACATATTTAAACCTCATAAAAAAAGAGGAAATTACAGGACATCATTAAAAAGAGAAAATAAAAATGGAAATTTTGGGAGTTGACAAGTGGATTCATTTTATAATTTCATCTTTCTGTTTGTAGACACTTCCTTTCTTACCATTTGAACAAAGCCTCTTTCCAGAATCTGATGAACTTTGAATAAAAGATAATTATGTGCTATAGTTTGTTTTCACATTTGTGAATAGTTATTTCACCTATGTTTTCCCATTTTTAGCTCGACTATTCGATAAGAATAAGTAGAGCTATTGCAGTCACCCGAGCGTCGGCGTCGGCGTAACCACTTATGTTAAAGTTTTTGTAATAGTTCAAATATTTTCAAAGTCCATTGACATATGGCTTTGAAACTTTGCACACTTGTTCACCATCATGACCCCAACCTGTAGACAGGAGGAGGTAACTCTATCAAGCATTTTGACAGAATTATGCCCCTTTTTCGACTTAGAATTTACGTTAAAGTTTTTGTAATAGTTCAAATATTTTCAAAGTCCATAGACATATGGCTTTGAAACTTTGCACACTTGTTCAACATCATGACCCCAACCTGTAGACAGCAGGAGGTAACTCTATTAAGCATTTTGACAGAATTATGCCCCTTTTTCGACTTAGAATTTACGTTAAAGTTTTTGTAATAGTTCAAATATTTTCAAAGTCCATTGACATATGGCTTTGAAACTTTGCACACTTGTTCAACATCATGACCCCAACCTGTAAACAGCAGGAGGTAACTCTATTAAGCATTTTGACAGAATTATGCCCCTTTTTCGACTTAGAATTTACGTTAAAGTTTTTGTAATAGTTCAAATATTTTCAAAGTCCATTGACATATGGCTTTGAAACTTTGCACACTTGTTCAACATCATGACCCCAACCTGTAAACAGGAGGAGGTAACTCTATCAAGCATTTTGACAGAATTATGCCCCTTTTTCGACTTAGAATTTACGTTAAAGTTTTTGTAATAGTTCAAATATTTTCAAAGTCCATTGACATATGGCTTTGAAACTTTGCACACTTGTTCACCATCATGACCCCAACCTGTAAACAGGAGGAGGTAACTGTATCAGGCATTTTTTTTACTATCAAGCACTAAGAATAGTCGAGCATGCTGTCCTACCGACAGCTCTTGTCCATCTTCTTACCTGTTGATATGAATTTTTACTTTCTGTTGTCCAAAATTGTACATTCTTTGAAAGACCTTCCTTTATCTATTACATATCAAAAGTTTCAACCTTTTAGTGTTGTAAAAGAACATTTTTTGAGGTTGAAAATGTGTTTAAAACTATAATTATTTTTTTATATAATTTTATTGATGGTGTGTATATAATTACTAACAGCTGATGTGATGAGAAGTTTTGGAGCCCAGTCTATATTTGCTGTAGATGTAGGTAGTATAGACAGTACTGAACTAACAAACTATGGTGATAAATTGTCAGGCTGGTGGTTACTATGGAAACGATGGAATCCATGGGCAGCACCTGTCAGGGTAATCAATAGTCTTATAATTTCATCTTCCGCTACTGTTTAATGATAGGCAGAATGCTGATGTTGTGTTTTAAAACATGATTAAAAAGTGATTTTCTGTTTCTAATTTCTCATAGATATCAATTTCAGTGCATTGTTGTAGAATAATGCACTGTAAGAGTTCAAATGCGAAGGAATATAATCACAAAGGCTTAAATAATTAACCATGCATTATTACACTATAATGCAAGAAAAATTAATATCTATTTCTATTCTAACATGCTAATAAAAAAAGAGAATTAATAAAAATATGTGAACTACATGGAGCGTAGTAATTTTTCTGACATCATTTGGTTTATTGAAGACATATTTTGACGTCATATGACATGTTAGCATTCCTTTTTATGCTGTGCATATATTGTGTAATTAAACACTTGATTGCCATATCAGTTTGATAGGGAAATAGAGTGAAGCATTTTAGAATTATTCATAGATAAATATTTAAAACACAATGTTATCATGACTAATCACTATAATAAAGTGTCATGTTACGTTTGTGAAATTAATTTACTCATATTTAAGATTTATGGTTTCATCCATGTTTTGTTTTATTATAAATTTTTGCATCAATACCAATTATAGGTACCAGATATGCAGGAAATCCAGTCCCGCCTTGCCTATGTTAGTTGTATAAGACAGTTAGAACTGGTGAAGAATAGCGACTATTGTGAATATATTAGACCACCTATAGATAAATATGGTACACTCCAGTTTGGAAGCTTTGATGAAATTATGGTAAATTTTATCTCCTTATTTTTGCTTTTTGATATAGCTATGTTCTTATATTGTCATTTAATTTGATCATTAGGTGGACAGATTAGTTTATAAAGAATGATATTTCAGGTAAGAAGCTATAACCTTATTAACACACTCAAATCAGTGTCTGGAACAAACTTGTACTGAGCAGTGAGTGCAAAGTTTCTTGCTCAAGGAAACAACAACTTGCTTCTGATGGGGTTTGTTGGCAGATTGTCTCTCGTTATATGTAATCGAATACTCAGTTACTCGGGAAGCTGATGTTCATGGTGTTGTTTTGATGTGGATGAATCATTTTGCACATCTATGAAAGTCTGTTTACGTTTTGAAGTATTATAAGAAGTGCATTATTTAATCAGCCTTTAACTTAGAAAAATCCAAAATTTATAAATTTCTGATAAAGATGCATAAAACTGTGACAACATGATTCATTTAACAAATAAAACATGGCCTTGAGGGCAATATGCAAGTTTACGGACTGGTTGGTCAGACTGAGGAAGGTATATGGCCCGAAGCGCAGCTGAGGGCCATATACCTTCCGAGGTCTGACCAACCAGTCCGTAAACTTGCATTTTGCCCGAAAGGCCATGTTTTATTTGTTATATTATACCGAATTTAATCCTTTTATTCCTTTGTTTTTTTTTTTGCTGTTTTTTTTTTACAATTATTTGCTTTTAAATAATAATTTTAATTGTTCATTTCAATATCTCAAACCCTTGTCGGATTCTGTTTTATTATTTTCAAGCGATGCAGCAAAAAATCATGCTCATCTTTTAATATTGCATTTTATTAATTAAATTAAATAAATCGGTCTCTGATAAAGAGGGGAATCGCCTAGCCATTTTGACAGTTATCGCCTGTTTTGTGTCGTCGTGAAATTCGCACGTCGTGAAAGTTACGTTTTAACGGTCTTCATAAGATTTATGGACCGACCCCGGTCTGTATGCGGTTTATGGACCGGATGACGTCATATTAAATATAGAAGGGCGTATGCAAATGAGGTATAATATAGATAGTTATTGTTACTTTATGTAAATGATAACATATATGAATTGTTTGGAATATTGAATTAACATTGTAGGAGAGCGGTGGCCTAGTGGTAAAGGTGTCTGCCTGTCAACCCAGAGATCATCGGTTCGATCGAGCCTTACTCTGGTCACGACCATCTTTCTTCATATGACACCAGTACTGGTTGGTTCCAGGAAGCGAACCTGAAAGTGATTAATATAAGTTGCAAAAACTTGTTTCGCAAGCGAACCTAAATAAATATGTTTAAACCAATTAACATGTATTTAATATATTTGATGGTATCTGTATTTGGTATATTGTATGGTAATTGTATTTGGTATATTGTATGGTAACTATTCGGTATATTGTATGGTAATTGTATTTGGTAAATTGTATGGTAATTGTATTAGGTAAATTGTATGGTAATTGTATTAGGTATATTGTATGGTAACAATATTTGGTATATTGTATGGTAACTGTAGTATATAGTATGGTAACTATATTTGGTATATTGTATGGTTACTGTAACAATTGTATGGTAACTGTAGTATATAGTACGGTAACAATATTTGGTATATTGTATGGTAACTGTAGTATTTTGTATGGTAACTATATTTGGTATATTGTATGGTTACTGTAACAATTGTATGGTAACTGTAGTATATAGTACGGTAACTATATTTGGTATATTGTATGGTAACTGTAGTATATAGTATGGTAACTATATTTGGTATATTGTATGGTTACTGTAACAATTGTATGGTAACTGTAGTATATAGTACGGTAACAATATTTGGTATATTGTATGGTAACTGTAGTATATTGTATGGTAACTATATTTGGTATATTGTATGGTTACTGTAACAATTGTATGATAACTGTAGTATATAGTACAGTAACTATATTTGGTATATTGTATGGTTACTGTAGTATATAGTATGTATGGTAACTGTAGTATTTTTATGGTAACTATATTTGGTATATTGTATGGTAACTGTAACAATTGTATGGTAACTGTAGTATATAGTACGGTAACAATATTTGGTATATTGTATGGTAACTGTAGTATATAGTATGGTAAGTAGTAGAAAGAGCACCGAAACACGAGGCTATCTGATTTATACGAGGGGGCGTAGCCCCCGAGTATTAATCAGATTGCCGAGTGTTTTGGTGTTCTTTCTCTTTTGTATCATAGTCAAACATAAAAGCACGTTCCCTGTTGTCACAATATGAAACCCCGGCAAAAATGAACCAATGAACGAACATCTGAATATGACATTTCTGTCGCTTTCCCTTTCTCTGCCGTCACAATATGTAAACCCCAGCAAAAATGAGCCAATCAATGGGCATGCTCTGGAGTGCGGGTAACTAATACCCGCACTCCAGTTAACGCACTGTGCATGTATATGTATACGATTTAACCCTGGCACATTTTCAACAGAAAGGTCTCCAAACTATGATACAACTATATTTGGTATATTGTATGGTAACTGTAGTATTTTTATGGTAACTGTAGTATATAGTACGGTAACAATGTTTGGTATATTGTATGGTAACTGTAGTATATAGTATGGTAACTATATTTGGTATATTGTATGGTAACTGTAGTATTTTTATGGTAACTACCGTATAAGTACTTATTTCTGCGGGCTTAATATTCTGCGATTTTTGTTAAAATAAGGGGTTTTAAATTTCTGCAGTGTCATCATTCTCGCATTGATGAGTTTTATTTCTGCGTTTTGATTTAGATATTTTTACAAAATTAACCCATACAAACAGATAACATTTCAAGATTTGTCGATGTAACATGTTCATTACTTCCGGTAAACATGCAGACGACTTATAATGTGTTTCATCATAATCATCATGTATCGGTATATAAACGTTAATAAACAAAAGTCAACAACGTGCAATGACAACAATTAATTGTAATACTGCATGTGTATAAATATGACGTGTGGAAAATAAACAATGGTAAAATTGCACGTAAACACAAGATATTGTACAAATACAAAAGTACATGTATGTTTATTGCACCCGTCACACTATAATAGTTTTATTTCACAAAAAAATCAAGCTTAGGGTGAGCGAAAATCATACAAACATGATATTTATTTAAACAGAAAGAACAAGTAAATTTATTTTTTTTAATATTTTATTCATGACAGAAAGAAACATATCTTTTAAAGCCGATAACAGTACAGGGTAATGTAATTATACAGTACCGGTAGTTGACATATTCCGACATAGACTTATGGGAAGGCTTAATTTTCTGCGATTTTTAAATCTGCGGTGTCGTTACGAACCGCAGAAATAGCAGAAATAAAGTTCCCGCAGAAAAAGTACTTATACGGTATATTGTAACAATTGTATGGTAACTGTAGTATATAGTATGGTAACAATATTTGGTATATTGTATGGTAACTGTAGTATTTTGTATGGTAACTATATTTGGTATATTGTATGGTAACTGTAGTATATAGTATGGTAACTATATTTGGTATATTGTATGGTTACTGTAACAATTGTATGGTAACTGTAGTATATAGTACGGTAACAATATTTGGTATATTGTATGGTAACTGTAGTATTTTGTATGGTAACTATATTTGGTATATTGTATGGTTACTGTAACAATTGTATGGTAACTGTAGTATATAGTACGGTAACAATATTTGGTATATTGTATGGTAACTGTAGTATTTTTAGCTCACCTGAGCATGCTCAGGGTGAGCTTTTAGGATCGATGATTGTCCGTCGTCCGTCGTCCGTTCACATTTAGTTGTTAACACTCTAGCGGTCACATTTTTGCCTCAATCATCATCAAACTTGGTCAGGATGCTTATCTAGTTGATAGCTCGGATGAGTTCGAACATGGGTCATCTCGGATGAGAAACTAGGTCACAAGAGCTAAAAATAGAAAAACCTTGTTAACACTCTAGAGGTCACATTTTTGCCTCAATCATCATCAAACTTGGTCAGGATGTTTGTCTAGGTGATAGCTGGGATGAGTTCGAACATGGGTCATCTCGGATGAAAAAGTAGGTCACTGGAGCTAAAAATAGAAAAACCTTGTTAACACTCTAGCGGTCACATTTTTGCATCAATCATCATCAAACTTGGTCAAGATGCTTGTCTAGGTGATAGCTCGGATGAGTTCGAACATGGGTCATCTATGATTAAAAAGTAAGTCACCGGAGCTAAAAATAGAAAAAAAAACCTTGTTAACACTCTAGCGGTCACATTTTTGCATCAATCATCATCAAACTTGGTCAGGATGCTTATCTAGTTGATAGCTCGGATGAGTTCAAACATGGGTCATCTCGGATGAAAAAGTAGGTCACCGGAGCTAAAAATAGAAAAACCTTGTTAACACTCTAGCGGTACCATTTTTGCATCAATCATCATCAAACTTGGTCAAGATGCTTGTCTAGGTGATAGCTCAAATGAGTTCGAACATGGGTCATCTCGGATGAAAAAGTAGTCACCGGAACTAAAAATAGAAAAAAAAACCTTGTAAACACTCTAGCGGTCACATTTTTGGATCAGTCATCATCAAACTTGGTCAGGATGCTTATCTAGTTGATAGCTCGGATGAGTGTGAACATGGGTCATCTCGGATGAAAAAGTAGGTCACCGGAGCTAAAAATAGAAAAACCTTGTTAACACTCTAGTGGTCACATTTTTGCATCAATCATCATCAAACTTGATCAAGATGCTTGTCTAGGTGATAGCTCGGATGAGTTCGAACATGGGTCATCTCGGATGAAAAACTAGGTCACAGGAGCTAAAAAATAGAAAAAACCTTGTTAACACTCTAGTGGTCACAATTTTGACTCAATTGTCATCAAACTTGGTCAGGAAACTTGTCTAGGTCATTGCTGGGAAGAAATTGAACATGGGTCATCTCGGATGAAAAAGTAGGTCACTGGAGCTAAAAATTGAAAAATCTTGTTAACACTCTAGTGGCTACTGTTGTGATCCAAATATTCTGTTAATTGGTCTGAAAGTTTGTTTTGATGATTTCTAAGTCAAGTTCGTACATTGGTCATCTTGGATGAAAAAAACTAGGTCACACCGCCCAAATATGGAAAAACCTTGTTAACATTCTAGTGGTCACATTTTCGACTCAGTTATCATCAAACTTGGTCAGGATGCTTGTATAGGTAATTGCTTGGATGAGTTCGAAATCGCATGTGGAACTAGGTCACCGGAGCTAAAAATAGAAAAATCTTGTTAACACTCTAGTTGCTACTGTTTTGATCCAAGTATCCTTGAAATTGGTCTAAAAGTTTGTTTTGATGATTTCTAGGTCAAGTTTGAATATGTGTCACCTGGGTAAAAAACTAGGTCGCACTGCTCAAATATGGATAATCCTTGTTAACACTGTAGTGGTCACATTTTTGACTCACCTGTCATGAGACTTGGTCAGAATGCTTGTCTAGGTAATTGTTTGGATGAGTTTGATAAATCAGGTGAGCGATCTAGGGCCATCATGGCCCTCTTGTTATGGTAACTATATTTGGTATATTGTATGGTTACTGTAACAATTGTATGGTAACTGTAGTATATAGTACGGTAACAATATTTGGTATATTGTATGGTAACTGTAGTATATAGTATGGTAACTATATTTGGTATATTGTATGGTTACTGTAACAATTGTATGGTAACTGTAGTATATAGTACGGTAACAATATTTGGTATATTGTATGGTAACTGTAGTATTTTGTATGGTAACTATATTTGGTATATTGTATGGTTACTGTAACAATTGTATGGTAACTGTAGTATATAGTACGGTAACAATATTTGGTATATTGTATGGTAACTGTAGTATTTTGTATGGTAACTATATTTGGTATATTGTATGGTTACTGTAACAATTGTATGGTAACTGTAGTATATAGTACGGTAACAATGTTTGGTATATTGTATGGTAACTGTAGTATTTTGTACGGTAACAATGTTTGGTATATTGTATGGTAACTGTAGTATTTTGTATGGTAACTATATTTGGTATATTGTATGGTTACTGTAACAATTGTATGGTAACTGTAGTATATAGTACGGTAACAATATTTGGTATATTGTATGGTAACTGTAGTATTTTTATGATAACTATATTTGGTATATTTTATATGTTTAGGATGTTGGATATAATCATGGTAAGACAATGTTGACAGGCTGGGAGAAAGGTGGGCTTATCAGTAAACTATTCCAGGACAAGAAATGTTTAGAAAGGAAACATCTACCATCAAGATCTTCTGACCCTGATGTAAGTTTTTAAAGATATTTATTGGCAGTACCGAGCATAGAAGGTAATAGATACACAAGGACATACATGTACTCTGTTACCAAAACATGCTATGTTGAAAAATGTTGCTAAAAATACTTGATATTTAGTTAAAAGCCAAAAAAAAAACCTTTGCATTTAACACAAAATATATTTTTCATCAATGAAAGTAAGTATTGATATTCATTATTGTAAAAGCAAAAATCTCCTTTATGCTGCATTGAATAAGTAAAGATATATGACAGCTTATACACTTATATTTGTTAAGAATTATTGACTTTTGATCTAGAGATAATGTCTGTAATTGTTACAATATTCAATCTTAGCCTGCTTGCAGGAACTGAATATACCCATGTGACCAGTGCAGACCCAAGATCAGCCAGCTTATTTGTTTCACCTGATCATTGTCTGCACTGTTCACTATTCAGTCACTACTTATTTTGAAAATTTCCATAAAAAGGATAAATGTTTAAGTTTAGATTGAAAGATGGAGAAGTCAATATAAGATATTCAGCATGGTAAAGATTTAAGTTATAAATGTGTTTCAGGTGGGTCATGCTCCACGGTTGACCTACTTTACAGACTTGGCAGAGCTTGTTTCCAAGATTGATGAACCTACCAGCTCTGTATCAATTTATGATAATGATGATGATGATGAAGTTTCAGGTATAGTTTTGATCATAAAAATAAATTGAACCTACTTCCTGCTAAATTTATACATTGGATTTGCCCTGCCATGAATATAAAAGAGTATTTTAGGTGATTTTGGTATCAAAATATTTAAACTGGGCAGCTGTTTTGCTGAGATGTAGTTACTTGTTTCTTAATTGGTGGCTTAGACCAGTCATTATTACCATTAACATCATCAGATTTGATTTTTTTGTTTTGAATTTGCCTGTCCTTTTGATAAGTAATTTTACTGTGCTTCAAAACCATTATTCTGTTTAATTGACACATACTGAAAAACAGAAACAAATGACAAACAAACATACAAGGAACAAACAAACACACAAACAGTACTGTAAATGAATTTGGACAGAGAGCCAAAAAATGTTCATGCTGATATGGCTATATACTGGGGGGCAGGGGGGGGGTACATATATATGCCTTTAACTTTCTAAACTTTCTTATTGACTATCCTCCAAATAGATATAAGTAGTCACATAGTAAGCTTAATGATTGTCCTTTACATCTCACAGTGTAAATACAGGTTCAAACAAGAAATTGCTTTTGCTTTCTTTTTTCAAAATCAACTGATTTTTTTTCTCAATTTAAATTTATAAGCTGTGTGACAGTATGTTACAATATCAGTGGCTAATGTTTAGTGTTATAATGTTAGATTCATATGACGAAGAAGAGGTTCTAGTGTCAGACATCAATCAACATGCGTCTGGCCCTCCAGACAAAAGTATCGCTGGTATACAAAGTGTGCAGTTTCATCTTCCCGAAGAGGATTACCATGATGATGAAGCTGAAGATCAAGGTGATGATGGTGATGATGAAGGTGATGATGATGATGATGATGACCAGTATGTGACAGAGAGTGACGGTGAGGAGGAGGATAATCTCACGTCACTGGCCACAAAGTTCAAGATGTCTCCTTCAACTGAGGTATAATATCCTAACTACGATTTCTATCTTTAATCTAACTGAAGTATTTGTGTTCCTAATAGTCATTAGGTAAAATCTCTGTATGACTAGTGTTTGGAATCAATGTGGATGAATGTTGGTGATAAAATTCATTTATATGATCAGAATTTGATAATTATCAATTGCTTTCTAAAGATAAGAGCATTTTTGCTTTCACTAATGTTTTTTCTCCAAAAAATTAAAGAATGCCCTCTATATTAGTCTTCAAAAAGTTTTATCAGCCAACTTTATCATCTGAATTTATGATTGAAGAGAGGCTCCAGTTTCTGAGATTTTACCAGCATAGGAACACAGATATTTCAATAATAGGTTAACTGAAGTTAACTAAAATATCAAGTTAGCTTATTTTTGCATTGCTGATTTTTTTCTGTTGTAGAGGTTATACAATGCTTTGCTTTCTGATTTTAAATATTTGGCCTTTATTAACCAGGTTTTCAATTTTGAAAATCCTGGTTATTAGATTGGGGTATGGCGGGCGGATGGGCGGATGGGCAGGCGGGCGTCAAACGAAATTGTGTCCGCTCTGTAACTCTTCAACCCTTTGAAGAATTTTGATGAAACTTCAGACAAATGTTTACCACATCAAGATGACGTGCAGAACGCATGTTCCGCATGGCTGGCTCCAAGGTCAAGGTCACAGTGACATTAACATTGAAAATATTGAAAATCCTGTCCGCTCTGTAACTCTTCAACCCTTTGAAGAATTTTGATGAAACTTCAGACAAATGTTTACCACATCAAGATGACGTGCAGAACGCATGTTCCGCATGGCTGGCTCCAAGGTCAAGGTCACAGTGACATTAACATTGAAAATCCTGTTTACATGATTTTAACTTGATTTGGCAGTCAAAGGTCATATCATCTTTGGAGGTAATTTAAAAAAGATATGATATATTATTTCATGTCTACTTTGTAACTTGTTTTTCATTATACAGAATTATCAATATAATTATAGTGAACAAATTCTTCTGTGCTGAACTCGTCCTACATTTCTCAACGGATTTTGTTCAAACTTTCACAGAAGCTTTGTCATCAAGCACCCTGGCACATATTGTCGGGGTTTTGTGATTGGATAGTTTTTGACCTAATTATGGCCCTTTGTTTTTTTCCTTATACATAATATTATAGTGAACACTTCTTCAGTGGCAATTCCTCCTACATTATTCATGTTTTACATTGCACATAGTTACATTGTTTGTTGCTTGTATTTGTATTTCAAATACAACATATTTATCTACAATGGTGATAATTGAAAACCTGGTTTCATGGCATTGCCATGTTTCTTGTTTTGTATTATCATTATTTAATTTTGAACTATATGTCAAGCTTACTTTTTTGTTTGGCTTTGAGCATTGGCCAATTAATTTTTTGCTTTAAGCATTGGCCAATTAACTGAACACTAACTGTGTGAAGATGGTAGTGCTATCTTAAACATGCAATAATACTTGTTAGCAAATTTAACCCTTAAACTTTCAGTGATTAAAATCATATTTGAATTCTTTAACTTAGTATATAATTATGCTAGTTACGTATGAGGATATATAAAAAGGCTTTAAGGCTATACTAGCTTCAAAAACTGCCCTGTGCAAATAACAACATTCTATTAAGCCTAGAAATAAGAAGAAAAAAAGACATTTTATCAACAACAAAAAAAAACAATTAAAAAACTGTAAAAAATGTATAATACAATATTTCCCCTGTATAGTAGTGCAATTTTTTGCATGAATGAAATTGATGGCTTCTTTCTTGTGTATTATTTTGTTTTGTTTTTTCATTAAGAGAAGAAAACGACAGGTATAGTTTTCATCTTTTTGTTTTCTTTACTATTTATTTACTACAGCTGCTCTCTATGTTTTAATGTTATCATTATCATCATTTTATATGCAGTGGGTTTATTGCAGTATTTATCATCAATTATACAGATGAAAATTTCTTGTTTGGCATTTTGTATTTTAATATTTTTTACTATTTGTACATGTAATTCATTATTAACCGTATATTTTGCAATGGTTGTGGTTTTATGTTATTAAATTTGTACAGTTTTTTTTCTTCCATTTTTGAACAATTTAAATGTGAATGCATAAGAATAGGATAAATTTAATGAGATTAGTAGCCTTCTTGACCTTTATTCTGAGAATAATTATTGTATATGGAGTAAGCATGTTTTAATTTATTAGAGATTTACCCAGCATAATTTATACAGGTATAATAGACTTGGTCCTGCTTTGAAATTTGAATTTTCTGTTATAATTTTCTGTTATGAACTTAATTTGAATTTGGGTAACATTTGTGGCATAGGAGTGTATTTATTACCTCTAGCTGTTTAAAAAAATAAATATGAAATTATTTCAGCAGATCTGTACCAAATTTAGCTATTGTGAAAGCATACCTGATTACCAAGAAGTGTTTATCTCTTTTGAATGCTAGCAGCAATGCTTACTTGTGCATACCACCAGTAAAAAAGTCAAGTGAACAAATTAAACGATTTCTTAAAATTTATTGATGATTAATTTTTTCTGCAGGTTATTTTAAATTGCCCTCTTTTTATTTAGCGTTTGAATCATTTTGCATAAAATCTTAAATTTTAGAGTAGAGTAAGACAAAATGAATATGAGTTTTCCTATTGTATTTGATAGAAAGAGTGTACATGTATTTTGTTAATATGTTGATATCCTTGGAATTATTTAGTTACTACCTAGTAATGTTGCCATTAATGCTTAAACCCTCCTTGACCTGTATCCACCAACATTTATAATATGTGAAATTGATTTATATAAAAAATATATTTTTGTGAACAAATTTTTATTGTTTACTATATTTGATGTGTCAATAAGATTAAAGATACTTTGCTGTATTATCTTATAATATCTAAATATTGTAGATTTTATTACAGTTAAAGAAATCTACAGAATATTTACCATATAAATGCCAAGGTCTAAATTTCAGACTTAAAATTTTGATGAATCCAGGTCTTTTTTATATGTACTAGGGCTGTAATTGAAGGAAAATTCTAAAGCAGAATGTCAATGATATAGATATATCAAAACATATAGCTAAAAACAGTGAAAACTACTTATATATGTGTGTTATAAACTGTTGGCATTGTGTTATGCATGCTTGTTTTCTTTATCACATAGACAAGATAAGACAACATTCAAGTTAGGCACTAAAAAGAGAAGTGAAATAGAAACAATATTAATTTTGCACAATACAGCAAGAGATTTTTTAATTGTATAGATTTTCTAAATTGTGAATTGATTTTGAATCAAAAGATGATTATTTATGAATATTGATGATATAACAATATTGCAATATTCAATGACAGCTTTAGTCAGTATAAATATATATTTTGACAATGATATTACAGTTTGACTAGTGCTTATCCTTATATGTTAATGCTTTGTAATGCTTAAATTATGTTTTATATGCTTCTTTTGCCTCTTGTATATATAGCTGCACAAGTAATAAGTGAGTACAGAATTTAGTTTAGTTTGTCAGCATGAGTTACCTCCCCTTACATACTTAACTGTGTAATGTGTAAACATTCTATATACAGTACAAAGTTGTGATTTTCGTTCCAAAACTAGTGCATGATTGTTATAAATGTTGTATATATGAGACAGTGTTTAGAATGTACATATAAGCATATAATAGTAGGTCATTGTTATTATTTAGAAAATGTCTATATTCCCATACACATGTACAATGTAGTCTTTTCTAAATATGGTAAGAGCCCAACTTTAAACTCTTACTGATGTAATATTTTGAATATTAGAAGTACCTTTCAGTTTCTTACAAATGTGACTGTCATTGCTGCAAATCATACATCAAAACTGTGCTGTTTGCTTATGAAAAAAAAAAAATTATAAGATTGATACCAGATTTAGTACCATGTTAACCTTTTGTACTTCTCCTGTATTGATACAGTAATTGATATGCAATGTAGAAGTATTGATAAAAAAAAAATAAAACAGCCCCCCGCCCCCACCAAAAAGAACAACAAAAACATTATTGATTATTGTACATGTCTATTACTTATAACAGTATATTGAAATGGGTAAGGTTTTAGTGGTGACAACAACTTTATACTATAAACCCTTACTAATCTAGAGCCATATACATGTATGTAGTTGATGTCAACTTATTATTAATTTTAGGGCTGTCACGTTTATACAAGTCTGAAAACATTTGAAAAGACGTCAATAAAATATCTGAATTTTGAAAACCCTGTATACATGTAGTGTAATTATTTAACTTTAGTGCAAAAGTTTCAACTTTATCTTTCAGTAAGTTTAGATGTCTCCAATGTTTATATAAGGGATTTCATTCTCTTTGAATTTAGGCTAGTAGTGTTCTGAGGGTTCAAATTAATTACAAAAACTAATAGATGTTTGTAAATCATATTGTTTGTGGTTAAAAATAAATGACATATTACTAGACATCAGTGTAATAAAAATGTTTTAATTAATTTTGTGCATGCCAAATGAGTTTAATACAAAGTTTTTTGACAAAGAAGTTGGCAGGACATTTATTATCACTTATTTACTGTAGAAGAGCATGATTGTGTTAAACTTAACAGTCCTTATTTAATGTGTTTTTCATTAATCAATAATAACTAGTGACTTGAAATAAACTACCATGTTGTGGCTAACATGTATAATACGGTATTTTATTATAAATCTAATTAATATAATGTATGATGCCGTTTTAAGTTATAGCTTATATGCTTCCTATCATTTTGCAAAAATCTCAAATATTAAAGTTGTGTTATTAAAATGTGCTACCGTGATACAAATTTAGTATGCTTTTTTTTTGTGCAGTATTTTTAAACTAGATACTTTTCAGGTATTTTGGCATGTTGTATTGAGGTCCATTACTTTATGCTTTTGTTTTATGTATTAACTTGTCCCATATAACTGTGGGATGGAATAGAAGTGTTAAATATGAGGAATCTATCCAGCTAGCTTGTCTATGGTCATTTAAAATCCTTTATTAGTACTGCCATATGACCATATTTGCAGTGGTTTTTCTCACTTAATTGGGAAGAAGCCTTAGTCTCTTGATTTTAGGAAAAGATTATTGCTAAAATTGCATATTTAGGAAGAAAAAGAGATTTGTAAGTTCATATTGTTTGGGAAAACTGCATGATTTTAATGAAAATTTCAATTGGGAAGAGGCCTTTTAAAAATCTTTGTGATATAACACCTATGTATGGTGGCACAGAGGTGACATGTGGGTGTTTTTATTTATCTGGTGCGCATGAGGTACTATGTCGTTGCCACGAGTTACTAAGTCATGCGCACAAGATAATTAAGTGGTGGGCATGAGATACTGTGTTGTGGCCATGAGTTTCTAAGTTGTGTGCAAGAGACAATTAATTTGTGGGACAAGATCCTATGTGGTGGCCATGAGATAATTAAATCATGGGCACGAGATAATAAAGTCATGGGCACGAGATACTATGTCTTTGCCACAAATTACAAAGTCAAGGTCAGTATTAAGAGCTTTTAGAAATTGGATAAGTTTAAGTTTTGGGACACAGTCATGTTATTTTGTTTTGCTTGACAAAAATATGTTCTATGCCATTCATCCTCTACTGGTGTTTATTATGTTTTATGTGGAGAAGTTGCCAGTTACTTGTGAAAAAAAATTATTGTACAATGTACTTGTGTATAAACCAGGAAGACTTGTTAGGTAATTGCCTATGAGTGTATGTATGAAATATTGTGAAAAACTTATGGTTAAATTTACAAAATAAAAATCACTGCACCTGTGCACCATCATTTATAAGAAGAGAAAATACATGTAGGATGTTCTCAGAAAAAAGTGCATCTGTTGCTTAAAACCAAATGCACTTGAAAAATTTAAGGCAAAGTCTTATATCATAATCACTTAATCTTTATGACAGAAAGAATTCTATTGCCTACTTGTATACACAAACTTGAGATATATGCCTTATCATAATAATGTTGTCTAAATATGTTTAAATATTTGTTCATTTTCTGTTTCAGAAATTTGGATTGCCTAGAAGACTGTCCGGATATTTAAAGAAATGAAAACTTGAACAGTTTATAGAAGAACTTTTCAAAATAATTCTGTGATGCTTCCTAGCAGTATTAGTATAGAAAATAATTTATAGCTCACATTAACATGTAAATCCATTATGATATGCAAGGCAAGGGACATAACTCTGTGGTATAAGAAAGGAACAAACTCTTACAGGATGGAGTTGCAGAACTTGTTTTTCAAAAAAACTTTTAGCCAAACATTGTATGTGATTGTTGATTTTTTTGTGTGCTTGATTTGTTTTTATGTTTCTTTCCTTGTTTCTTTTTTATTCTTTTTTTTTTGTGCACATTTTTTATCGAAAAATTCACAAGTTTTTGGTGTGTATATTATTATGCTTTATTTGATACATTTTATGTGATTGTTGATTTTTTTGTGTGCTTTATTGTTTTTATGGGTTTTTTTCTTGTTTCTTTCCTATTCTTTTTTTTTCTTGCACATTTTTTATCGAAAAATTTTTTGGTGTGTATATTATTATACTTTATTTGATGATTGTTGTTCAGCCAAAGCTATGTTAGTCAGATATTGGATGATAAGATTTCATTTCGTTATGATTATTGGTGTAAATATCAAGATAGGGCTAAAATTTGATGCAAATTTTACTCTTATTTATGTTGCTAATATACTCTGACTTAATTCCAATTGAACTTTTTTTTCTTTTTTTTTTTCACTGAAACAAAGAAATTTGCCAGTTAACTCATTAATTTGTGTTCTTAAATAAGTGCTAACTTTTTTGTATAATAAATTTTAGGTTACATATATCTAAGTGCCTAACTAGGTTTAAGTTCAAGTTTTTTTTTGTGTGTGTATTTTATTTTTCAATTGTTACTATGCTTTTTTTTAACAGTATATGTAATATTTTTTGTATGCTTTATTACTGTTAAAATATTAAAAATTGATAACAATGTGATTGATGATATTTTAATTTGTGATATTTTTTTTCAATAAAAAAAATATCTAAAATATAATTATGTATGATTTGTCTCCTTGTTTGCATTAACCTTTACCTGTTGAATTTATGTAATGGATTTGACCTGATCTGAATTGGGAAAAGTCTTTTCAAATTTTAAGGGATTTCAATATCAAAATAAAAATAAACAAACTGAGCTACCAACAGTATAGAGCAAGGTCAGACTGCACAGCTGTGACGACTGGCCTGGCTCTATACTGGTGGCAAAGGCTGATCACTTTCAGTCCCTGCAGGTATAGGGTTTATATCTGTAAATATAAATAATAGTTTCAAACTAGGGATTTGCAGAATAATTTTCTTAAATTTTCTTTATTTTTTATGATTTTGTTCTGTACACATGAATATGAGATTAATTTTTGTAAGGTTTTCAGACTTGAAACTATTCAATGGAGGAAAAACTTTACAATAATATTTCAGTAATTAATCTGTGTTTTGATAGTCATCACTTTCAAATGTAATATAAATGCTAAAGCTCGCCAAGATACACTTTCTCGCTCACCTGATAAACCTTCTCCATCCTGACATCAACCATGTATTATTCCCTGTTTATCATATACCTTCTTTAACATGAGTAAAGAAAATCTGGACAAAACTGAAGGAATTTATTTTTACTTAAGATTAGACTTATGAAAATATTTGTAATTAACAACTGGAGCAGTTCAGAAAATGTGGAAAATGTATAAATTTCTTCAGGATGGACTGCATCTCCACCAAAAATATTAGGTATATAATTAATTTCATTTTAAATTTCATAGCATCTTAGGATCAGTCGTAAAGTTGTGGACTCTGTTTCCATAGCATTTTTGTTAAGAAATACAAAAAGAAATTCAAGAAAACTTTGTATTTAGCTGTGAGATATTGATTTTTTTTATAAAATAAAAAAAAAGTGAATTCTGAGACAAAAATGTTAAAATTAAAATTTTATGAAAACAGCTGATATGATAGTGGCATTAGTTTGCATGTACGTACACGTGTTTATTTATTTTTGATTGATATTTTTGTTAGCTATGTGTGCTATAAATTGCTGTTATTTTGTTTAAAAAATGCATTGTTATACAAATAGATATTATGTATTCTTGTTTTTGATAGGTAACTGTTATTGTTATATTCTTTTTAAGCAGCTAAAAACATTATTGGTCAACCAAACTGTATATCATTTGGTAAGCAAATGTTATGTACTGTTAAATATGAAAACGATATCACTATAATATAAGATCTCTTTATAATATAAGAACTCTATTCACAAATTTGTCTGTGTTAAAGCTGGGACCAAAAATATACAATTTTTTTGTCCCATGTTAAAGGCAATTAAAATGCTAAGATGAAAAAAAAGATATATTGTTAACATTGGTTACAAGTAAACAAAGATATATTTATTTAGAGTGCTCTATGACAATCAATGTCTCATTTCCAGCAACATTTACATCTTGACATTGTCTGTGAAAAGAATATTAAGTTACAAATGGTTCTTGCCAGTTGAGTATTGTTACTAAAATGATACAACTTTCACTTAGCTGAAGAAACTAACTTATAGATATTGATAGTTTTTATCAAATGGATGCTGATTTCTTGTATATATTCTTACTTTATTATTTATTGTAAGTGGAATTGTCTAGTTTTCCCTTTTGGAAACCTGGTCTATTATCAGGTTTGAATTATCAACATAAATTTTGAAGTTGGTCCTCAAACACAATTGAATTTGGTCAGACTGCAAGGTTCAAGGTTAGCTTGTCTCTGTATTCTAGAGGAGAAGTTGTTCACTTTTAATTGTTACACTGAGGGTGTTAAGTAGGTTTTTTATGTATTAACAATGTTTATATCACACTAAAATTTGAGTTTTGTTTAAAGTGTACCTCATTCTTAAGAAGTTTGAATAAGTTTGTATGTATAAATTTTAATTTGAAAACTTAAACAAAAGAATTGCGTGTCTGTGACTTGTAACATTATAAGTGAGAACAAATAAATGAAGTAAAATTCTTGTTTAGAACTGATGGATGAAAGAAATTATTGTGTTATCAAAAATAATATCTTTATACTATAGATAAAAATATTTCATGATCAGTTCTTTAAAATGATGCACAGCTGTTGATAAATATAAGTGATATACAAACATATGTGATAAACTGTTTTGTCTCATTTTTGTAATATACTAGCAAATATAAAAAATTCCAATTTTGTTTTATGTAGTTTAGTGCATTTAGAATTAAGTAGCTTAGGTAGTCTTGTGATAGATCTAATTTGTGCCATACTTAAAAACTGACCCCTATAAGAATCAGGGACAAAAGTTTTGAATAATAGTTTTGAAATGGGGAGAGTTTCCAACTGCCTTTTTATAAGTTCAACAATATAATTTACCTGATGAAATCTTTATGTTAAATTGTGAAAATCAATGAAAACATATTCTACTGTTTGAAAAACTGTCTTCCTTTAAGATATTTCGCAAGTAATTTAAGATTTGTTATATATATTGGCACATAAACTTTTTGACACAGCATTACTGTCATAGATATACACTGGACAAATTGCTAATTAGCCACCTGGTTTTTATCATATTTTATAAGTAATTGTCAAAGAAAAGTATAAATAACCAAATACTAGTATAGGACTAATTTCAATTATTGTTCATTATGTAAAACAAAAATTTTTGTTTCATTTTATTAACGGAAACAAGCATAACAGAGCAGGTAATCATGGTCACCCTTAAAAATGTGCTGTATCACATGGATAATTTTGAATGCAAATATATATTTTATTTCATTCAAACAATAGGTAAATGTGTACATTGTTAAAATAATCATACTTAAGATTTATTGATTAATAAGTAACTCGCAAAATATCATGTTTGATATAGTGGCCAGTTAAAAATTTGTTGAAGTATATATATTAGTTAACTGCCTTGTTTAGTTAAATTATTGTAAATTGCAGCTATTCATCAGTTTTTGTTGTTGTTTTTTTTAAGCCAGCATTGTAGGACATGATTTATTTATATTGAAACTCAATTTTATTTTCAGTCCAGAGTGACTGGATTGTTATTGAACATTTATAAGGCACAATATAATTTTGACCACTAATTACTGATACACTATGTATTAAAACCTTGTTTTGTGGTTGGTTATAAGAAAAGTTTACAGAGTCATGATAGAACAAAATGTTCAAGTTTTTATCAAAATAACATAGAAATCAAGTATGATAAATAATAATAAAGACTTCATTGAAAGAGGCAACATAGTCGTGCATGCCCAGTCTTCCCTATGAGCCTCTATCAAATATACAATGTACATAATGTAAACACTTCTGATCAACAACAAAAGTTTACAAATAGTTAAGTAACATATAATATGAATAGTTATAGAAACAATGGGGCCATTGGCTCCAAAGTGCTCACCTGTTATCTAGGTTTATATTTGACATTATCAATTTATTAGCAGATCTCGCTAACCGAGGAGTTTTGCCATTCTGTTATTATTTATGATTTTTTTTTCCTTCTAAGGGACATTTTTCAAAGATTAATTTACATTCCTTCCAACTATGTATAATTAGAGTGAAGTGTTTTTGTATGTGTATTTTATTTGAGAATGGTGTATGTTTAGCATGTAATAATGGTTGTACCTAAACAATGCAAATTTCTTATATATCATTTCCTGTTACATACTTATATTACATGCTTACTTGAAATTGTACTGTCAAATTAGTGTATATATGCATGCATTTAAGAATTGTGTTATTTTGAAAATAATTTGTTTATTGATATGCTTTTCAATATTGGGCAAACCGCACTCGTGATTTTAATGCATTATTTTGCAAAAGAAATAAAAGACTGTACTATAACAGTGAATATTCCAAAATAATTTAAAAACAAATTTAGATTTATCTTTCATTCGCATTTGCTTTTTGTGCCCCCACTTTAGTGGCGGGCATTTAGATTTACCCTTGTCCGTCCGTCCATCCTTCCGTCAGTCCGTTCTCTTTTGTGTCGCACATAACTCAAAAAGTATTTGACCGAGAGTCATGAAACTTTACAGGAATGTTGATCAGCATGTGTAGTTGTGCACCTGGGTATTTTTCTCTGGATATTTTTAGTATTTTTAGAGTTATTGCCCTTGACTTAGTAAAATTTTTCAATTTTTAACTTGTGTAGCATGTAACTCAAAAAGGATTTGACATAGAGTCATGGAACTTTACAAGAATATTGATCAGCATGTGTAGTTGTGCACCTGGGTATTTTCGTCTGGATTTATTTAGTATTTGTAGAGTTATTTCCCTTGACTTAGTAAAAACCGTTTCATTATGTTGTTATTTGTTCCTTGAGTGCTTGAGTTAGAATCAACCAACTTTAGAGGAATAATGATCAACATCACTGAATTACAGGAATAATGATTCACATCACTGTGAAGCTATGAAGCTGGGACTTTGCATGTGGATTTTTTTTCAGTTTTGTAAGAGTAATTGCCCTTGACTTACAGTAGTATAAATTTGCAATTTTCAACTTGTTCATGCATAGCTCAAAAAGTATTTCACTTGTAGGCCTGAAAGTTTACAAGAATGTTGGTCAGCATGTGTACTTATGCACCTTGGGGTTTGCTTGTGGATTTATTCAGTATTAAGTTCTTGCCCTTTACTTAGTAAAAGATTTTTAGTTTTCAAAAAATAGAGTTATAAGATTGACAGAACAGTGGTGCGGTGGGGGAACCCGTGTCCTATGGACACATTTCTAGTTTTCCCTATATTTTTTATAGAGCATTGAATACTTTGCACTCAGAGCAGTTTTGTATGACAGTGCTCAAAATTAGGCCATCAGTAAAGACTCAGCACACGCAAGCTGGTGGTATAGATGGGTCACTGTTGCCCTTAGTAACCTAATATGGTTTAATCTTATAGAGAACATAAATAAAATTCTTATTTGAAACTTATGATTTCCATGAAAAGTAAAACATTTTAAGTGAATGCATTATTACTGTGGGTAATAAATTATTCTAGGTAACGGGTTGTTTACTCTAGTTTATCCAATGTAGCTTAATTTATTGTGATTTAGGCAAACTTGGTTTCTTTTTTGTTACAATATATTGTTTATATTGATATTATTTTGTAAAATATAATTTTAGAAAGAAAAAAAATCGGTCTTGTTTTATTCACTAATAATTTATCCATAAGGTAGCCCTACATGCTATAGTCAACCAAATTTTTAGCTCGACTATTCGATAAGAATAAGTAGAGCTATTGTAGTCACCCGAGCGTTTAAATATTTTCAAAGTCCATTGACATATGGCTTTGAAACTTTGCACACTTGTTCACCATCATTACCCCAACCTGTAAACAGGAGGAGGTAACTGTATCAAGCATTTTGACAGAATTATGCCCCTTTTTCGACTTAGAATTTACGTTAAAGTTTTTGTAATAGTTCAAATATTTTCAAAGTCCATTGACATATGGCTTTGAAACTTTGCACACTTGTTCACCATCATTACCCCAACCTGTAAACAGGAGGAGGTAACTGTATCAAGCATTTTGACAGAATTATGCCCCTTTTTCGACTTAGAATTTACGTTAAAAGTTTTTGTAATAGTTCAAATATTTTCAAAGTCCATTGACATATGGCTTTGAATTTTTGCACACTTGTTCACCATCATTATCCCAACCTGTAAACAGAAGGAGGTAACTGTATCAAGCATTTTTTTTTACAATCAAGCACTAAGAATAGTTGAGCGTTGCTGTCCTACCGACAGCTCTTGTTGTACTTCATCTTTTGTTGAATGATGAAGGATTATTATGGCTTTCTTTGTTCCTGACACAATAAAACTTTCGAGTTCATAAAGTAACCATTGAAGAAGGGGCCAATGGCCCTCTACAAAGCAAAAGAATGTTAATATTTGGATTGTAAGTTTGTTATATCAAGTCTCAGGTCAAGTTGAGCTGAACTCTTGTTTATAATTGAACTTTTGTAACAATAAGTGTGACCTTGACCTCTGGGGTAGTGACCTGGTCATTGTGTTTTGCTCATTGTCTCATAAAAAAATTGAGATATTTGTGATAAAGCTACTTAAAATAATAAAAAGTAACAGACAGACTGACAAACAAACTAATATATAGAATTTTATGTTCTTTAGGTCGTTGATTTATTATGTGAATTATTCTGACCACTATCTATTGAATGTCCTTTGTCTGGCTTGCAAACTTTCTTGGGTGAAATAGAATAGAGGAAAAACAGAATCCCTACAGAACACCCAAAGTTATCAACACAGAAAATTTGAAAACAAAACATTTTTTTTTTACATTTATTCATTCATGGAATTTCATTTATAACAATTCATATATCAACAGAAGCTTAAATTAAGGCAGAGCACTTGTTTATAATAGTATTAATTACATAACTTTCAATATATAATACATAAGAAAAATTAATGACTAAAAGATTATATCTTGACATTATTATTTACTCATTCTTATAAATATTTCTAAACAAATGCCTTCAATAGGCTAAAATGGTCCAAAGATAACACGAGTCCCAAGAATGCTCCAGAAAAATATATAGTAAAAATTTTTACATGTTTGGAGCAAAATTAAAACAAAAAGAAAAAAAAAACTCCTAGTAACAAAGAAATATTTTGAAGTTCCATATCCAAATCATCTAAAATAACTTTTTTTTAGCATAAAAATAAAATAAGGGAAATCACTCCTGGCAACAAATATGTGAAGAGTTGAATATTTTCTTCATCATGTTTACTGGTACAGATTTGTGATTAAGTAGAACAACTAAATTACATATATATTTTGTGTCAAATGCAGGCCTAACTGAATGATGAAAAAATAAAATCGGACAATTCTAGTTACTATGATTTTGTACAATTAGGTCTATACATGTATTTATCCATTTACTTAAAAAAATATTCAAAATTAGACAGCAATACAGCAAAGCTTATATTAACAGCGTAACAACATAATATGCAAACTGTTTTAGGCTAGGTTACCGTATTTCTCCTGATACACCTCCCCTCCACCCCTCCCCACCTACCCGAGGATTATGGATAACACCAACTTTGAGATCAAAGTTTTCTTATTTGAAACAGGGTAAACCTATGTTGTTAAGTACAGAACATAAACCATATGTTAGATAGATAAATATGGGGTCGGGGGTCCTATATTAGAAGGTATGCGGTACACTTTGTATATGCAGCATTCTTTACCAGCACATTATCATATTACTAGCATGCACATCATATCAAGAAAACATGTCCATATCATCGGCATATGTATAAAACCAACATTTTAAATGGCTAAGATTTAGTTCTTTCAGAAAAAAAGTCTTGAAATTTTCAGTACATTTAGATAAAATAATGCAACTTATCCAAAATACAAAGTCTTTCAATGCCAAGCTGTTTATTTATATTTTTTTATAAGAAATAAACACGTCTTTGAAATTATGGCATGGCAATCATCATTTTCTAGTCCTTTCATTTGCCATGGTCAATGGCCATAAATTTATTTGTTACCAGTTAAAACCAACAGCCTAGATCTTAACAGTTTCATGTTACTATGTCCTAAAGATGACACCAACAAACTTTACTAAAACCCGTAGTGCCGGTGCACACTCTTCGAGGGGACTGCGACTAGGTTTGTAGGGGTCGAGCAATCTGTGTTTGAACAATATGAAGATGCACAATTTATATTACATACAGGTTTTGCAGGTACCTGACATGGACAGTGAATTCGAGCGAATGGAGTTATTCGAGCTATATGGTTTGAGCGAACAAAGTTATTCAATCAATTTTGCAAACAATATTGATTAAAAACAAGAACCGGTTGAACCGGGTGATGCTCCCCGAGAAGGTTCTGGACACAAATGAAAAAAAGGCAAATACTCCAAAATTAGGCAAAGCAGAGTTATGTTTTTTTGCACTGCACTTCTATTCCATGAGATTATAATTTTAGAGTAATGTCCCGGATAAAGTTCAAAGTGTCAAAATGAACAAAGGGCAATAACTCCAAAAGTAGGCAAGACAGTGTTACAGTTCTTGTGCACTGCAAACTTACTCAATGAGATCTATCTACCTGCAACGTTTCATGTTGATATCTCTTATACATTTAGAGTTATGTCCCGGACAAAGTTCAAAGTGTAAAAATAAAACAAAGGGGGATAATTCAAAAATTAGGCAAGGCAGAGTTACGGTTCTTGTGCACTGTACACCTACTCAATGAGATCTACCTACCTACAAAGTTTCATGTTGATACCTCTTATACTTTTAGAGTTATGTCCCGGACATATTTCAAAATGTAAAATAAACAAAGGGGGATAATTCAAAAATAAGGCAAGACAGAGTTACGGTTCTTGTGCACTGCACACCTACTCAATGAGATCTATCTACCTACAAAGTTTCATGTTGATACCTCTTATACTTTTAGAGTTATGTCCTGGACAAAGTTCAAAGTGTAAAATAAACAAAGGGGGATAATTCAAAAATTAGACAAGGCAGAGTTATGGTTCTTGTGCACTGCACACCTACTCAATGAGATCTATCTACCTACAAAGTTTCATGTTGATACCTCTTATACTTTTAGAGTTATGTCCCGGACAAAGTTCAAAGTGTAAAATAAACAAAGGGGGATAATTCAAAAATTAGGCAAGGCAGAGTTACGGTTCTTGTGCACTGCACACCTACTCAATGAGAACTATCTACCTATACAGTTTCATGTTGATACCTCTTATACTTTAAGAGTTATGTCCCGGACAAAGTTCAAAGTGTAAAAATAAACAAAGGGGAATAATTCAAAAATTAGACAAGGCAGAGTTACGGTTCTTGTGCACTGCACACCTCATCAATGAGATCTATCTACCTACAAAGTTTCATGTTGATACCTCTTGTTGTTTCAAAGTTATGTCCCGGACAAGAAAAGGGGACGGACGGACGGACAAGGCGGCGACTATATGCTCCCCCGAAATTTTTCGGGGAGCATAATTAATGTTAAAATGACTGAAACAAATGGATTTCATTCAATGATTATCATAATATTACATAAGTACATTTTTTTCTAGGACATCTAAACTATTTTTATTAAATATTTTCATTAAACTAGATTTAAAATATATATGGCTGGCTCTAAGTAAACTGTTATAAGGTTATTATGATGTATGCCTAGGTGAAAACTACAAAAACAGACTATGCTTAAATTATGTTTGCAATACATGTTGAAAATTTTCACACAGGATTTTTTTAAACGACAAACTTAGCATATGAGAGTGCAATAGTGCTATTTAACAGTTTTAAGAAAGAAACTCTACAAACCAAAGAAATGGGTTGTGAATGTGTGGTGAACTTCTTACGTGGATTAAATAAACTGGCAGTTTTTTTTATAAGAATATATATAACAAACTTAACATTATGACTTCATATTTACATACATTATGCACAGCGTTTAAATTCTAAAACCAGAACAGTAACATCTAATGGGGGGAAAGAATGTTGAATGTTTAAAATCCTCATATCATACAAAATCTTTTAATTAAAAAAAAAAATCATGATTAACAATTAAAGTATTCAATAATTAAAATATGTTGCAGAGTAAACTGATCTCTGTATAATAAATATGTTTTTTTAAAAGAATTTAATAAGAAACCAAAGTGACAGCATGATAAAGAATAAATCATGTTAATTCATGACCATAAATTTTCTAAAAGAAATAACGAAAAAAACAAACAAAAAAAAGTGACAGCATTATAAAATATTGAATTTTCATAATAAAAATACATATTAAACGCAATAGCACTTTCTTGCTGTTGAATTCTAGAGTAAAATCATACTCATAAAGTATTTTGGAGGTTATCTCTAGTGAAGCATTGCATATTCTTCATCAATGTAAGTTACCAATATACCTCAATCAGATGAGAACAGCTCAATTTCCTTAATAAACCTAAATATAAAGAACTTACAGAAAAAATCTATTTCCTTGTTTTACTAAACAAAATAACGGAAAATATGATCATTTTAAACCAGTTACAGGGTCTAAAAGATAAAACTTTAGAAACTTCCCAGAGAAACACAAATCAAAGAGTGTCCCCCCCCCCCCCACATACACACCACTAAAAAAATTACGTTTTGGTCTTAAGTGATAAAAATCTTCATAAAATCATGTATAAACTCTAATAATCAACTAATGAACCGGGTACATTATAATACAAGATCAATATTTAACTTTTTTTTCTTAACAACAAACAAATATAAACCATCTTATAGTACACAATATACATTATATATATATTTATAAAATATAACAAGTATGTAGTTCTGTCATCAAATACTGGCCAATAACCTAGAAAATATTACATTAAAACATTACCTTATACAACTTACAATCACAAAAACATATAAAATATACATATTCAAATTATCTTTCCCAAAAATCTATATTTTCTGTTAAAGATATTTTATCTTTTTCCCCTTTCAGATTTCATTTAATGATTAAAGATTTAATTTGAATAGGACCTGTCTCCAGTTAAATTCATGATCAGATATAAGGATTAAACAATAAACATAATTATATAATATTAAGAAACTGATGAAATTGATTTTAAATTATTTTACAAAAACAATAAAAATTGGTTAGGTTAATTGTTAATTTCGAAAATATCTGTTAAGTTCAAAAATATCTTTTAAAGTAATGAACTGTATTTCACAAAGGCTGGTCTGGCTCAAAGATTGTGACATTGGCCAGTTATTATGGCCACTTTAGTACAGAGAATCATAGGTGATTACTGAATACACTATTAAATTAAAGCTGAGATCTAAACAAAATGAAACCACTACAAAGTTTTATGAAGCTTTCACTGTATCAACATCAATATATCTAATAGATGTACAAGTAAAACATAAAATGTAATATTTTCTAGTCATGGCCATAAACCGGGAATAGAGTATAAAGCATGTACAATATAAAATACATACGATTGTCTCCCTACAGTTAATGTGTGAAGCAACAATTAAAAAGAAATACAATGTTGAATGACAAGACATTTTATAATGATAATCCATGGTTTAGGAAACAACAATATAATCATCAAATAAGGTCATCTCTTTATAAATTTCTTTACAGTTTATACAGAGCTGTTTCATTTTGTGGCCTATAAGGTAAAATTCCAATTTTTGAATCATTTTTCTTAATAAAAAATAATAAATTAAATTATTCTGTCAAATTACAAAAATATTAAAGGAATGGGGAAAGGGAAACACAAATGCATGCCGTGATAAAAAATACTTCAATTTTGAAAAATTATCACATCAATATTTATAAATATATACTTGAATTTTCAATGACTTTTTCCCTTTAAACATTGATACTTTTTGGCTAAACACAGAAAAACTCATCAAATAATGAACAAGTAGCCCAAGTAGGCCTTAATCGCTCACCTTTAAAAAATAAATTTGGAAAAGTGGAAAAGAAGTTTAAAAATCAATATTTGTCACAAAACACAACACAAAGAGCTTACATATTTTGATGTTACAAATATATACTAAGTTGTCTAAATAAATTCTTTATAACTTTATTGAACCCCAAGGGCTAGACCAAATTTTGACACTACAGTGTATGATTTCTATAGCTTTGTTGATCCATGATACTTAACAAATATCTAAGCTCTAAACGTTGGATCATTTCCTAACAAATTTCTAAAGTTATTACATTAACAAGAGCTGTCTGTATGACAGCACGCCCAACATTTCTCAGTGCTTGACATTAACAAAAGGGGCATAACTATAAAAAAAGGTATTTCAGAGTTATGGGACACGTGCCTATAATGTTGGATAATCACAGAGAACAAGTGTGTGTAGTTTCAACATATTCCCCTCAGTAGTTTTAGAGATATCAACTTGCATGCAAAACCTTAACCAAAGCATGTCACAGACGTAAGTTAATTAACTCTCCCTATTCTTTGAATAGTCAAGTTAAAAACATACTTTGAGCTCATTTGACCTACTTCTGCAAAAGATCATTATACAAAGCTGACAAAGCTGCGCAGCTTATTACCAGTCCTGTGAAGTTTCAAATAGTTTTGTGCAAAACATTGTTTTACACTTAACCTAAAAGTGGTGTAATATATTTGTCCAGTTCTAACTTTCCATAAGCTATTTAAAATTCAAAGTTGGGAAAATCTATCACACAAAGTCAGCAGATAAAGGGTTATACCATGTATCACACAAAACTACTTAAAACATAATTTCAATATCAAAACATAAAATCTGAGCTACCAACAGAATAGAACTTGGCTTTATACTAGTGGCAAAGGCTAATTACTTTTGGTTCCAACAGAATACGAGTTAAAGAACTTTTGAATAACCAAAGAAGCTTGAAGACCACTGACAATGGAAGATGCACGACAAACATCAAGTAATCACAAAAGCTCATCACTGAACACTTTGTGCTCAGGTGAGCGGAAATTTGAGCAAAACAGATTTATAAGGCCTTTTACAGTCAATAAAATGATTGTGCTTAGTAAATCCTACATAATTTTATACATTTTACAGCTTTCACTGACTGAAATAAACTTCATAATTATTACATGTGGCTTGTTAGCCAGATTTTTTCATTTAAGTGAAATTATTTTGAAATCAATATCAAAATAATCTTTACACTAATGTTGAAGTTATATCCCCAAGACTCAAAAAAAAATGTTAAAGTTTCTAAAAGACTTGAATTTCATATTATGCCATTAACATTGCCATTATTGAACTTTGACTTGATAGATGATTAACAATTTTCTCCCAGTGATACTTGTTATACCTTTGATTTTAGACAATGGATTTTATGACAGAAGTTGAATATTCATGCAAATGAACCATTACACAAATCAATTAATATTCCTGCTCAAACTCTGATGATGCTTTTTAACCTACTATTAAATATAGTTTTACAATCAAATACATTTATGTTTTATAAATTATTTTTAAAGCTGCATTTTATAAATTTCATCAAAAACAGAAAAAAGCTTCATTTCATTAATAATAGATATTTCCCATTGACTCTAGTTCTTATTATGGTGTGCAGACAACCCAAATGAGTTTTATAAGCATAAACGTTTGCAACCTCCTTGTGAAATCGAAAGTACATTTTCTGTTTGCATGATAAAACTCTGTCTTTGGTTCATTCAAACATCAACAGAAAAACAACAAACATGGCTCAGAAAAAAATCTTTTCTAATTCAACAGTATATTTCTGTTATGTATCTTCTTATTTCTTTTGGTTACTCCATTGTGAACAGTAGGTCTAGTGTATCGTGAAGCTAAAACAGTAAAAGTCTGTTTATCGGAAATGTAATAATGCTTAGTTTTTAGGCCGATGGTAAAATATTTTTTACACATCTATTAAATGCAGCTTTAAGAAACTCTTAAAGGTTCTCAATCTATTACTAGATCTTGTTCTATTAATAAATCTGGTAAGAAAGGCTGTCCTCATTATGAATCAAGTTACACAAGTTGGTTAGCACTACTTATTTCACACAGGCAAGTCAATCAATATCAGTTAATCATCAAGAAAACTGACGCACTGCTTAGCATTATAGAAGCCAAGGAAACAGGTTTAGAATCACAGCACGTCAGTGAGTACATTATCATATACTTGGCATTCATTAATCACTATAATGATATGTACATCTTAAAATATTCTCATAATCTAATAAGTGAAAAACAACAACATTATACAAAATAACTCAACATAGTTACATAGTAATGTGGTCAATGATTACACAACAATGTGTGACATAATTATTCAGTAATGTGTAGAATGATTACACACACAAATGTATAGCATGGTAGCACATTAATGTGTAACAAATAATTACACTGTTATATAAAGCGCCATTACACATGAATGTGTAGCATGAGTATACACAGATGTGTGTAATGATTACACACTGATGTGTGGCATATTTACACATTAATTTGTCACATGATTACACACTTGTGTGTAATATGATTACATATTTAGATACATTGTACTATCATGAAGCAAGATAACATGTGTAGCATGATTACATAAAAGTATGTGACATGATTACACAATAATATGTGGCATGATTAAATACTTATGTGTTGCATGATAACATCTGATGTGTTGCATGAACACACAATGATGTGTAGCATGATTACACAGATATATGTAATCACCACACAATTTTAATCTTACAAATATTCAATAAAGGAAATTCCCATTTGAATAATCAAGTCAAGAATAATCAAGTCAAATGTCTACTCAGTTACACAAGATACTTAATCAGTTTAGCCACATAGTCCATTCACAAAATCAGATATCTTGCAGAGACAATATTGAACAAAATGATACATTAAATATGCACATTGTATTATGGATGAAGGCATAAAATTATTATTAAGTTTTCAACACTTCTTGACATTATTTTCTACAAATTGTAAACAACAATCAAAAACCAAAACCATTTAGTTGTTTGTGTGTATATATATATATATACAGAACACAATTTCAAACATACATTTCTCTATGTGTTAAAACATGATTATAAAATTTTGATTAATGCCCTTATTGTTTTTTTTTATTTTAAAACTGAAGTAAGTTATTTGTACATAATTTGAAGAAGATGATGAAAAACAAACAATGGCTGTAGAAGAAGTTCCTTACAATAATGCTGATGAACATCTTCTAACTTTGTTGTAGCTGCCTTAAATATTGTGGCTGATTTGTAAAGGTGATTTCTACAACAATTTTCATTTTTCTCATTCTGTCTGTCTCTGAATCAGGAACACATTATAGGCCACACTGAATAAGTCTCATTTAAGTTAATACACAACAAATATACAAGTTTTTCAGCCTCCTCATTTAACATTATATGAAACAAGCTATAGAAGTCAACAAATATAAAACAAACTATATAGTCTATAGTCACTTTCAAAGAAAATGCTGAATCTGAATCTGGCCAATATATCTGAGGTATGAATGCTGAAATCTCGTACGAAGTCTCAATCGAGCACTTTTTAATGTTTAATTATATCTTCACATATTATGTACAAAATAAGGACCTTATAACAAGAAGTCGAATTTTTCGACAGGTACAAAACACAATGACCTTTGACTAAAAAGGTCAGATGAGCCCAGTATACATGACGCTTTAGACTAGCTCTACAACTTCTGTCCCTCTTTAATGCTTTCAATGATAAGTTCATGAAAGAGTTGCGGGACTTTGATTGTTGGATTATGGGTCAGCAGAAGACCTATCGCTAAATTATGCTGCAGAAGACACTGAACAAGCTCAGCAACACGAACCAGAAGAATTCCGTATCGGGTCAAACCTTCCGGAAATGTCTCTGAAGTACAGATTAAAATTTCATGTCAGTATTAATAATCAGAAGGAAATGAAAAAGCTGATTTATCTTTACAATATCATAAAACATGTATAAAACTTGTTTAATACTGTAAAATCTAGTAAATACTGGTAAGCATATATGCTTATAATAATTAGTGGAACTTTAATGCACTTGTAGAGTTAGGTTTAGAGACAGTCAGACAAATTATTGACTGTATCTTAAAGTTCTTTCCCATGGAAATTTTAGTGGCAAATTAACCATAATGTTTACACAATTTTGACAAACTGATTATGATAGAAACAAACCACTTTTATGGTATTCAAACTTAATTTTATTTATATTTCCAGACACTTCTGCGGAAATAAAACATTATTAAGAAAAGTATTTAACATAACCCATCTTTTAATCAGGTCATTTAGAGCACTTATCATCAGATATGTGTGATAAATAATCTTCATGGTATAATTATAATTGTATAATAATACCTTTAACAAGGTCTTTTTTTGTTGTTGCTTTATTTATAGTTTTCCAGTAATCTGTTACACTCCTATTTTCTACACAAACTTACAGTGCAGGTACAACATAAGCATATCATCCAATACAGTATAACAGTAAGATGGTACTTTTTAAATGTGCTTGTTTTTTATTATTTCCCTCATTTACCAGATTCTACAGTTATAGATTTTAAAGTAAATTTAAAAGAAAACTCTTATGTCAAAAAACATTACCCAATGACTGAATTCAGATCAGAAACAGAAAACTTGAGAATGTCAAAAAAACAACTAATTTTCAAATCTATAAATGTTATAATGAAAAAATTCTGAGATACAATCTGTGAACAAAAACAACAAGGTTTTCATAAAAGATTTGCCTGTATTTTGAAAAAAAATACTAATTTGTTTACTAAGAGAAGAGAGTATACAATCTCTCAAGAAAAACAACAGGTTTAACTGTATTTGCAAAAACTTGTTTACTAAGAGAAGAATACTGCCTGAAAAATCGAAACAAAATCTTACTTTCTTCGTAGGCCTGTAATGCACCGGATATCTGGTTCTGTAACTGCTCCACAGCTTTTGGATTTTCTAGACCATGAACCTCAGCAGGAAACAAGAGTAATGCTGACAATAATGCAAATTCTTCGTCCGTAAACTGGAACGATGTTACCATCTCACCAACATGAAGAAAATGTTCCTGTAACAATAAAACTAGTTTATATAGTATTTAATACATTATATACTCGGTTTCCTTGATTTTCAATTAATGTCAACCCCCCCCCCCCTTTCTTGGGACCTAGACACAGCCCCTTTAAGTTGCCCAGGATGCATGCTTCAGAACTGTTCACTATTAAGGGGAAATGACGTGTAAGCAGCTGGATAGCTCAGTTGGTATAGCCGAGGAACAGTATTCTGTGAGGACCGGGCAGGCTGCACATTTTTTTCACCCTGAGACAAAAACATAAAATAAATCTAATCAAACTACCTGAAACACTCTCAACATTGGAAACTGTTCCATCATGATATTCTCCTCTTCCTTTGTGTAAGTGAAGTAGTTGTATTTCCTGGTAGAGGGGTCATATACCTTGGACATGTTGAGCAATTCTATCGGATAGATAGAGGACTGTATCAACTTCACCTGATCATTTAAACTCAATGTCTTAAACCCTGAAATCATATACAATAAATCATTACACTGTCATCACATAACCACATGAATAACATAAAACAGTTTTTTTTTTATTCATTAAACCTTGAACAAAATCTGACAACAATAAAGAAATCATAATCTGACATCAGAACAGTACTTAACTTTTTTATACTAATACTCCTCAGTATTTCCCAAATTATGTTTAACTCTAAAATATCTCCAATAGATTTGTCCACCTATCACTCTGGACTTTACCATTCATTGTTTTTAGGGAAAATTTCAATGTTTGTATACTGACTGAAAAGCAAAACAAGCAGACCATGATCAAAAATGTAGCTGATCTTTGTCTGCACATGACCATGATCAGATGGCATGGATGTACAGACAGGTCTAGGTCTGCACTGGTTGCATTGGTAGATTCAGTCACTGCTTTATCAGACTTGACTGACTTGATCTATATGCAGACTTGACCTGTGTGCAGACTAGAATGACTTAATTTATGTGCAGACTTAACTTACTTAATTTATGTGCAGACTTGACTGACTTGACCTATATGCAGACTTGACCTGTGTGCAGACTAGAATGACTTAATGTGCAGACTTGACTGACTTAACCTATGTGCAGTCTAGAATGACTTAATGTGCAGACTTGACTGACTTAACCTATGTGCAGACTTGAATCTATGTGAAAGCTGGACTGACTTTAACAATGTGCAGACTTGACTGACTTAATCTATGTGCTGGCTGGCCTGACTTTATGTTGGTTGAACAGGCAAATCATTACTGCAGTTAACATTCAAAGATTTGGTATACTTGAATAGACTAAAAGATAAAACATTAACAAACCTGGCACTAGTTTAGCAAATCTAATGGTGATGTATGTATTATGGTGAAAGTTTGTCATCATGTAATTCCACGTAGATTCTCGTGTAGAAAACACTGACATATCACATTTTGATGTTATAACATTACCAGCCTAAAAACACATGTAAATATTATATATTACATTGACCTCAATTCAAAGGACTTGGGCTATAAAAGATGGTCATTGTACCCCCATTAAATTTTTCTTAAAATCAGTACAAGAAATATTTTAAAAAATAACATTTTTTAAAACCTAAATTTTTTCCAGGAAAAAGCGAAAAAAAATACATGTTATGAAAATGTATGAATTTTTATTATTACTGAAAGGAGTAATGCATGAAAATCTAAAACCCCAGTAACAAATTAAACTGAAAGAGTCAGTTATCCACTGGAAGCATCCTATGAGTTATGGGGGCAAAAGTTAATTTTATTATTTTTCTACCTATAGCATTATCACCTTTATCAGTAATGCTGAAAGGGGCATTAAATTTCCCAATCCAGGAGAATTTACAAATGGAAAAAACGCTTGTAGTTCCCACCCCCCCCCCCCCCCCCCCCCCCCCACCCCCCCCAAACCACACAGGGGGAAACCCATACTCACTTTTCAGACATCAAATTTCATCCTTAATATTACTGGAACTTTGAAAGCTTGTACTACAGTACTACTTGTGTGCTTCAAAATACTTCACATTTCAGAGAAAACAATGTTTTTACATCAAGCCTTATATTTTACTGCACTTTCTTATTGTTTCACATTTAATGAAGTATTAATTTACTTCTATGCAACAGTTACCATTATATTTTAATAGTCCAATAAACAAGATTTTATACAGGAAATTCTTTAAAATGTATTTTAAACAGATAATTAATAAGGATCTGAATTGTCACTTTGGTATAAAAAAAAAACAAGGATATAAACAATGAAACATGAAATTCTACAGTTAAAAGAAACAAAAAAAGGCAACAAAATCAATATAATTTACCTTGGGATCCATGTATTTACTTTTAAACAATGCTTTAATATCATCAACATTCATAGAAGTTGTTGGATTAACGTCTGTATCAAACACCTGAAAAAATTGTTCATAGAACTATATATTTATAACTATATATTTATATCTATAACTATATATTTATAACCATAACTATATATTTATAACTATAACTATATATTTATAACTATACATGTATTTTGTGCACAAAATCAATACAGTAGCCCAAACAATTTCTAATGTGACTATTACAATTACATATACAATGAACTTCTAGTGACAAGCCCTCATAAATCATAATTATGAGTCAAATAATTCTTCAAAAGATCAAAGTGCAAAAAACCAACAAATTTATAGTTAAAGATTTGTATTAATATTGAATATTCATAGTCAAACTGAAACATTTTTTAACATTTGAAAGACTGTTTTATCACCAAAATCAGTTACTAATGAAGAAAGAAAAATTTCTCCATATTTTTGTGTCCATATTTGTATATGTCTTATGTAATTTCTGTGTGTAGTAAGTTATAGAAAGAGCATCGAAACACGAGGCTATCAGTTTTGTACGAGGGGGTGTAGCCCCCGAGTATAAATCAGATTGCCGAGTGTTTTGATGTTCTTTCTCTTTTATATCATAGTCAAACATAAAAACACGTTCCCAGTTGTCACAATATGAAACCCTAGAAAAAAATAACCAATGAATAAGCATCTGAATATGATATTTCTATCGCTTTCCCTTTCTCTGCTGTCAAAATAAGTAAAACCCAGCAAAAATGAGCCAATCAATGGGCATGCTCCGGATTGCGGGCAAAATATACATGCACTCCTGTATACATATACACTGTGTATGTATATGTATACAATTTAGCTCCGACACATTTTCAACAGAAAGATCCACAAACTATGATACAAGTGCCCTATGTTACATGACTTTATTTGATCATGGTCTACAATATACATATTTTGAACTTCTTTTTTTTTTTTTTTTTGAAATGATCCCTTAAAATTAAGAATGATGTAATCCATTTTGAAAGATAAACAAATCCATTTAAGATATAAAGCATGGTAACTATTAAAGTAAACCAAATATAAATCTATGTCATATTTTTCAATATTATTAGTTTTAATACACTGATGTTGCCTATCACCATTGTTATGCATCTTTTCATAGTTGTAACTAAGACAAAAGCTAGGCTTACATACCCTGTAGTTCAATAACTGCAGACATTTTCCAGCATCTATAATCTTATTGATAAAGTCTGTCATTGTCTTAAACGAGCCAAGAAGATTGTTCTGATCAATTGGTTTATTCTCCACCGGGCTTGCTCGTGTAGGAGTTGTACTGGTGGGAGAGTACACCGGCTGTTGAGGTACGGATGATGATAAGTGCATATTCTGAGTAATGTTCATTGGTGACGGCACTTTATGGTTCATCTTTGTTTCCCTGGGATGCTTGTTCTCAATATTGGGTGTAGTAGATAAAAACTGTGTTACTGGACTAGGTGTGAACACTAAGGAATTTACAGGATTGTGTTGACCCCTGTGGTGACCTCCGACCTGCTTTCTTGGTGGAGGGGGCATTTGTCTCTCACTTTGTATTTCTATCTGCTCATATCTGTCTTGTTTTGATACCTGCTTCCCATTTAATGTCTGTTGATTCTCATGTCTGTATGTGTAATTTCCTACAGATGTTTGTGTTTTACTGGGTGACGGCAACTTTGATCCTACATCTAAACTTGTAGGGGGAGGTGGTGGTGGGGTGATTCTGTTAGCAAAACTTAAATTATTAGTTGGCCAAGTGCCAACATTATCTGACACAGACTGCACAACACTTGACTGCTTAGAAACAACGTTCGCCAAGTTTATGTCACTTTCACGTAAGGATGTTTCTTTATTCACTGAATTACCGGTATTTGAATTCTGATCCCAGAACGAGAAACTATCTGATTTATTATTTTCTGTAAGAAAGTCCACACTGGATTCATCTATTGGTTCTTCCTTCACCTTTGTTAACATTTCTGTACCTCCCTCAGGTTTTCCTTGTTTTAACTCCATTGATATGGCATGTTTTACAGAATTAGGTTGACGACCAATCCTACTTCCTGTACACGAAAATGTAATAAATGTATAAATCATGATCCTCAACTTCTAATTAATAAATCAAAAGGTTGGGTTTTAAGTTGCACAGACATTGTTACAGTAAAAAAGCAATTTTCTAGGTTTATTTGTGGAAGGAAGACCTCGGGTACTCCTCATAGCATTAGTACCGGAGTACCATCGAGCACCCTGAGTACAACCATCGACATATCATAGGCTAGCTTGATGTTTTCCTCCCATGAAAGAATCTGAAGTTGGTGGGATTTGAACACAAAGTGGTGAGTGACAAGTGATTAAAAGTCAGGATACCCACTCAGCAATAAAGCCTTCGCATCTTCTGAACAATTGACTACACACTTTATAGTTAAAGATTTGTATTAATATTAAATATTCATAGTCAAACAGAAACTTTGAATGCATTTTTTAACATTTAATAATACTACATGTATGCGTAAACAAACAAACAAGGCAAATGTGTAAATTTATGTAAGGAATTATATAAGGAAGTGAGATTAAGTTTGCTAACCTTCAACAGACATGCCAGCCTGTTTACATGACTTGTATCTACATGCCTTACACAGATTTCGGGTCACCATGTTTATTTCACAGTTGCCTTTCTTATTGCACTGGTATTTCTCTGGCTCCCTCTCCTTTGCCATACGACGGAAAAACCCCTACAAAAGTTAAATCAACAATGTCAAAATTCTAAAATCTAAATCTAAACTAAGTCATAAATCTTCTTCATCTTTCTGCAATTTAATTATTTCAACAATCTAAGGAAAATTTTCCTTCATCATTTGTCTACAGAAACCTTTGTAAGGCAAAATTAGTTAGGGTAAAAATAAAGAGAGAAAAAAATCAATGTTATAAATAAGGTACTTATGTGCCTTCTGAACAACTGCTGTGAACACATACAAGTATAAACAATGAATAAATTTAACGATACAGAAGTTCAAGAATGAGATATTTATCTTTATCATATACTTATAAATGAAATATTGAGAAATATTGATGAAATAAAATGCGTATTTTCTTTTTCCGTATTTTCACTGTAAAAATTTATTTTTCACTGCAGTGAAACATATTTTCCGTATTTTCACTGGTGTCTTGCCGGACTACTTTCTTTAAATTCTGCCAGGACACAAAATTTAAGGGAAAGTCTTTCAAATTTTATCGCATAAAAAGATAAAAATGTATATAATAAACAGAAAATTCAAGTTTTTTCTATAAATACATGATTTATTTTCATCTTGTGGCATGAAAATTACCATATTTCACTCGTGGCTACCGCCACTCATGAAATATTTATTTTCATACCACTCGATGAAAATAAATCATGTATTTATAGAAAAAACTTCAATATCCTCTATATATATATATATATTTTTAAGTCTCTTTGTACAGAAATCCATTACAAAAGCCAACAGGGATCATGTAGAATGTAATTTAATCGAAATTTATCTTCACAATTCTGAGAAAATTTTCTTGTCCCTCTCAAAAACTGGTTCTCAGAAAGTAAAAAGTCGTAAGAACAAAAATAATAGAATAAAAAATACTATTTGAGGCCATGATAAATTACCACTAATTTAGAGCAATCTCTTTAACTAATGAAATATAATCTGACTTAACACAATATCCTTAAAATATTCTTTTTTCTTAGAATTGAAATACAGAATATCTATGGAATGATTGTTAATTTTCTAGGAAATTCTTTTATTATCATATTATGACACAAACCTAAATTTTATAAAATCTTGATTACAGATAATGATAGTCTCATAACATAATCAGTGTTCACTGATGTAAGTAAATTGTGTGAAACTATTTCCTTAAATTATGTTTGCAAACAAATAGGCTTTGCCTTTCATTGTTATCTATCAAATATGACAATAGCATATCATTTGTTAATAAATATAATATTCTGTTAAAATTGTAGAATTTTATATTATCACACACCCGTGCCGATTTTGCAACTCCGTAAAAATAGTCTTGCATGGCCGTGCATATATTTTGATGTGATGTCATTAGCTTTATAGAAACATACTGTAAAGACGCGCTAAATGTTAGCGTTATACTATAGGCGCGTCAATGAAAAATGACTCTTATTTCACTTTAAACATATTTTGGGTATGTGATAAAGAGAATATTAAATTCGTGTAAGTTCAATACTGAATTTATTGCACTTGTTGAATAAAATAATATTATGTTCGCCAGAGGCTCGCATAATATAATGTTATTTAACTCGTGCAATAAATTCAGTATTGAACTTACACTCATTCAATATCCTCTATTTCCTTTCAGTATGCAGTGATTTTTTTTTCAATTTTCAAAACAACCTGTGGCTTTCTGAAAGGGAAATATATATATATATATATATATATATATATATATATATATATATATATATATATATATATATATAATATATATATCAGGAAAGGGGAATCCTAAAATCAATGGCATTTAGCCACTAATCTTTTAAAATTTTCAATTTCAATTCAATTTCACATGCATTGTACATAGCAGATGATATATGTAAGGCTGCTTTCCATCTTTCAGTCAATTAAATTAGTCAACAAGCTAATATAAGTCATGGTACTGTTGAATAATTCCCCCAGGGCATTTAAGGGGAAAATATACCTATTTTGGGTTAGGGGAAACAACCTTTATTTGGCTGTAAAATACAGAGGGAAAAATTACTGAAACTTTGTGATTGCACATACTGCAATGAACTCTTAAGAGTTAGTTGTTATTTTTGGAATAGTGCATGATACAGCATTTGCTAGTTTGAGAGGCAACCCTGTTGTAGATCACATGGTTTTTTAAGATGTCACCAAAAAGACCATTAGAGTTGCTAAAGAAGGATGGGGAACAAATCTTAATTACTCGTCAAGGGTATAACATCATAACCACAAATACATGCTCTCAATTATTGAACAACAGCTTCATCATGAAATGATAAAGAAATCACTATTGACAATCAGTTAACATGTTTTGTAACACACTGAGTATACATACGCACATTCATATATAAGTCACAGCATGCTTATAAAATGATTGTCGTAATTCATATGTCCTCACATAATAAACAAATATGCCAACATGTGAAAAATATCTATGTCAGGCTGTCCAGCACCTTCTAACAAACAATTAGGGCAAATTTTAGGGCAATTTTAAAGAAATTTTAGGGTAAATTAAGGAAATTTTAGGGCTAAAATTTGGAATTTTATAACTAAATTATGGCCTCAAAAGACCATGATATGGGCTCAACTTTGCATATTTGACACAAAAGTAACTCACAAATAATGCTCTAGTTCGGTGATAGCAAAGGTGTAACCAGTGTTCCATAGTGAAGAAATGGATTTACTGGTCAACTGCCTTTAAAAAGAGCTGAAAAACTACATTAAAACATAACTAGAATGAAAACATTTTCAAAATTATAAGTATCCCGGAACAACCAATATTCAATTAGTTAAGCTATGATTAGCCAATAATAAATGGAAGGAGAAATTATGCTTCAGATTTATTTTAGCTATAAATGCATTTCTTATCAACATCTATTCATTTTAAGGTTGGTACATTTTCAACAAGTCTTGATCTTTCTTAAAAAACAATAAAAAACGATATGACCTACTCAAGTCATTCCCAGGAATGTTTAAACTTAAATTCAAACAGCAGGGTATACACCTATGATGAATTTGTATAAGTAAATTGTAGAAAATTTCACAACAGTGTCAGTTTTTTTCAATGATTTTCAACAGTTGTTTTCCAGATTTTAAAAAACTTGCCCTATATGTTATAACATATGTTCAGTACATGTTAGTGTGTACAAAAAGGGCAGCTGAAGGTGTCACTTATTAGTACGCTAATTGGGTAGCAAAATGGTTTAAAAGCATTCCAATCATTTTACTGCCAGTTTACGTTGCCCACCTTATAATTAGCAAATATGAAAACTTGTCTGGTATCACTTACAAAGATCTGTTCTAGTAATCACTTGAAAATAACTTGATTTACAAATTTAAGATTTTTATAATAAGGACCCCTTACATAAAGTTTGATGAAATTAGTTTGTAAATCATGTAAATAGTTCCTTTAAAAACATCTAAGACTGAGGTAAATGGTAAAACTCTGTGGCCAACAAAAATGTCATTGTAACTTCCTTGGAATATTTTTATTCAGTGACTATTTTGATATAGTCAAAGTCGGACAATTTTCATTGTTCCATTTAAAACAAACAGTTTCTTATTATTTTTCTTGATAACACCTGACAATCAAGTATAGCATTTCTGCATGAGTTGAGGTAAATACAACATGTGACTACAATGTATATGCAATTTAGTCAGACATGACATCAGCTCCACTGACTGTGTTCGAATTTAGGTTGTGATTGAAACATGGTTGTTTCGCGACATGTTTATCACAAAAGATAAAAACAAGAGGGCCATGATGGCCCTGAGGTCGCTCACCTGTATATAGCCCCCCCCCCCAACGTTGCAGGGCCAATTTAACCCAAGGGCTTTTATTTGCACAAACTTGGTAGACACAATAAGAAGATGTTTCATTTGCTAAACATCTAAGCTCTAGCTCATGGGCTTTTTAAAGGAAGGATTTTTTTTTAAGTTTTTTACTATACAACAATATAGTTAAAAACAATGACATCCCTGGGGTCGGGCCAGGGCTTTTATTTTTGAACAAATTTTGTAGACACTTACTAGAAGATGTTTTCATGCTTAATATCTTAACTTAGCTATTTGGGGGTTTTTTCAAAGAAGATTTTAAGTTTTTGCTATACACATTAATAAAGAAAATCAATTGACCCCCGGGGCGGGGCCAATTTTGACCCCAGGTCTTTATTTGAACAAAGCTTTGTAGACACTCATTACAAGATGTTTCATGCTTAATATTTTTAACTCTAGCTATTTGGGTTTTTTTTCAAAGAAGATTTTTTAAGTTTTTGCTATACACATATAAGGAAAATCAATGACCCCCGGGCGGTGCCAATTTTGACCCCAGGGCTTTTAAATTTTGAACAAACTTGGTAGACACCTATTAGAACATGTTTGATGCTCAATATCTTAGCCATAGCTCTTTGAGTTCTTTAAAAGAAGATTTTTTAAGTTTTTACTATATGCATATAGGGAAAATCAATGACCCCCCGGGGCGGGGCCAATTTTGACCCCAGGGCTTTTATTTGAACAAACTTGGTAGACACTTATTAGAACATTGTTTCATGCTAAATATCTTAGCTCTAACTCTTTTGGTTCTTTAAAAGAAGATTTTTTAAGTTTTTACTATATGCATATAGGGAAAATAAATGACCCCCTGGGGCGGGGCCAATTTTGACCCCAGGGCTTTTATTTGAACAAACTTGGTAGACACTTATTAGAACATGTTTGATGCTCAATATCTTAGCCATAGCTCTTTGAGTTCTTTAAAAGAAGACTTTTTAAGTTTTTACTATATGCATATAGGGAAAATCAATGACCCCCCGGGGCGGGGCCAATTTTGACCCCAGGGCTTTTATTTGAACAAACTTGGTAGACACTTATTAGAACATGTTTCATGCGAAATATCTTAGCTCTAACTCTTTTGGTTCTTAAAAAGAAGATTTTTTTAAGTTTTTACTATATGCATATAGGGAAAATCAATGACCCCCTGGGGCGGGGGCCAATTTTGACCCCAGGGCTTTTATTTGAACAAACTTGGTAGACACCTATTAGAACACGTTTGATGCTCAATATCTTAGCCATAGCTCATTTAGTTCTTTAAAAGAAGATTTTTTAAGTTTTTACTATATGCATATAGGGAAAATCAATGACCCCCCGGGGCGGGGCCAATTTTGACCCCAGGGCTTTTATTTAAACAAACTTGGTAGACAGTGAGACACCTATTAGAACATGTTTGATGCTAAATATTTTAGCTCTAGCTCTTTGGGTTCTTTAAAAGAAGATTTTTTAAGTTTTTACTATATGCATATAGGGAAAATCAATGACCCCCCGGGGCGGGGCCAATTTTGACCCAAGGGCTTTTATTTGAACAAACTTGGTAGACACTCACTAGAAGATGTTTCATGCCAAATATCTAAGCTCTAGCTCTTATGGTTTTTTAAAAGAAGATATTTAAAGTTTTTTCTTTCGGTTGCCATGGCAACCAGAGTTCTGCATGGAATTAAATTCTTTGAATAATTTATAAAGGTGACCACCAAAGGAACATTCCTGTGAAGTTTGGATGAAATTGGCTTAGTGGTTTATGAGGAGATGTCATTTAAAGTAAAAGTTTACGGATGGACGCCGGACGGACGGACGACGGACGGACGCCAGACGAAAAGCGATCACAAAAGCTCACCCTGTCACTTTGTGACAGGTGAGCTAAAAAATAGGAATTTAAGTGAAAAAATAGGGCTTTTTTAGGAATTCCCTTTGATTTTTTCATTTTTTAGGAATTTTAGCCAAACTGAAAAAAATTAGGATTTTTTAGGAATTTTAGGGACGCTGGACAGCCTGCTATGTTTGACCATCAACTGTTTATATGTACGTGAAGTTTATATGTAGGTGATAATGTGAACTGTACATACTGACCAATGGGATCAACAAATGTAGATTTTAATTTTTCAGGGGTTCCAGGTTTGTTAATAAATTTATGACACAGAAATAAAATTTCTTAGTGTCCTTTTTCTTACTTTTTAAAAATCAATATACAATATATCTACATTAACTTTAACAATGTTCCTAGTTATATTATTATTATACAAACAAGCTGACCAAAGTTAAAATCTTCTTCTGTTTCACATGTAAAAACTGCAACATTGTCTAGGAGACAAATTTAATGTACAACAAGTTTATGAGACAAAACAAGTCAAATTAAGCTAATAACATATTATCGTATAGAGAAAATAGAATGTATAGAATTTTCAGTTACAGGCTGGAATTACTCTCCAATTTTAAACCTATGGTATATGCTTTCCTATCCAAAAACAAAAAGAGAAATATGAAAATAAAAAAAATATATTTTTTGCTATCTGAAGGGAGGGAGGGGGGGGGGGGGCATAATAAAAAGTCTTTCGCCCCTACAAATCAGTACTTCCCCTTATTGCACTCTGCATATGCTTTTATCATTTTAACCCATTAACAAAATAAAAAACATTTTCCAAGAAAGCAGTCAATATAAAAACATTTATAAATGCATTCGCTATTTTGCATCATACACACAGTTGTTACTTAAAAAAATAAACATACAGACGTAACTTAAGGCACAGATGTTTTGTTTTCCAATGCTGTGAAAATTTTATCAAAACAAAATGAGTTGAAACCCTGGGTTTTCATTTTATTCTGAGGCAACAGATGTGCCAATGAAAACAACTGATTTGGCCAAGGGTCAAGGAGAATACAATACGTTAACAATGAAAACCCCGATTAACCTTGGGTATATAAAACAATTCAATATATGTTAAAAAAGTTGTTGGTTTTCTTTAAAATAATTACACAGAGCTGAGTATATTTAAAGCTGGAATACCTTGCAGCCTTCACAAGTTATAGCTCCAAAATGAAACCCCGATGACGGTGCCGAGCAGACACGGCATGGAATGTCCGACATCTGTGTGTCTTTGTTCGACTCACCTTCACCTTAATGACAAAACATTATGTAAATAATAATAAAATTTTTTTTTATTTTAATAATTAAATAATTATATTCAAAATACAATAATTGATTAAACTTTTTAATAGTTACATTTAAACAATACCAATTCTATAAACTTTAATTCCTGACCCTCAAGATATGGTAATCTTGCTATGGAATATAGTTTTATACATATACATGTTTTAAACTTTTTTTGAACATGACTTTGTTTAGGTATATAGTGCCTCACGCTTTGTTTAGGTATAATACATGATAGCACATAACATATCTCATTTAGGTATAATATATGGTGACACATAACTTACGAAGTTTAAAACAAAGTAACATATCTTCTTAGGTGAAATATATTGTCACATAACTTGTTTAGGTATAAAACATGGTCACATATCTTGTTTAGGTATAAAACATAGTCACATAAGGTATAATATATGGGCACATACCTTGTTTAGGTATAATATATGGACACATACCTTGTTTAGGTATAAACATGTTGAGACTGACACATTTCTGAAACCTGCAATACTGGCACTGTACTCTACTTTCTTTGGTAATAATACACTTTTTTTCTCGCAGGCAAACATACTTCAATTTATCTTGCTTGTAAGCTCTCATGTAAAATTTCTGTAGAACAAAATTAACATAACATTAATGTAAACAAGATATGTTTGTAAAATATGTATGCCCCCTATTGGCAGTCAATTAGTCATGTGATCAGGTTATTATGCATGACTTCTGACCCACTGAACAAAAAATTAATAAGGGTTATCTAGTATCTACTGGTCATGACTAGTCACAAGGTAATAATTATTGTGACCCCATAGGTTGTGTGCAACAATTTGAGTTATTACAAATCTTACAAAATAATATATGCATAAATTTTATGAATCATGTAGGCCTCATTAATGACAGCCAAGTTGTTATATTACATAAGACCTTCAAATGTGTATACCAAAAGCATTTTTAGTTTTATATAAAAATATCAACCAAGGCAACTTGAGTTGTTGAGTTATTGGTCAGAAACCGTCGTTAAGTACAAGGTCAATATGACACTGAGCCCTTGACCCCAAAATCAATAGGGGTCAACTACTGGTCATGACCAATCATCATACCAAGTTTGAAGTTCCTAGGCTTAAGCATTCTTTAGTTATTGATAGGAAACCATTTTACCTACAAGGTCAATGTGACCTTGACCTTTGACCCCTTGACCCCAAAATCAATGGATTTAACTCAATACAGGATTGGAGCAGTACCTCTAGACGCTTGCAGAAATCATGATCACAAAATAGACAAATATCGTTTTTTTCGCCGATATTTACATTTTTCATTCAATATCATACCTAAATCGGTGTGAAAAGATGAATAAGACATATTAAAGTACATTCCGTTGCGTAAAAAGACAAAATTTTAGCATTTTTTCAGTCAAGCGCCTTGTCCGGTATATACCAGAATACGGTATTTAGTGTGGTGCTCCAATCCTTTTTTTAGTCTCACTCAAAATCAATAGGGGTCATCTGCTGGTCATGACCAATCATCATACCAAGTTTGAAGTTCCTAGGCCTAAGCGTTCTTTAGTTATTGATCGGAAACCGTTTGTACCTACAAGGTCAATGTGACCTTGACCTTTGACCCCTTGACCCCAAAATCAATAGGGGTCATCTGCTGGTCATGACCAATCACCATACCAAGTTTGAAGTTCCTAGGCCTAAGCGTTCTTTAGTTATTGATCGGATACCGTTTTTACTTATGAGGTCAATGTGACCTTGACCTTTGACCCCTTGACCCCAAAATCAATTAGGGTTCATCTACTGGTCATGACCAATTACCCATACCAAAGTTTGAAGTTCCCTAGGCCTAAGGGTTTCTTAGTTATCACTCCGTGGAAACCATTTGGTCTACGGACCGACAGACAAACAAATGCAAAGCAATATACCCCCTCTCTCTTTGAAGTGGGGGCATAATAATAAAATAAAGAAAAATATCATGAAATGGACATATTGTTAGTAGCCCAAAAGTCATAAAATTAGAAACATTTCATAAGTTGCACAACAGAGCTGAAAATTTACAAGAGGCTAAATTTTGGCCTAAATTGATGACTTTAGTAAATGGAAAAAAGTAAAATGAAACATTCTCAAGGGGGCGACTTATTTTACCCTAGGATTCTTGATATTTCTCTTTAATACTTGTAAAGACTTGTAAAGATTATACTATATACCAAACATCATAGCTCTTGAACTTTCAGAAAATATTAATATGCAAGTTACTGTTTTCAAAATTAACATTTTGTAAAGTTCCTCAAGACAATGTTACATGATATTAATTTCCCAAATATCAATGCTCCTGGCTTTTAAATTTCAGACAAGAATAATTTTTATGTGCATTGATATTGAGATGCCTTCTAAGAAATTGGTCTTTTTTAAACAATAGGAATGACTTGTACTTTTCGGCAAAGAATGTACTCAACAAGGTTATAGATATAAAATATCTTAATATGTACTTTCAGTGAAAAATGTTACTATATTTGTCACGAATGTTACCTTAAGGGTAGAGATGATTTTTATCATAAAACAATGCACGATATATTATAAATATATTTGATCTAGCCATGTAGTTTTTTCTATGTATGAAAACCCATGTAGTAGGGGCTATTTTCTCTGGATTGATATGTTTAATACTCAAAACACTTTGCCATCTCATTAAAATCGTGCAAAAACGTAGAGCTGATTTTATAAAATTTAAGAAGGGCCTTTTTAGTTTTTCCTCTCATAAACAAGAGCAATCAGTGATCACATGTGTCGCCTCATGATGGCCAATTTCATGTTGGGACAAGTTTTGTGACAGACGGACAGACAGATGGACAATGCACAATTAGACTTGGTACTGATCATTCCTGTAAAGTTTGGATAAAATTGCACCAGTAGTTTATGAGGAGTGAGTCCGGACAAACTTTTGTGTATCTGGCAACACACAGAAAAAAACACCTTTTTATCAAAGGGCCATAACTCAGCCAAAAATCATTCAACCGAAAAACCCGTGCAATATGTAAAAGGACTTGAGCTACAGATCAATCCTGTAAAGTTTCATTGAAATTGCATTAGTGGTATAAGAGAAGTAGTCCGGACAAACTTTAAAAATAAAAATTATTAAAGGGCCATAACTCTTACAAAAATCATTGAACCGGAAAATGCTGACAATATGCACAACTAGACTTTGTACTAATCATTCCTGTAAAGTTTGGATGAAATTGCACCAGTAGTTTATGAGGAGTAGTCCGGACAAGTTTTGTGACGGACAGACAGACGGACGGACAGACAACGGAGAAGTGGTCCCTATATGTCGCCACTACTCTGTAGAGGCAACACAAAAATGTTTTTGGGCGTTTTCATATATATACCGGCATTGGCAAAATTTAAACTGTTAAATAAAAATCTTTAAACCTGGCATGTTGTTATATATAATATGATAACAGAAATATTTCATACAATGGTCATAAGATAAAACAGCAATCTATATTTTACATGCAACAGATTTATTTTCATCTGGTACAGTACACATAAAAGTACATACAAATAGGGCAGAAGATCTGTAACTTATCATAATATTCAACTTAACACCTCTTTATAGAAATGATATTGACAGCATCCAGATGTTTCCATTTAATCAAGGTTGTGTTTAAGGTAATGCAGCCATGATAAAAGCAAGCACAAGTAGTAGTTTCGGTGAAAGTTTTTCTGTAATGATGTTGTTTCTTCTGGGGTTTTTTTTTGTGGTTTTATTTTTTTTCATAACAAACTAACTCTTGTTTAAAAGGCTTCAAAATATTAACTATGCATCCTCTCTTATATAATGTGTAGTACTTATAGATCATGTAACATATTAAATTTGTGTCTTAGCATCTGATTATAACAGGCCCAGGCCAACTATTAACTCTTAAACAGTTGGTATATATAGTTGGGTGAGTTCATTGCATAAATACAATAGGGTAGCAGGACTTGTTTTTTACATTAATTCAACAGAGTAGCAGGCTCAGTTCGTTCATACATAAATTAATAAAGTCTTTATGAAAACTGTGATACTATAACATACAAGGGCGAGGATGTCAAACAATCTTTCAACATCAAAAGCAAAATCAAACTATCCAAAATAGCACTATACTAGAGGCATAATGTATAATTTAAAGATGAACAAATTAACACATACCTTGCAAGCTTCACAAATGAAGGCCCCACAATAGAAACCTGCAGCCATGTCTCCGCACACCTGACAAGATACGTTTTCCATATGTTTGTTCTTACTAGATCGTCTTGGTGATATTGTTTTCTTCTGTTTCAAGACTTCACCAGTGCTACCAACAGTTGATACCTGTAATATTCAATATGTCTTAACTTGTTACTCTGTCTCATAGGTAGTGATCACTTTTTATTACAAATCCCACGGCAGTCAAGTCAAATTATTTATTTTATAATATTTTGTTTTAAGGTTACAAGTATTCCAATTGGTTAACAGAAAAGTCATCAGTTTTATCCAGATGCCCGATAAAATGAAGTAAGTACCATCTGCACACATTTCTTTCAAAACAAAAGATGCACATTGAAGACTACACTGAATCAGTTTCATTTAATACAAGAGTTTTATGCTTACTGTGATATAATATTCCTTTTTATTTTCTGAATATAAAATCACAGTAGCGTTGTTACATTTAATTCTAGTGTTGAGTGCAATAATTATAACAGTAATCTCAACAGGATGGTTGTATTGTATTACATAATAACTAGCGAAATAACAAAAATATAAATTTTGCATTCTCATGCACAGTTATTTATATCAACATTTAAATTCAACATTATACAAGTATAGCCTGGTCAGAATGCACTGATGAGCAGGTTGGCCTGGCTCTTAATACTGGTGGCATGTTCAGTTCCAGCAGGTAAGAGGTTAATGTATTCAACATCAACCTATTGACCATAAAGAAGAATCAGGCTAGGCCCTCTGGTAAGGGAATTTCATGTTGTTTCGGAGAAAAAAGGGAATTTTATCTGTCAACAACAATATTCATAATGTCAAGTATTACATATATTATTTTGCAAAAAGCAAATTTCAATATGAAATTGTTAAGGGTCTTCTGTTTTAAGCAGGTAAAATTTAAGAAAGAAAAAAATAATATATGAGGAATTTGTTTCTATATTAAAGGGACTCCACTGAGGTTTTTTTGACATGATGGGACTGAAAATATTTTTTCCAGATAAATGTACCATTTGATGTAGGTTTAGACCACAATCTTTGTGCAAAATTTCAGATCATTTGCGCACTTTGTTTTTCCAGAATAATTATTCAAATTGTAAACAAATGACCCAAAATGAAAAGCGTTTAAACGCTTTTCTAAGAAAAGCATAAAAATACAATTTTTAATTTATTTCAAGGTATATTTCTTAACTATATTTGCATATATTTCTGTTTAAAGTGCCCCAGCTCATTATGCAAGAAATTCAAATGTTATATTTTTAGGCTTTTAAACCTCAGTGGAGTCCCTTTAATTATATTATCTTATAATGGTCGATTCTCAAAAGAGTAACGAGTATAAAATAGAATGTCTCTGTTATTTAAAACACATGAATATTGTACATTAACAGAATAAATGTTTCAAAACAAAATATTATTTTGCTAGTGTAAAAAACGTTTTATCTCTTAAGCAGTTAAGCAATGATTTTATGCTTGTACCATTCAATTTTAAGGCAACACACTGTGACTACCATTTTTATTTCATTCAAGCATTTTGGAAGTATTCTTTTCTAAAATTCACACAAAAATTTACACTTTAAGAAACATACTTCAAATCACTGAAATATTTCCAATCCATTTTATAATTATAATATCTCCTGTAAGTTTATATATACTTTGTACATAATGAACATTCTGTAACATGAACAAATCTTAAATTGAGATCAATACTTATAAACAAAGTAGTAGCAGATGATACATAATTATTACTACAGAGTAATCACTTTGAAATATGTTGTGATTTATAATTTTGTATTGAATAAAACATCTGTATCATAAGAAAGAGACCGACAACTTTAATATTTCAAGTTAAAAAGGGGCATAACCCCAACAAAATTGCTTTCAGAATTATGCCCCTTGTCTCACAACTGTACCTTTTAAAGTATTTAAATAGTGGACTTCAATGACAACAATAATGTTGCAGCCATCATAATAGCAGTGCTTTAGATTAAAGCATCGTTTTTATCATTTTTATAAATTTATTTCACGACAAAAACAAATGGAAAATTAAAATTTGTCAGACCAAAGAAAATTCAAAATACTGAAAACATATTATGATAAAATAAAGTTCAACCAGGCAAAAATTACCAATGCATCATTTAAATGATTCTGGAGCTAGAACAAAGGGATGCCATATTAAAACACACATTTCCCTAATGTTAACACTTACTCTTGCATTTAGTCCCCATTTTTGCAACTATGGCGTCTGCTAAGGTTGGAAGTGTAAAAATATGTACCAAATCAAATACTAAATGTACCACATTGATTTGCTACTATCTTCAAATTCTAAAGGCACAAAATTTGTCAATGAGTTATCTTCTGAGTTATCTTCAGTCCTAACCAGGTAACGGCACCAACAAAAATTAAGTTCTCAAGTAACTTTAAGGAACATACAATTTATGGTATCAATGGCCTTTTAAAATGAATAAAATGCAACATTTTGACTTTGAAATACGAGTTTAAGTAATTCAAAAAAGTAAAACCACTACATGTAGTCTTCTTATATTTGTGTGATTGAAAGGTAGGATAATATCATTATGGTATCATAAAAATCATGGCTTCAATTAAAGCTTCGTAAAAATGTAGTTAAACTAACTGAATAGACACCTATGTGGAAAAAAACTTTGCATTTTTTGAAGAAAAAAAAGAAGATTTGTTTATCAAAATATATTGGTGAAAAATTTATTGGCTGAAAAAAACTTATAGTGAAAATAAATTGACACAAATCTTATCGCTAAAAATAGCACTGTGGTTATGATATTTGTTTCAAAGACTTATATCTTTTTAAAATTATAGATATATCTGCATTCAATTTACATTAAAATATAACAATCTCCTTACCTGTTGAGCATTGACTCCCCACTGCACAATGTCATCCCATGTAATATTACTACTGCTATTGTTCTCAGACTTTACAGTAACATTATTTTGCTCCTTCCTTGATGACTGACTGTCTTTTGTCATAAATTCCTCTGACACCTTAGTCATTTCAGTTATTTGTTTGTCCCCAGTTTGCTGTTCTGATGTTGATGAAATGACTGCAGCAAGTTTATGTAGGTCACTATCATGCTCCAAGCTCTTCTCATCATCATCAAAATGGACTGCAGCATTATCATTTCCACCTTCTGTAGGACAGTATTCAAGGTCAAGGTCATCAAGTTGCAAAGACCCTTCCTCTAATTCTGAAAAACTTAAACGAAGCTCATCAGGAAGGGACATCATAGAGATGCTGTCAGCACTTCTTTCTGTTCTTTTTGATGCAGCTGAACTATCAGTCCCTGAAGAAAATCTTCTGAAAATACTCGAGGCTGGCTCCTTACTGTCTGTAGACTGGTTCGTAGAAGAACTCTGTCTTTTTGTAGGATGACTGTTCTTTCCATATTTATCAATGTCTTCTGTATGAAATTTTCTTCGTATATCAGAAGACTGTCTCTTAACTGAGTGATTATTAGCATTTAAAAGATTATTCTGCTCACAATGTTTTTTAACAGACTGGTTATTTAAATATGTAGATTTAGCTGCCGACTGGTCAAATTCATATACAGAATTTCCTAAAGATTGATTGCTTGCATTAAGGGAAAATTTCTGTTCCTCTGATGACTGCCTTCTTGCAGGATGGTTAAATCCATGGTCAAAACTTTTCTGAGACTGGTTTAATCCTTTTTCAGACTGATTCAGTGTCGACTGCTTATTTCCATTACATAAATTGGAAAACCTGTCCGCAAAATGGTTGAATTTATCACCTGAAGAACTTGAAGCGGAATCAGAATCAAAACTTAGACGTGATAAGAAATCTTTTTTAGGTCCATACTTCTTTTTCTTTACCTGCGGGGCGGACTCTGAATAGCTATTCATTTTTCTAGCTTACGAGTGATATAACAACTTGTCACAGGTCTAATCAATCTGTTAGTCTATTTTGGTTTTGTATTTTTCAAATCCTTGAGTGCAATATGTGTCATGGCTTGCAATCTGAAAATAAAAAGTAAATAACTAAGCACTGAGGTCTTTCTAGAATTAATCAGGTCAAATTATAGATTTACACAACCTTGGACATCAGTGTTCATATCATACGAGTATTGCAGTTTATACTTAATTTTCATGATTCTCTAAGTCTACTAGTGTTTGATTGTATATTAAATTAATATCACCATCGCTATCATGTTGTTTTCTGATAATTATTGTTTTAATAAGTTTCAATCTGACATGTATTTTCATCATGCAGTCATGTTCTAACCTGCATGTAGGTCATTATATATTTCTAACAAGAGCTGTCGGTAGGACAGCAACGCTCGACTATTCTTAGTGCTTGATAGTAAAAACAATGCTTGATACAGTTACCTCCTCCTGTTTACAGGTTGGGGTCATGATGGTGAACAAGTGTGCAAAGTTTCAAAGCCATATGTCAATGGACTTTGAAAATATTTGAACTATTACAAAAACTTTAACATAAATTCTAAGTCGAAAAAGGGGCATAATTCTGTCAAAATGCTTGATAGAGTTACCTCCTCCTGTCTACAAGTTGGGGTCATGATGGTGAACAAGTGTGCAAAGTTTCAAATTGCAGAGATTATAAGCATGACTTTTATCCAAAGGGGTGGGGGAATATGTCAATGGACTTTGAAAATATTTGAGGTATTACAAAAACTTTAACGTAAATTCTAAGTCGAAAAAGGGACACAATTCTGTCAAAATGCTTGATAGAGTTACCTCCTCCTGTATACAGGTTGGGGTCATGATGGTGAACAAGTGTGCAAAGTTTCAAACCCATATGTCAATGGACTTTGAAAATATTTGAGGTATTACAAAAACTTTAACGTAAATTCTAAGTTGAAAAAGGGGCATAATTCTGTCAAAATGCTTGATAGAGTTACCTCCTCCTGTCTACAGGTTGGGGTTATGATGGTGAACAAGTGTGCAAAGTTTCAAAGCCATATGTCAATGGACTTTGAAAATATTTGAACTATTACAAAAACTTTAACATAAGTGGTTACGCCGACGCCGACGCAGACGCCAACGCTTGGGTGACTACAATAGCTCTACTTTTTCTTATCGAATAGTCGAGCTAAAAATGTCAATATTAGCACTCTATTAAGATACATGTACTTATTAACACATCAGATGACTTTTTCTCAAGCAATACATGTATATAAAATACACGTTTATTCTATCAAGTTCTAAAATAAGCTACTGGTATGTTAAAACTGATTTTATTGTGCCGTTATAGCTTACAAAAGTCAGTCAAAATCTATCATGCAAACTGAAACAATTTAACAATGCCATTGCAAAAATACTGTGAAAGTTTACCTTTCAAATGCATAATCTCTTAATTAAATTTCTCAATATTTAACCCATACACCTAGTTACAGATGTTACATTAATTGCTTTTCTGTACACTTTACTGTCACAAAAGAGATTTTATGATAAAGAACATAGATTTATAACTCTGGAGTTCATTTACCTTGCAATTCCTTTATGTAAAAAAAAATATCAATTTATCCCTAGTAGTGTGCTTGAAATAACAGTTTGATGCAAAAGTCTCCATTGCTTTGCCTTTTTAATATTTTTTCCTCAGTTTCTGTCCAACCTTATTTCAATTAGAGCTCTGCTGTGGCTAGGCAATAAACAACTATTGGTAAATTTACAAGGTGTATGTGTATTATGGACAATATGGACAATAATTAGCAAATTTATTGTTGTTAATGGCACCGATGATAAATTTTCAACTGAATGTATAAGAAAAATATATGGCCTAACTTTTTTGAGATATCAAGATAACATACTAGAACATTGTAGAAAAAGAAGACAACTGTACTTACTTGATTTCATTTTGATGAATTAAATCAATAATATCAAAAATTTGCTATAAACAGATTACAGAGAAAATCAAGCTTGACATGTGGTTCAATATCAGAACCAAAGTCTGAGCAAGAACATTATAGTAAAGAGTACCCGTACAAAACATTTTGGTTTGGTAACAATAAAATTAACATATTTCAAATTTAATCTTGACAGTCAAGGTCAATTAAAGGTCAAGGTCACATTTAATGAACCATCACGCTTTGTTTTGTCAAATTTATGTATTCTTTTGTTTAAAAATAAATCAAATCTGTAAATAAATAACAAAGTTATGACAATTTAAGTAAATTTCAATAATTTTACCTTGACAGTCAAGGTCAAAAAAAGTCTAGGTCATATCAGAATAATTCAACATGTCAGTTTTGTAAAATGTTTTCTTAATTAACAAGTATGAACCAAAATCTGTAAATTAATACCAAAGTTTTGACAATTAAAGCAAATTTAAATAATTTGACCTTGATAGTTAAGGTCAAGGTCATATTTGAATTATTCAAAATACGGGTTTTGTCATTTGTGTTCTTTTGTTTAACATCAAAAAGTCAAAGAAATTAAGGAAAATAGGGGCATAACTTTTTAAAAATTAATTTCAGGACTTACTGTCCTTCCAGTACAATGACACATTTTGAAAGTAAAAATGTTTAACAAGTTTGAAATGAATAGCAAAAATGAAACAAATCACACTAAACTTCGTCCTTTGACAGAGACCTCCAATTATAATCCTACGGGAAAAAAGTGGCTAAAATCACTTCTTTTGAAGATTGATACTGGCATACCAAACATTAACTAAGAATTTTTTATGTTAACAAAGGGCCATTAATTTAATAAAAATCCATGCCAGTGTAATGGGCCTTGGATAGTGACCTCCAGTTAGGGTCACAAAGACATGTATGAAAATTTATTAATTTACCTACAATAGGTTTGAAAATTGGTGTTACATACAAAACTTTAACCAAAAATTTTCTACATTTACCTTTACAAAAGGCCATAATTTAGTCAAATTCATATCAACTTTATGGGCCTTGGATAGTGACCTTTAATTATGATCCAGATGTCAAGTTTCAAGCAAAAGTTTTGAAGATTGAAGTTGCATGCAAAACTTCGACCAAGAATTTTTTTAAGTTCACAAAGGGTCATTATTCTGTCAAAAAGTGACCTCTTATTATGATCTCTAATATGTGTGTAAATTAACAAGCATATAACTTTAGTGGTTGAGATATGATGTTGTACAAGAAAATGCACATAAAACTTCAGCATCAAACTGTTACCTTCACACTGAAGCCAGGGCGAGTAGAATAGCTAAACTCATTGAAATTGATGAAGAAAAACATATACAAATGACATCTAGAAATCACTTTAATTACTTGCCTTGTTAATCTGCACACTGTTTCACAAGATTTCAAAATTCATAAATAAAGTTATGGTAAGTTCAAAGACAACTGACCTTGCAAGTCTGATGGCAGAAACTCAAATTCTAACAGCTCTAAATATATACAAATTATGTATATTGTTTCCCTTATTTTGCTTCAAGAAGAATTCAGTCAGGGTAAGGTTGTCAATTTATGAATTTAGTCATTGAAATCCGACCCCATACCTCCCTCATCCTTCCATCAAAAAGTATTTTTTCCCCAATTTCTAAAAAAAATAATTCCAAAAAAAAAAGTAATAGTTTTACCAGTCTATATCTGTAAAAAGCAGGAGACCCTTAAAAATATCCTATTGGAATTAAGTTTTTGCTGAAAAAAAATGTAATAATTAACAACATGAGTATTGTCCCCACATGTATTTAATGTGCATACATGTGAACTCTCCCACTTTTAGCGGGAGACTCCCACTTTCTGCAGCTATATTTTCAAAGATTTTTCTTAAAATAAGGGATATTATCACAAATCACAAATTAAAGAAATCTCCCTATTTTTGATCTCAGAACTTCCTTCTTTGTTAAATCTCCCTCTTTTTTTAAAAAAAATCTCCCACTACACCATCAAAAAAAGTTAACATGTATGAATGTGTATGTAGCAATAATTGCCTGAAATTCCCCCCTGCAAGGAAAAAGTTAAAATAGCATGAAATTCACCCTTTTACAGGTACAGTTTCCCCAAAATTGACATAAAGCCAAATAAATATGTACATGTAACAGTTTGACAGATAAATGATAAAATATTTGTTTTATTTACAGGAACTGTATGCTTGATATTATTACATTTACTAGTAACTCTACAGGCACAGGTACAGCTCACCCAAAATACAGAGAAAGCCCTGTAAACATTTAACACTTTCACTGGTTAATGATAAGTATTTGTTTTAGAAACTAGACAATTGATATCATTTGTAATGATATGATTACATAAATTTAATAACTTTAGTGTCAAGTAATGTTTCTTTTACCTCAGAAAATTGAAATATATTTTCAATATGTGCATTCCTCAGGTGTATCACACATTTAATGCCTGGCATTATGGGTCAAAATAAAGTGATTTAACCTCAATTTTGAGCTTTCCAAATGAGTGAACTGTACCAAAGGTAACTACATAAGGGGTTAAATAAAACTGATGTGCCGAATGAAACATGTATTTCCTTAATCCTTTGTATAACTCTTAATTTGACTGAGGTCCAAGTAACTTACATTTTAATGAATTAATACAATAAAGATTTGCCACAAAATGATTACCACAGTGAAATAACAAATAGCCACAGTTAAATAATAATTTGCCACTGTGGGATGAAAGCAATAATTGTCTATGTATGACAGGTCTTAGTTAAATCACTCAGGCAAATGGAATATTTTTTTCTTAAATTAATTTGACAATGAAAATGTGTTTATTCATAGCATAAGGCCAGTCTTCAGCTTAAATACAATCAGATTTTCAAGAGTTGCTGTTCCATAATAATAGGAGTGAGTATATTAACAAGAAAGTAACATGCCAAAATAAAAGAAATCTTAAATTAAACATATGACAAACATAAATCATCCGGGTATTGCAAAATAAACACAAAAAAACCAACATGTGTTCATGGATTACAATTAGGGCTGGGGCGAGTATCTGAGTACTCGGATAATCATGAATCAAAGTGAAAAATCGAGTTTGAATATTCGTAAGCCCAGAGATCGTGAATCGCGATCTAATTTTTTTTATATACATTCACTGTTTCTCACACTCATAAAATCGAGAAAAATATGATTTGAGTATAAATTATATGAAGTTTACCTAAATACAATTTGCCGGTTAAAGACCGTGTACCACCATGCTGAGCTAGGAAGTAATTGGTTTCAAAAAAAAATATACTCATCCAAAGAATAAAAACATAAACCTAGTTTATACGTTTAATGTTTAGTATTGTTTTTTTGTTTTTTTAAATAAACATGTTTTTATAACTAATGTACATGTTTTTATGGGTGTCTTGATAACAAAAGATTTGTGGTTCGATTTGTGAATCGTAAGTGCTGAATCATGGTTCGGATCGGATCGTCATCTGACGATCCAGACCCCTAATAACAATAACTGACTTTTAAGAAAATAATATGGTAATTGATTAAAAATTCTTGTATAATTTCTAAAACAATTGTCATACCTTTAATTTTAGCAAGATATACTAAGATTGTTCTGAAATATCTAATTGATGCCGAAATATTCCTTTTATAAATTCTCTGTATACTTTGTGATACCTGAGAGAAATAAAGTTATCTGTCTGTCTGCCAGTATTAATCTGTAATTGACAAGCAATTTATAATTATTCATTGAATTTGAAAGTTGTTTTGACATTAGCTCTATAATGTGTTATATTTTTCTTTATTCAATAAAAGATGCTGCTTTTTTTTTACAATTCCTCTTGATAATTGAATAAAAGGATTTCATCTGAACAGTTTGAAAAAATGGGTGTCAAAATTTTTCTATATTAACATCTGCGGAAAACAGACCTGGGGTAATCATTAATTGTAATCATTGATTTTTAATCGATTACATGATTACACTGTAATCATCATGTAATTGATTACCTTGCCCAAAATTGATTAATTCAATTGTAATTAATCAATTACAGCTAAAATTCAGTCTGTAATCATGATTACAATTTGATTGACATTGATTACTTTCAGATTTAACAGGAAACTATTTTAATTCAAAGGATGCCTTTATTTTACATGATACAGTTTAACTTGTGCTTTACATTTATACAGTAAAAACCCTTAATTAAGACCATCATCTGGGCTGGACCAGATTATTCTGGATTATTCTTATCATTGCGTACATACTTTATGACCCTGGTCTCTTAGTCATTTTGTATGAAAAAAACAAACAATATGTATCTTAAGCTTCAAATACAATATAAAAGACACTATAAAAGTATGGTATGTTTTGATATCTGATGAGAGGAAAACATATTTTCTGAAAAAAAAAAATAACTTAAAAATCTCTTTGGTCAGATTTCAATATCAATTATTATAATTATGAGGTACATAAATCACCTATTAAATAACAAAAAAATTGGAAGCTCTAAAATTTACCTTCTCACCTAATATTTCATACAATAACCCAATTATAACAATTTTTCACACCTTGTGAAATTATGTGTCATGCAAAGCATTCAAGCAGATCATAACCTAGACAGGTGTTGACTTTAAAATCAGTGGTCAAATTACGAAGAAAGTAAAGATTTTGGACTGAATCGGGTGGTCTTGAAAGTGGATAAGCAGTTATTTTTAATTCTGGATCATGTAACCATTGACATAGCGAACCTTGTAAAAAATAGTCTTATTAAGGGGGTGGTCTTAATTCAGGGGTGGTCATTAGTGCGGATTTTACTTTACATTGAATGTAATCAATTATCAATCAATTACTCTCTTAAAGTAATTGTAATTCAATTGATTACAGAAGCAAGTCTGAGTAATCAATAATAATCAATTACAATAAAATCTGAAAGTAATTGTAATTAAATCAATTACTGATCAATGTAATCATCCCCAGGTCTGGCGGAAAATGGTTATTTTAATTTAAATGTGGAGAATCGTTATTACTCTTTGGCAAATTGCGGAATCCTTATTGTGACGAATTGTTACATTACCATTTCAATCTATCTAGCTCTGAATAGTGCCAACTCCTCTCACAAGGGTTATAAGCAGAAATTTAGTGTGCATTGGATTGTTAGTAAAATGTGAATGAGAAGCAAATAGTGCAGGCAATATAAACATGCCAAGAAGCTGAGACTGGAAATGCATTCTAATCATGGTTAAAATGTTAATATTTAGTGAAAGGGGAAGTCAATGGATAATTGATGCACATGGGGTGGTTAAGGATAGTCAGAATATATTGTCGTGCCAAAGCTACATGTAGATTCTGAGATATTTTCATTCTTGGTCAGAATCTCATAGAGACAAGATATTGCCCAGACATAAAATAGCACAATATCTTGTCATGCACTAGAATTAATTAGACTAGTGTAAGGACTGTCCATCAATCCATGCCAAGCCAATTAGCATTTAAATTTGACAGACTTTCATCCTACAATACATATTATATAAAGGAAGTATTTCTTTTTTAATAAAAAATAAATATAGACATAAATCAGATGCAATGATATTATCATATTTATAAACTAAAAGCTTTACAGTACTCAGTAGATCTACAAATGTACTTTGGATAGCTTAATAGAAAATGGGGCCATAAAATTATTCTGCATGTGATTGTGATTCAGTGAACATAAAATACATCATATCTTTTAACAAATTAACTGAATTTATAAAGAAATTTGACTATAAAGGCATATCTATTCTGAAAACTAAAAACATTTCAAGCAGTCTGTGCCAGGATATTAATTTTGTGGTAAACAAAATTCTGACCCCATTCTCTAAAACTGGGTCAGGGTTACTTACCTATCTACAAATTGTTCCAATTTTACACTATTGTGTAAAATGTCACTGAACAAAAAGACTAACAATTTCATTAACAAATATAAATGTAACCACACACACAAAATCAATTATGCACGTGAAAGTAATGAAACAGAATTTTCCATTAAATCGGTGACAACGGTGACACTATTTGCAAAATAAACACTGGTATAGTTTTTAGACGAAATAATATTTCTCAAAGCTTTAAAAAATATTTATTTATTAATGTGCTTACAAGTTATAATAAAATAAGTAAAGAATTTATGAGTTCACAGAACTTAAGTTTCATCCTATTTTCCATAGTTGCTGACGAACAAATAATTAATTAGTCGTCTAACGTAAATTGTAATGGTTGACAGGAAAAAAGGTAAAAATTCGCAAGGTTTTTCTTTCCTTGGTTCTCAGTAGCTATTTATTCAAAAGGTTGAAAACCAAGACAAAAGATATTGAAAGTAAGATATCGTCCAAGTGTCCCAATAAGTTGAAATGAATTTGTATTTCTGTTTTGGAACGCAATGACATAAGTTTTCGCGACCTTTATCTGAACTACACTAGTAATCGGACTAGTTAACTCGGATATACATATAGATCACCCGCTAGGTAAAGATGTACCAAAAAATAAAGATTACTAGGCCCTATTGGTTTTTTACTTTTGAAACTGTCAAAATGTAACTGCCTTGAAAATATGATAACACAGCTTTACTCTCTACACACTAGCCTAGGTTGCAGAGAGGTTGTGTACATAATTGCTTACAGTTACATGCAAACATTAAATGTAATAAACTATGATGAAATTGACATGTCTTTGCAACAATTTTTTCCTGAATTCTATTCTTCTAACTTTTGTTGTCTGTGTTGAACAGTTAAGTACCACAGAAATATGAGGCACCGGTATACTATGTGATAGGATGGGTATTTACGGATCTAATTAAACAGTTAATCTATAAGTTATGAGTTACTATCTTTCATACTTATTGCATGGTATATACAATATTATTCTCAACCAATCAAATTGTTGCAGTGAATACTGAATTGTATAAATAAGCTGACTTTGGCAATGTTAGCTAGGTTAGGTACTGTACCTACTCTGGTCAGTACTACAAGGCTTAGCCTTGAAACATTAAACTGGACTTAGTCCTAAATACAAACGTTTACGTTTATTGTAATCGACCACATATAAAATATATCATAAACATAATCTTAATAAAATGATAAATAGAGTTATTCTTAATATAAAACTAAATATAATTTGATTAGTATACTTATTAAATTTGTTAGGGCTTTTCATATATTAAAAGCATTGATTGAAATTGTATTTACTAGTTGTTGTTGTTTAGTCCATCATCTTTATATAGTGACACTTATTTATAAATTTACTGAGCCCTGAGAATTTACTCCAGTTATAATTTGTGATCGTTTGGTCTCCGTGTAAAGCATTGATTCTCATTAGAACCTGACCACTATTACAACTACAAGCCAGAAACATAATAATTAAGAGCACAAAAATTTAATAACTGGCATTTTATATATAATTGTCTGTAAAGTTAACATAGTTTTTGTAATCAATCAAGCAATATATTATAGTAGGGCCGAAATGTCTTGCGGAAAAGGGCCAATATTTCCACTGGGACTGATTTGGTTTGGGGCCAAAATGCCCTGTTTGCACTAGAAAGCTTTTTTTTCCTAAACATGATGGAACAATCAATGAATCTTATGACTGGTAGGCCATGTCAGGGAAAAACTTAACAAATATATAGACTCTTCACTCACGGGAAAGTAGCAAGATAACTCAGTCCTGTTTTATGTCACCTCAGTGCACTCACAGGTTAACTCCTATTAAATTATAACCTGTTACTTCACCAAGGTGGCGAATAGTATCAGAGTATAAGCCCTGGTCAGGCTGTACAATTCTCACCTTGGACATTTTGTGCCTATTGATGGACTGTGGTGGTTTTTAGCTCGACTTTTTTTTTTTTGAAAAAAAAAGTAGAGGTATTGTTATAGTCAGGTCGGCGTTGCCGTTGCCGTCCGAAAACTTGTACCTGGATCATAACTTTTTTATTTCTTGGTGTATTGTCTTCATACTTGGCCACAACAACCCTTGGGACAAGACCTTTCAGTAGACCACACTAACCTTGACCTTCATCCATAAATGACCTTGACCTTCAAGGTTAAAAGTCCAATTTTTGCTTGTTTATTTTTAGAAATTGCGTCATTTTTTTCTAGTTTTAGAAATTGCGTCATTTTTTCTATTTTTAGAAATTGCGTCATGTTGCTATTTTAAGAAATTGCGTACTGTTGCTATTTTTAGAAATATGCTTAATGTTTCTATTCATATATATATACAAAATATATAAACAAAACTAATGTGACAAGACAGACCAACTAAATTTATAAAAAGGAAACGTCAATATATGTTCAAACCTTTCTATGTTTGCGTTTAGAAAAAGTAAAAAGTCGAGCGTTGCCCCCGCCCGGCGGTGGCTCTTGTTATCTCAGGAGGCAGTGTTATTTGCACTGATTTGAAATAAGAGGAAATACCATCCCAAGCTATACCTGAACAGAATAACCCTGCCATTTACACACTTTCTTCGCTAATAGGTGAACTGTCAAAATTGTGACACACTCCACCACAGAAGTGGTTTATATCTCCTGAGTATTATCTATACTGATATGAAATATGAGGATGGATAACATCAAACTTATGGTTTGAATAGGTGTCTGAACTGAATAATTAGTGGTCTCAAAAGTAGGGAAAACAATGACTAGTGGATATGTGGGGTGGTTTTAATTGTAGGTCATGTTACTATTGACATAAAGAACAGAAAATTCTGTTCTTTTAAAAAATGGACTTAAAAGCGTGGGTGATCATTATTCCGGGGTGGTCATAAGTAGGGTTTCTACTGTACATAATTTATACTGCAAAAAGCAAATTTCAGTAAGTTATTTTTAAAGTTCTGGGTAAAGGCAGGTAAAATTAAAATATATATATATATATAAAAAAGAATAGAGGCTTTGTCTTTTTAAAAATTGGGGAAAAATATATACATTTTTTACTGGGGAAAGGTATCAAATTTCAGCACCAAAGTTCATGAATTGAGAACTCAGGGAAGCTCACTGCTGTCTTGTCACTGATGGTGTTTCCTGACTGTTAATTATGTCAGCTTTGTCATGTGGTTCAAGACAAGATGATACATGGTACATGTTTTACTTTTAATTCTGTATTTCACATCTATTATTTTCACATTTATTCTGTTATATATTTCTCTAGGAAAATGGAAAGGGTAAGCTGTTTAATGATTCCAAGATCAGTGAATTCCAAGAGAAAAGAAGCAACAAAGAAACTAACAAGAAAAAACGAGAATGCAAGAAATGAAGTGAGAAAGTCTCAGCCAGACAGAACTTCACCTACGAGGGATATTGTTCAAGATGTGTTAACAGATCTGGTTAATATAAGCAGTGTACCTGAAGAGGTCAAGCGGAATCAACAAGATTTAAATGTAGTCCCAGCAAGTGTCTCTGATGCAATCAAATCACAGCAAAATGCACCCTATGTTAATGTTGGTCCAGTGTCCTATAGTAAGAGGGTACCAGTCTATCAACGAAAACGGAAAACAAATCAACACATGACTGAGACTGGGCACAATGTTTACACAGGGTTAACCTGGGAGCCAGAGGTTTTTGTTCACCAAAATACAAGAAGTAGACACAGAGAAAGTGATGGTAGGTGACATCAGTTTATAGAATAAATGGAATAGATAGAACATTGATTGCTACTGAACTTCAAGTTTTTTAAAGTAGAAACTAAGTGAAATCAACAGTATAGAGCCTGATCAACCGACTTAAAATAAAGTTTCTTGTTGTATCAGACTGCATGGTGCTTAAAACCTTAAAGACTTATTACAAAATATTAATTTAAATACATATGCATGTAAATGAATAAATAAACAACCAAATTTAGTATGCATAATGCAATCACATTTCTTTATCATTACAAAAATCTATTAAAATCATTAGCATTAAAAAAGTATATTAAGTTGCCTTTCAAGGAAAAAATCCCCTGCTTACCAGTAATGTGTAATGTAACTTGTCATCTTTACTATTAATTTGTAAGATTGTGCAAATTTTTAACCAGGTTTTCAACGAAAACCAGGTTATTGTAATGCCGAAGTCGGCGGGCGGGCAGGCGTCAACTTTTGGTTTCCGCTCAATAACTTTAGTTTGCTTTGGCCTATTGACACTAAACTTGGTGTGTAGGTAGCTTATATCAAGAGGCAGCTTGGGATTGCTACCCAGGTGTCTGTGATCAAGGTCAAGGTCACTGTTACTAAAAATAGAAATTCAGTTTCCGCTCAATAACTTAAGTTTGCTTTGGCCTATTGACACCAAACTTGGTGTATGGATAGCTTATATCAAGAGGCAGCTTGGGATTGCTACCCAGGTGTCTGTGATCAAGGTCAAGGTCACTGTTACTAAAAATAGAAATTCAGTTTCCGCTCAATAACTTGAGTTTGCTTTGACCTATTGACACCAAACTTGGTGTATGAATAGCTTATATCAAGAGGCAGCTTGGGATTGCTACCAAGATGTCTGTGATCAAGGTCAAGGTCACTGTTACTAAAAAAAGAAATGCAGTTGCTGCTCAATAACTTGAGTTTGCTTTGGCCTATTGACACCAAACTTGGTGTATGGATAGCTTATATCAAGAGGCAGCTTGGGATTGCTATCCAGGTGTCTGTGATCAAGGTCACTGTTACTAAAAATAGAAATTCATTTTCCGCTCAATAACTTAAGTTTGGTTTGGCCAATTGACACCAAACTTGGTGTATGGATAGCTTTTATTAAGAGGCAGCTTGGGATTGCTACCCAGGTGTCTGTTGTCAAGGTCAAGGTCACTGTTTCTGCTCAGTAACTTGAGTTTGCTTTGGCCTATTGACACCAAACTTGGTGAATGGATAGGTTATATCAAGAGGCAGCTTGGGATTGCTATCCAGGTGTCTGTGATCAAGGTCAAGGTCACTGTTACTAAAAATAGAAATTCAGTTTCTGCTCAATAACTTGAGTTTGCTTTGGCCTAATGACACCAAACTTGATGAATGGGTAGCTTATATCAAGAGGCAGCTTGGGATTGCTACCCAGGTGTCTGTGATCAAGGTTAATGTACATGTATTTAGTTTTCATGTTATAACTTGAGTTTGCTTTGACCTTTTGACACCAAACTTGCTGAGTGGCAGCTTTGGATTGCCACTAAGATATCTGGGAGCAAGTTCAAGGTCATTTGCTTACAATAGAATTTTCAGCTTCTACTCAATAACTTCAGTGCTTTTCGACTTATTGATTGCTGTCACATCAAAACTTGGTCGTTGAAAACCTGGTTTTCGTCGCATTGCGGCGCTTCTTGTTTAATATTTTTTTAAAATTAATTAACATGTTAGATGTAGCAAAATAAAACTTTTTAGATTCTATCATAAAGAAATGACAGTAAATGTGATAACAGTGAAACATACAAGATCCTATATTTCAGATAGGAATGATTACTATCCTAGACAGTGGGAGTATACAAAGCTCGGTCAGCAGTATTTACGGCATCCTGCAAGGCACAGAGGTATCGAGTTCACTGTAATGAGTTACAATATCTTGGCACAAAATCTTCTAGAAAACAACTACAACTTGTATTACAATAGCCCACATGAGGTGCTAGATTGGAGGTATCGCAAGAAACAGTTGATGCGGGAGCTTATATATCATAGTCCAGATGTAATATATTTACTTATTACACAGAAATATTGCATGAAAAAAAATGCTTATTTTGAAACAGTTTTGTTATTGTATGAATTCTCATTATAAGATTATAAAGTTAATGGAAAAAAAAAACAACCCTGTCAAACACCAATAAGGGGAAAGTAAGTGTGTGATCAGCCTTCATCCTTGTTTGTTTATTTTAGTATTTGTAGACTGTAAGTATTTTAATGGATCTAGATTAAAAAATTTGTTTGGGTTTTATGTGGCACCAACACAGTATAGGTCATATGGTAACTTTCCAGCCTTTACTGGTGGAAGAAGACCTAAGGTGCCTCTCTGTACATTTATTCAGATATAAATGGACTCCTAAGTAGAACCACCCACATTCTATAAGCTAGCTGGATAGCTTTCTCACATGTAGAATCCTACTACACTTCCACTACACCTTAACCACTTAGCACATAATAATTACATACTTTGTTAAGAAATAAAAGTTACTAGAGAGTGCCCCCACTTCTTAGGGTGAGAGAGATGGGTGGAGGGGGCCAAATACAATTCCCATTGCATGTCTGTCCATACCAGTGTCATGCTGTCATAGACTGAAATAACCGTGGAATGTTATGGCATCCTTGACCTGTGGACACATTTCAAGTTTCATTTTCATTTACAAATTTTTTTCATTTTGCCAGAAAGGTATAGAATATATTTATGAAATATATATGAATGTTACTGCTGTAATATTTAAGATTTAGAAGAATTAATACTATAAATTTGTTACAGGTCATGTGCCTACAGGAAGTTAATGCTGGTCACTTTGAAGACTTCTTTCTACCAGAACTGAGAAAACAAGGTGTGAATATTGTCAAATATCATGTTTTCAGCACATTAAGATAATGTTCTGTCTTCCATCAATGTGGTGCCAAACTTATCAATCACTGTAGTGTCAGCTGCATTCTGTAACAACTAACCAATGTCTAACCAACAGTTTTGTACTAAACAATCGCCTCCCTTTAATGTATCGGAGTATTTTTATCCCTGCTGCATCAAACCGCACTAATTTCTATTTTGTTAAGCCACCTTCCTTCCTGTTATTTCAAACCACTTTCATCCTTTTTGTATCAAATCTCCTTCATCCCTGTTGTATCAAACCATACTCATGCCTGTTGCACCAAGACACTTTCATCCTTGTATACATGCATTCCTGCTGTATCAAACCAGTTCCATCCATGTTTTTTCATTCATCAAAGTTTTAAAACCAGACTCATCCCTGCAGTTTCAGTCACAATTATGTTAGATTTTTTAGTATTTGGTGAAGAAAACATGTAAATTTGATTATCTTCATCTTATGTTAATTAAAATTTCCTTTTTTAAAATAGCAAAATTGTTAAAAACAAACAGAAGGCGCTGAATTTTTTTTGGGGCCCCCAAATGTCTGAAAGGTGATGGTTTTGAAAATTAAAACCAATTTTTTTTTGTATTTGTGCCCCAAAGCTTTTTCCCGTGTTTTTTAAATTTAGTAAATTGCCCATGAATAAAACTTTAAATTGGGAAACACTGAAAATATTTAATTCAATTTTATTTTGACCCTTTAAATAATTTTGGGAAAAAAAATTTAGTTTCCTTAAAATGGGATTTTAACTTTTCCCGACCTCTCGCTTCCTAACAGGGCGCAAACCCCTCGGCCACGGTGAAGTTATAAGTTAACGGCCTGAAGAAAACCATATTATTCTAAATTAGGTTTTGTAACCCTTATTATTTTGACGCTAACTTTTGTTTAACACAGATATAAATAATCATGGAGCTTACTATAAGCATGTATATCTATAAAGAATAAAACAATATTAGAAATCTTCGACCTTTCGGGAACTATTTTGCTTGAAAATTAATGCGCCTGTCATTTGACTATCTTTACGCAGTGATCTCCCCTGAATTTTTTGGCGTTAGTGAACATATAAAGGGAAGTAACCGCTTCAAAAAAACGGACTACTTTCGGCATTTGCAATTAAAAGCATCAGAGTCTAAAATTTCGCTTCCATTATTTGTTTGGTCTGACGACCCAAACAAATAAAAATCGTACCTTTTGTCACTTCGCCAGTTCTGAATTTGAGATTTCAGAATCTGTTGTCAATTCTTAATTCTTTATTACAAAAAATATCAAAGGATTTTGACAAAAATGTTGCATCAATCTTTATCCAACTTCACAAAAATAGTATTTTCTGATGTTTTGTTCTCAGAATGTCTATACTCGGGCACATACATTTGTATCATAAAAAATGTAACTACATGTATACATGTATGTAAAATGCTGAGCATCAGAATATTTTTATTTTAATGAGATGTAGAGTACTGATTAACCTGAAAGTGTTATTCATAACAGTGAAGCAGATTGACACTTCTGAGTTCATTAACTTTTTATCATTGTTAAAATCTACAAAATTCACTTTAACATAAAACACATGTAGTGTAAAAAGCTACTTTTGTGACAAACATTCAGTAGTGACTATACTGTATTGTATTACTCAATCTCGGATCCATTGGTTGAGAGGCAAAAACTTCAGACATCAGATCCCACTCCCCTACTGTATACAGTGTATGTTAACTGGTGTAGACCCCACTCTTCTACTATACATGTTATTTGATGTAGACCCCACTCCCCTACTATCTACATTTATTGTTTTAGACCCCACTCCCCTACTATACATGTAATTTGATGTAGATTCCACTCCCCTACTATCTACATTTATTGTTGTAGACCCCACTCCCCTACTATCTACATTTATTGTTGTAGACTCCACTCCCCTATTATATATGTTAACCTCACTCCCATACTTTATATGTTAAGTATTGTAGACCCCACTTCCCTGCTACTTATGTTAGTTGATTTAGACCCCACTTGAGTACTAAATAAATTATGTTAATTAGTGTAGACCACACTCCTTCAATTCACCAGAGATATAACTGTACTACTTCATATATTTTATGTTTTAGGTTATGATGGAGTATACATGAAAAGAATGGGGGATAAACTGGATGGTTGTGCTACTTTCTACAAGAGGCACAAATTTACTTGTGTTGAAGTTGTAAGAGTGCCTTATTCTCAAAGAAATGGAGGAGAACTATTAGACAGGGATAATGTTGGACTGATAGTGAAACTTATTCCAAGGTCAATGCCATCAAACAGAAGTCTTACTGTTGCTAACACCCATTTGTTGTTTAATCCTAGACGAGGTGATATTAAATTGGCTCAGTTAATGGTGTTGTTAGCAGAGATAGACAAGTGTGCATACTCTGGGGCCTCCTATGACAAGTATAATGCAGTTATCATGTGTGGAGATTTCAATTCAGAACCGCACAGTGACATTTATAAACTGATTATTATGGGGTTTTTGAAGTATGAGGGACTGTTAATCAGAGAGATCTCTGGTCAGCAGGAAGGTAGATATGGACGCAGTAATTCAACCCTGGGTAAACATTTCTTTCCCGAGCAAGCAGGTATAAGTGACGATTGTCAGTATTGTTATGTTGTTAGTGAACGTGTACAACATAGCAGTGGCACTGGTAACAGTGGTGATGCCGACAATGACATTCAAGTTATCGGACCTCAGGGAAGTGGTCAATTAAGACATGATCTCCATTTTATTTCGGTTTATGAACACTGGTTGTCAAGGTTACGATACAGATACAGAGAAGTTACAACACACCATGGTAAGGCAGCATGTTCCGTTGACTACTTGTTTTACGGAGTAAGATCAGGAATGACGAGAATCTACGAAGGCGAGGTTCAAACAAAGGATGTACGTGAAGGTCATTTGTGTCTTCTCGCAAGATATGGTTTGTTGTCTAGTTATGAACTCAATGACATGGGAAGTCTCCCAAATTATCAGTACGGCTCAGACCATCTTTGTGTTATTGCCAGGGTTTTTGCTGACAAAATTAAAGAAATAATTTCAGGAGGTTGATATATCGAGTTTTTAATTAAATTTTACATTTAAATTTATATAAACATTTTTTTTTGGGGAAAAATTAGAAACTGATTAAAATAATTTTTTTGTAAAAATAGAGATTAACCCAATGACTTTTTTTCAACAAATTAAATATGACATCTGTTTATGAACCAAAGACTCTCCAAATCAATGGCTGGGTACATTTGACCCTAACGCCACCCTTTCCAAAAAAACACTGACCCAAAAATATAAATTCAAAAAACTTCATAGCAATTTCCTTGGAAACCTTTTTCAAAATTTCAAAAAATTCCTTTCCATCAAAACCCCAGGTTCCCATGACAACAAAGGGGAAAAACTTTTAAACCCTTTTTTAAAAAAAATTTGGGGTTTTATCTTTACAAAATGATAAAGGGCCCAAAATTTTGTAAGTTATTTTGATTGAAAAAACTTGTTCAAAAGGAATAGTCTTCATTCATGATGGGGGAAGCTTATTAAAAAAAAAAAAGTTTTTTTGTATTTTTTCACAGAAAGTATCTCCAAATTTTGTCAGATTATTTTTTTTAATTGGACAAAAGGGACGGGGTCTTTTTTTCATTTTTTAAAGGGGGGAAAAATTTTTAAAAAACTTCTAAAAAACTATTTTTTTCCATATTATCTTTTCACAAAAATATCACCCGGCCCTTTTTACCAAATTCAAATTTTTTTAATAAAAAAACAAAATAAGGGATTTGTCTTTTCTTATTGGGGAAATTTCCCAACTTCTTAAAAAATGTAAGTTTGTCGTTATGATCTTTAAAGAAATTCAGACTTACCAAATTGTTCAACATTTTTAGTAAATAAAATTTTGGGAAGGGTCCTTTTCCTTGAATTCCCGGGGACCAAACATTAAAAGCTTTTCCCCAAATCATTTGACTGGCCAGCCTGTATTCTATCATGTTGGCTGACTACTGTAAAACTTTCATCTTGATTCCCCCATATTTTATAATGAACAATCCAACATTGGAAGCAAGGCAAGCTGATATATGAACTTTGGAGGGTACAGGTTAAATAGAAGATAATAAAAAGAAGGAACAGATAAGCAATGTAGACTAAGAGTATATTCATGTTTTTGTTAAAACTCATTGTACGTTATATACAAAAAAGAATTATTTGACAAATGTGGTCACATAAGGTAATGATATAATTTAATTATTGATGACTTTGATTATTGATCAGAGGTAATGATATATCTTTAATTTTTTTTTTGCCTCCAAATAAATTTATTTTTGTACTTCATGATCTCAATGTTATATCAGGTATCAAAGTTTGCTTATGATATACAGAAACATTGATGTAAATAAATAAGGTATCAAATGTAGTTAGACTTGCATCTCCAGGAAAGGAGAAGAAACAAAATACAAAATGATTGTTATGCATATGTACATGAAATTGGGTACAACAAAATAAAAATCTGATAAAAATGTTAAATGTTGTGTTCCATTTATATATCCATTATCATTATTTTATTTGTTATTACTTTTAAAAAGCTCTTTCTTAAGTCAGTCTAAAGCCCTGTTATTGTCAGAATTGATGGTAAACATTAAGTTGTTAGTTGTCTTTAAGAAACTCCAAAGTTAAAAAGGTAAGAAGTCAAAATATATTGATGTGCCAAAGCTAGATTCTCATATGTTTTTGTATGTTTTCTTGGTGAGAATCTCGTTAGATATTGCCCATACACAAAATAGCACAATATCTCATCATGCCATACAATTAGTTGGACTCTATGGTAAGGTAATATTATTGGTTTTGAAATGTAAAACCTGAATACCTGACCAGAGCCATGCTCTGTGCCCATTGGATGTCTTTGCAACCCTCATACCCTCAGCTGTATACATAATATTTCCCTTTATTTTTGCTCAACCCTTATTATATATTGCAAATATTATTTTCAACAAGGCCTTAAATTCCAATGATTTTTTTTATTTCACAAGAAATTTTGTTCTAAATCTCCATACAAAAATAATGGTTTTAGGTCGTTAAAATGATGATGTCTTTTTTCTGTGTTGATTTAGAATGATAATAATCAAGCATAATTTGACAATCTGATCAGTACGGTGTTGTACGGATTTAGTACGATTAAAATTGAACAGGATTTATTCCCAGTCGTATGTCGTTTAATACTGATGCCGACTACTTTTCGATAGTAACAACCGAAATGTAAACAACAATTTCTGTTAAGTTCATTTAGTAATAATCATCCCCACCTGGTTTACATGTATGAAGTTTTAACAATGTACTAGTGTTGATCGTGAAAAGTGTAATTCTGTGGAAGATGGGCTATGTCGAAACAGCCGTTATGCGATTTTGGAACCCTCGTAAGAATTTCTGATTCTGACGAAGAGGAGGGTGGAAGAAGAAAAAGAAATATGAAACGACACGGAACTCATTCTTCCGATGGAAAATCTAGACCTTCTACGGTTAGCAAGGATGATCAAAAGGAGGAGAATGGTGTCTGGTTTTGGGTGAATAAGAATGGCTTCCCAATTGACGATATGACATGGGAACGAATGTGGGACCATGTTGCAAAGATTCACCCTGATGGTCATAAAATGGTCACATCTATAAGAGGTGGCAATCATGGACAGGTAGAGTCTAGTTGAATCTTACAATGTCATTCAGGACAGTATGTTATTATTTTAAAGCTAGCTAGATTGTTCATGTTCACGCAATTTAAACTATGTTATAAAAAACGAACTTTAAACCACAGGCACGAGTATCGGATTTGGGACATTGATAAAAAAACCTCTGTGTTCATCTTAAATGTGTCAGAAAAAAAAAGTGAAATATCTGCCCCCTTAAAAATATACTATTAAGTTAAGAGAAGACCTATACTCTGTCTTTCGATTGCTTTCTACGCCATTAGCAATCCGGTCAACTCGTCCCCTGGTCAACTCGTCCTCTGGTCAACTCGACACCTTTTTGGTCAACTCGTCCCCTACTTTTGGTCAACTCGTCCCTAATATGGTCAACTCGTCCCCTACTTTCGATCTCTGTCTTTAAAATGTCTTTAAATAATTCTTTTATGTAAAATATGTAAAATTAATCCTGAATTTGATTGATATCGAAATATTAATAAAATAATTACGTCTTTTTACGTTAAATTTTAATGATCTTTATCTAAGTGCACGTGCATAGCTTTGATGTCAAACTACAAAGACAGGTAAGTTTACAAACATTCAATTAATGTTTAATTAATCGGAGTTTAATGATAATTAAAACTAAAATTAGGTCCAACTCTTTTGATTTTTACCGCCTCCCTGAATGGATTAAAGACTGACGACAGATTAACAGAAATTAGAAGCGCTAAAACTTTATGTCGGTGCGTATTGATCTCATTATAGAAGGATCGTGTTAATTAAATGAAAGTGTGAAAGTGAAAGTAAATATATACATGTATGACATAATATTGACAAAAAAGACATACTTTAAGATATTTTATCTTTGCATATAAAACATGTTTTTATACATTAAATGTTATTGCTATTGATCGTCTTCGTGTTGTTTTTTTTCTGTATGTAATTTAATCAGAATTATGCATATATATCCTTATTATAAGATGAAACTCCAAATATTCGCATACAAAAAGCGTCAAAATATGTCCAATTCAGTAATTTTATAATATATTATTTTAACAGTCTATAATGATTTATAAACTATATGAAAAACAAGTAGTAATAAAATATAAGAGACGAGTTGGGGACGAGTTGACTAGAGGACGAGTTGTCCAGGGGACGAGTTGACCAAAAAGGTGACGAGTTGACCAGAGGACGAGTTGACCAGAGGACGAGTTGACTCTGAATCCGCCATTAGGCATCCTTGTGCGAAATGTTGCGGTTTTTTGCTTTTGGCCAATCAGAAGGTCCCTTACAAAATACCGAACAGCTGATTTACAATGGAGTAGGAAGGAATAGAAAGACTGTTGAGAGGTCTGAAACTTGAATTTCGGGTGTATCAGATGCTACTGACGGTTGTGAGTGGACCCATTCAATGTATCTAGTAATATTATTTAGTAAATTAAAGTGAGTTTGACGCATACTCGGCTTACAAACATGTATTAGTCTATATTTAAGTACCGAATTGTTGTGCCAATTTTTTGTCTACCTGGGAGTTTTAGCACGAATTTGCTTGTTTGCTGATAGGTATTTCATGAACAGGAAGAGCTACAGACTTGGGGTCAGTCTCATTATGAAGCAACAAATGTGAAATAGTGATAAAAGTTTTTTTTAAATAGTGATACAAGTTTTTGCTCGTAGACTCGAATCTGGAGTTTTTGGCCTTCTCTTAACTTATATTTTTTTTTTTAGTTTGGTTTATGACACAATTAAGCTGAACACAGAGGTTTTTTTATCAATGTCCCAGGTCAGATACTCGTGCCTGTGCTTTAAAGTAGTGTACTAGGTATTGTACTTATTTTATTTAACACATAAACCAATGCAAAGGAAACGCTAGTGTTAGTGTTACACTATGTGTGCGTCAATGCCTTGTTATTCACAGCAACTTCAGACTATTATAAAATCTCATTTTTTCCTAGGACTTTACCACTGGTACCACAAACCCCTTGCCATACCCCAGAGCAGTTCAGTGCACCCATAGCTTGCATTGAACATGTCTAACCATAGTTTTCCAGCCCTCCTGTTTTTTAAATTTTTGATATTTTTTATCCTCTTTAAAACAATTCTTTTTAACTTTGTGATTTTGACTGCAAACATGTCTACGTCCCCGCGAGGGGTTTGGCATTAATGGAAGATTCATGTACAATGTAGATAGGTAGATCAAAAATGACTCTTTTGTTACTGTGTAAATCATTATTCTTTTGTATATGTGATAAGTAGAATATTATACTCTTGTAGATTAAATACTTAATTTATCGTTGGATAAAACAATATGATTTTATTCAAAACATTTAGTAAATTTCAGTATTAAGTCTTCACTCATTTAATATCCTCTAATCTGAAAATGCTTTGTTCAGAGAATAAGGTGAGATTCTTGGAAATTAAACTTGCTTGTCTATGAAGGGCATCAAATATTTAGTGCATATGATAATGATATATAAACACCATGTAATAGTTCATTTTTTTATTTTATATATTGCAGGTAACAATTCCACAACCTCCAACTAGTTTTTCTCCTTCAGTCACTATTTATGAAAGATTAGAGAAGATCCAGAATTACATGAACACACTTCAGTATCCTTTAGTTTGAGATTTACTAAATTCTGTTTGTTGACTTAATTAGTTTGTTATATGATATTATTATATAATTTTTTTTATGAATTATATGTAAATTCTTTTGAAAAAGATTCAAAGTAACAAGTGAGCAAATTTTTCAGTCATTAGGCATGCCTTTGCCATAACAAATGACATTACAGATAAAGAAATGCCTACACTTCAGTCCCAATGTAAGGCTCTATGGAAGAAGTTAGAACTAGTCTAATAAGTAATAAGCCCTTCGTCTTGTCATTACAAGCCTCACAAGAATTAGAACTAGTAAGCTTTCTTGAATTCTCTTGGTGCCTACTAAAAGTTAAGAAAATGCTTTCAAATAACTTGGATGATATGGACTTAAAACTTCCAAAGATGGTCTGAAACATCACTGGTCCATCATCATCTTGTAAACACCATTCCCTCTACAGTCAGTCATCACAAAGTACATGTACTTCTAAAATAAACAATAATGGAATCAGAGGACAAACTTGATGTTGGGTTAAAACTTTAAAAAAAATAGTCAGTTGCCATTAATGGCAGCAATTCTGACTCAATCCTAGTATCTTCTAGTGTCCCCCCTTCCCCAAGGCTCAGTCTAAGGGCTCCTTTTGTGTTTTGCTTCCTTGAATGATTTCCCACAATGAACAATTCCATGTCATCTTGTTTGCAGATGATATCGTAATGTACATTGCTCTGACATATGCAAACTAAATGGTTACTCTCAAAATTGACCTTAATCAGTTAGAAAAAAGGGAGATGGAGTGGGCATTGAATTTAACCCCTCGATGTATCCATGCCACAAAAATGAAAAATCCTAACTCTTCTTGGATTCCAGTTAAAATTGGTAACCACAGCTAGGTGTGGATATTTCAGATAACCTTACATGGGAATTACCCCTATAAACCACACAATCCTGAGGCCATACAATTTCCTTAAAATTCTGTTTCAGATAAGTTGTTTTCTTTGCCCTTTTGTGAAAAATACTGTGTTATTCTCCAAAGATTAAGGGAAGGGCCCCTTCCCCTTCTTGTGAGAAAAAAGCCCTGACTAGATCTTAGGGCTGAGGTTATCCCCCCCCCCACCCCCCTCTTTTGCTACTCCATACCCAGATCAGTTCAGTGCAGCTATAATTAACATTGAACATGTCACACCCTAACTTTCCAGATGCCCGATGTTGGTAATTTTAAATTTTCTTCCTTTGTTCCCTTTTAAACATCTCCATTCAACCTACTTATGATTTTTGACATGAAAATCAATGAGTTTGACATTATTGGATGATAGATGTTTTTACAAATAAAACTATGTGTGTTATAACCTTAATCTATAACAGATACAATCATACTGGTACTCAGTTCTTTGAAATCAAGAAAAATAGACCATTGTCTGGGTAAGTAGATCTGTCCTTATTTTATATACATTGTTGGAAGGTATTTGAATAAAGAAAAAATACTTCAGGAGTATTTCATATCCTTATGTTTGTTAAGTACCCTTAATTGTGGAAAGTTTTACCAATATTATCATAATTATTTTATTATATACAAATATTGCTTATGATAGAAATGCTGGGTCAATATTGCCCTTTATATTTAAATTTTTTTTATTCAATATTATAATTAAACGTTATGATGGCGGCATGGCTGAGTGGTTTACATGTCAGACAAATTATCAAAGGATAGCTTGGGACAATCTGTAAGCTTATAGTTTTTATACACAAATTAAAATAAATTCTATACTAACTACCTGTCTATTATATTTTACAGATTGTTGGAAGTTGCAAAGGACATGATAAGAGAATCACTGCCAATCAAATGTCTTGAAGCTATTATTCTTGGAGTGTATCCTTTTAACAATTCAGATTTTGATAAACCAAGTTGAAAAGTTTGTACATTTGTCTCTTTTTAAATTTCTGTTATTTCTATCTGTTTTGTTTGTCATTTCATGTCTAACAATTATAATGGGCCTAAATGGTACTTCATATAGATCTTAATGTATAATATTCATTAGCCTTTTTAAAAACAAAATAAAAGGAACACACAAAAAACGAAAATAAGTCTTGACAGTACAGTGATTGAACATCTTTGTTGTGTTGAAATCATTTATTACATAACAGAAATCTAGTGTACATTGTACAACCATTTCCAAATTTATTACATTGTAATCTTTAACATATACAAAGATTCCTGACAAATGGCTTTATGGGGATGGAAAGATTTGCAATTAGTTTTAAGACACAGTTTAATGGTAATACTCATCGTCATGTTGTATTAGGAGTGTATCACGCTGGACGTTACGGGGCACTAGGTATGTCTCGTAGGGATGATCTCATGTATAAACCTTTAATCTTCAAGGTATGTTCTTCAGTTCTTCTTTAATCTATTACAAGAATAGATATATTGCTATTTTAGATGTAGATTATATGTATTTGCTCTAATATTTTTGCCTGTTTTGTTTTCAGTATTCTAATTTTTTTAAATGAATCATAATGTACCTTTTGTGTTTGCAGAATAATTTACTGAAACATATAATATTGAAAATATTTCTATTATTTTATAACTGTTTTCATTTTGTCTTTGACTTATACACATTAAATTAGTTTACAAATAATACATATTCAACATACAATTTGATGTTTTCAGTCATTGTCAGAGCTGGTCTTAGATTATGAAAGAGCTTATAAGAAATGTAAGTAGAAATTAAATTTCAAGTAATGATAATAATATTATCATTAACCATTATAACAATCAATTTGCTGGAACCATAATTGATTATTCTTTGCTGTCATGATAGGTCAAGGCCAGCTTGCATGTCCGTGCAGTCTGACTAGGTTCAATACTGTTGGTAGCTCAGTTTTCATATTTTGATTTTAAAATCCCTAAAACTTCAAATAGACTGTTCCATATTTCAAAGTTGGGCAGAACCATTCCTCAAATTCAGCAGGTTAAAGGTTCATTGTGTTGAGCTGTTATTACATGGTTTCCTTAGTCATGCATATTTAAAAATGTGCTACAGTGATGCATGTTCACCTGATTGTTGAATAATGCATGTTTTCTTTTTGGTTTCTGTATACCTGCCTGAGCAGTTTTTATTCAAGAATTAAAGCAGCATATTTCCAGAGTTATGATAATTAAAAATTGTTCTATTTAGGAAAATTTTAGTTTATACAGAATTTATTTTAGTTCAATTGTGTTGGAAACTTATTTAAACCCTTTTGAGCCAGTTCCTGGAACCAACCAGTACTTTGTAATGAATGTAAAGTTTCTTGCTCAAGGAAACAACGTGTGGCCAGCGGCCAGCAATCCTTAGATTAATAACCAGATGCGTTAACCACTCAGCCATGCCTCCACTACAAAACTTTGTTATTGTTACAATAAAGAGATTTAAGCTGATCTATGACATTCCTTGTTCAATGTTCCTTTAGTGTAATAAAATATGCAGGAGGGGCCATTACAGTTATCCCATTAGTAACAGAATAGAAATATGCTATTAAAAATTGTGAATATTATTGCCCTGATAATGATTCAATAAGGGATATTTTACACAAAAATTTCTTATTTGGTTTTTCGAATATTTATACAGTTCCTGTTTTCTTCTGTTTAAAATTGACTAACTTTTCAAAGCATTTTAGCTGTAAGACATTAATAGCTATTTCTTCACTTAATTTATATATAAAGTAGCTATAAATAGCTCCCACTATGGTAATAAAAGTGATAATGTTATAATAAAGTTAAAAATTACATAGATAATATTATATACAGTCCATTAGCAGGAAAAAAACACAAAGACCGCTGCAGTGTAGTGGTTAGCAATCCAGAGACCTGTGGTTCGGGTCCTGGTAGTGGAGTGCCAATTTTTTCATGTGTAGATATATATCACTTATCATAGCTGTAAGCACTAAATAACTTGTATTTATAGACTGGCATGATGTTAAGAAAATCAAGATTGGTCTTCCTATATCACATGATCCACATAGTTATGAGTTTATTAATTGGAAGGTAAGACCTTTTTTGTTACACATAAACATTTTGTTTTTAAAGCCAAAGCCCTGTGACAGGACACTCTTGTTGGCTCTGTGGGAATTGCATTAGGGTTGCAGATCTTATACTTTATTAACGGCATTGCAATCAAGGAAATTTTCTTTGCCTTATATTATTTTTTCAAATACTGAAAATTTGATATATCTTAGTACATATATAATAATAAGTAATAGCAGAATCTTTCAAATAGATTAGCCCAGGTAATAGTTATAGTGAATATTTTTCTCTTCTTTTTTTCAGTCTTTGACCTTGACCCGTAATCGTCTTACACAACAAGAGCTCATCAAAGAGATAGATACTCATGCTAAGGAGATCAGAACAAAGGTATACTAACTTAGTTCAGTATTCTGAAATATATAATTATAATATTAAACATTCAAAATGTAACAGAAGCCAAAGTAATTAATACGGACAAAATGTCTTTTATTTTTTGTCAAGCTTAGAAATAAAGATAACTAGTGGCCCAAGAAGAAGTTAAATGAGTATTTTCTTATGAGGCTTTTTATTTATGTTTTTTTAGAATTTAGTATTTTGAAGGAAATGTATTCTTGCCAAAGACATTTTGTCATGCCCAAGACCAATGTCCATACGATCAATGTCACACCAGGATATGAAAGGTTTAAAACACAGATTTCTTGACCAAATACTAGTAATAAGTATATGCAGCAGTGTGTGATGCCTTTTAACCACTCCAAATCCATCTTGCAAAACAGGTTAAATTTTTAGGACAGATTTTTTTGTTTGTACAAGCAATATCTAGATAGCATATTGTCAAATTGGACAGCCTTGTGTCTATTAGAAGGTCAGTGTCTTTGTTGAAAAAAAAAAAACAAAAACAAACTGATACCCTCTTTATCCTGAAAACATGTTGTAAAATCTGTTGATCACTTAAATAAGGGTATGAATTAACAATGTAAGAGAAAGGAATACTCTGTGTGAAAAAGTGTTATAATTGTATATGAATTTATTACCTGTAGGGTAAATTATGCTGGAGTTTTCGTACAGGGCCTCTACTTTTCCTTCGTAAGGTATATACTGCACATTATAATGGTTTATAGGGATTAAAGTCATATTGCTGTTATAGGTCTTAGCATTGTTGCAGTTTTTATGCATTTATTAGAAGCACTAATGCACATTTTATGGACTTGCAGTTTAAAAGCTGTTCCAATTTCTTTATTAACTGTATAACACCACACTTTCATTTTCATCTTAAAGTTGTTTTTCTTTTCTTTTTTTAAATGCAAGTGTATATAGACACAATTTAATTCATAGTATTTGCAACTCTTATTACATGTTTTGCATGTTGGTTATATTCATTGTAATTATTAAGCAAATATATGGTACAGTGTACAACTTAGATAAATTTTAAAGCAGGACTCTTGATGAAGTGTTTAAAAAAAAGGAAATAAGCACTGGTTCTTTTAACAAAAAAAATGATAAAAGAATCCAAGGAAGTCTCTGTAAAAGAGTACAGATATATGTACATGTAGTTTATTGTGCCTGAAAAAAAAAATGCAGTAAATTTATTAAAGTTTTTTTTGAGGATTTTTCTTTCGTGTAACTCTTAAATTGATAAATATTATTTAGAAATCACACATATTGAGTAGTCATTTTATTAAATACCCAATAGCCGGAGGGATAATTTTGCTCATATGACCTTTTGTTCTTCATGGAAGTTCTTTTATGTTTTTTTTATCACAACATGTTTTTTTTTCTTACTTTGTTTAATAGTTGTAATTTAACCTATTTGGACCAGTCATCATATGATACAAGATATTTAGGATTGGAGTTTCATGCAGTGAAGAACATTAAATCACAAAAGTTTTTTACTGGTAATTAGAATACTCTAGACAAATCTGTTTTCTGAAATAAAAAACAGAGCCTATTTTATGCTACTCGGTACTATAAGCCCATATATTTCTTAACTTTTTTTCTCTAATTATGAAAAATAAGTGAAGCAAAAAGCACTTTGTGAACCAGATTCTGGATAATATCAAACTATTTTATTAGTTTACATTGTATTCTTGCATTTCACTTTGATAAACTGCTCAAATTGAAATAGCCATTTTAACCATAGGGAATAAAATTACAAAATTCCTAAATGCATTAAGGAATTTTATTATAAATGGCTCAAATGTTCACCATTATGAGACAAGAGTGATTTGCAAAAAAATCAGGTCCCTGTGACCTAGGTCAAGGTCACACATAGAGGTCATAGGCCAGATAAAAATATGAAAATGCATCTATGAACAACTTTGTTATCTTGAATTGAGGAATAATATCTTAAACGTTCACAATCACTGGACAGAGTATTGCCAGCAAAATTCAGATCAAATATATGCAAGTTCAAGGTCACCAGAAATTATTAAATGTAAAGATTTCTGTCCAAAGCTAACTTCTACATGGTTAGGGGATTTAATATTATTTGACACAAATGTTCACCATCATGTACATTAGGTCAAAGGTCAAGGTCAGATTGCAAGTATATAATTTGGCACAAATATTTAATAAAGTGAAGCAAAGAGTTGTGTGCCTAATTCAGGTCATTGTGGCCAAGGTCACATGCAGAGGTGCAAGGTCAGATGATTTTTTTTTTTTGAAAATTGACTATTTAGGCAGGGATTTCATCATGTTATTGTTATTAGCATATTTTGTGACAATAGCACACTTGTTTGATATGTCATTCTCTTTAAGTGTAATGTAAGGTAATATACAATTCTAGAAAGAAAAACAAATGTTTGGGATTGAAAGTTGCAATTGTTTTAGTAAATCTCAGTAGGTAAAACTAATTTCTATAATTCTACATCTGTGTGAAAGTAAATAACCAACAAGGGATCTTTTTTTGTGGATTTTTAAAAGAAATTTATTTGTTTTGACTTGACTACACAGACAATTTTTTTTTTAATTGGAATGCACTACAGATCATCATTGCTTCCAGTACTCCGCAAGTTTTTTTTACTTCAGTTGTAATTTCACAATCTTTTTGTTTAATAACAACAAATTTTTGTCAGGGACTTCATAGAGACTTTGAGTCACCTACATGTTTGTACTCTTCAAGAAAAAAGGTAAAAAAACTGCTACATGTATATAAGACTGGGAGCAGATTTTAACCAAAGCTTGACAACTAACTGAAGGCTTTAGGCTTACTATAATATCAGGCTCTTAAACCAAATTAATTTGCTCCAATTTTAGCTCATCATAATAATGTACGATATATAAATTTTGATGTGACCGACATAGGATTAGTATGGTTTTTGTAATCTTATTTGCTAGAATATGAAATAAAGCACTGTACATAATGTATTTTGAACACTAACATTTGTATGATGAAAAAGATGTTTGTGAATGGTACTAAAGTAGAATTTGGTTATATATTTGATTGACTAAGGTATTGTAATACCTTTGATGGACATAAAACAATTCACTCAACTAACAAAAAGGAAGCCAAAAATAAGATGGGCCAATTCTTTTAGTAGTGTAGATAAAGGCAGGCATTTGTTAACCTTTTTGTTATTTTTTTCCTCTTTCTGTATTGCCAGCTTCAGAATAGCAGTGATATATAGAGGTATCACCAAAGATATCTGGTGCAAGGTCATTCAAACAAAATCAGTACCAAGTCTAGTTGTGCATATTGTCATCATTATTCCAGTTCAATGATTTTTGTCAGAGTTATGGCCCTTTAATGATTTTATTTCTTAAATTTGTCCGGACTTTCCCTTATACTTCTAATGAAATTTAATTGAAATATTACAGGATTGATCGATACCTCAAGTTCTTGCACATATCTAATGGGTTTTCCAGTTGAACAATTTTTAGCTGACTTTGCCCATAAATAAAAAAGTTGTTGTGGCCCATTTATGATTTATGTGTTGCCTTCTGTATTGTAGCTATGACATGCCACAAATTAGCTACAAAGTAGCCATGACATATAGGGAACAAACTGTCCAATCGCCCCTCAGTACAACTGCTCAATCTGTGCTATCTGTGAATAGGTCCTGTTTGAAATGGAAATTAAACAGCAGTATTTTGATAACTTGATTAATTAAGTAATTTCATACTGGTGTATAAAATGCTACATGTATCTTTGCAATTTCTGCCCATGTTCTTACATGTATATTTATTTTGTTACATATATCTGTGTGTTTATATGTAAATTTATTTTTATTTTCAAAACTTATTGAATTTTAAATCCAAGGATCGGGCAAATTAGAAATTTCTCCCTGACAATTGATCTGGAACATTGAGTCTCTTAACTAGGAAATGGAATAAGTTAATTTAGACACAATGTGTTAAAATTGGCATAAAAACAGAAAATCAAACACAAACAAAACATGTGAAAATTATTTGACATAAGCTAGTTAGTTTCATTTCATATTGATACTGTCTGTATTCAATTATTATAATTTAGTATATTTTTAATGTGCAAAGCGTTTTACAGGGTTTTATTTTTAATAAATAAGGAGCTAAGAGTCAGACTATCATGCATTTTTGTGCATTCTGACTATACTTTAAACTGTTGATTTGTGAGACAGACCTTTAGCTCTTCTTTTTTGAAGTAAAATTGAGCTATTATGATCACTGCGGCGGCCTTTAACATTTTTCTTAAAACTTAAATATAGCCTATTATTCAACCATTTTAAAATTTATCAACATGAAACTTTGAATTCTTGCTTATCATGACAAAGTGCAGACGTTAGACAAGGGGCATAATTCTGAAAGCAATATTTTTGGGGTTATGTCCCTTTTTAACTAAGATTTTTTTTTAGTGTTAACACTGCATGCGGTGCTCTTGTTGTATTTTGATACTGAATTCCCATGCACTACTATTTGAGTATTCCAAAAATTCAAAGCAGGAGAACTCCATTATACAAATTCAGTGAAGTAAGGGTTAAGTGAAAATTAAACATCTCATAGATAAGATCAAGTATACATAATTATTTTTCAAAGAATTTTAAATATAAACATTTTGATTGAATAAGAGATACGTTATTTTAGGATGCAATTATAATGCAGATTAAACAAGTGTTTTACCTATGCAATGTAAACATTGGTTATTTCTTTTTATATGCATGTTCTACCTCTGTCTGCTGCAATAAAATATTGATGTGTTGTTTGCCTGTACTGAGACTAATGGGTTTTCGAATTATTAACAATAAAACTTCAAAAGAGATATTTGACATGAGTAAAACCAGACAAAACTATGTGATAAACATATAGATGTAGCATACACTTTCTCCCACTCCTATCATAACATAGCATGCAACTGAGATACAGATATACAGTCTGCTGGCATAATAGTTTAAGCAATTCAGTTCGTATCAGTAATTTTCCGGAAATTATATATATTATATTATATTAACTGATATTCAAATAGAATATCTAACATTGAATATTGAACTAGATTTGAAAAAAAAAAGAATAGGATTCAGTGACCTTGCACTATAAGATTGAATGAAGCATGTTGAACAGAATGGTTTTAATTCGACCTGTTTTAATGTAAACATTAAGTGCTGCACATAAGTACAGAATAATATTAAAGCTGACAGAGATAGTAGACATGAAAAGAGATAATCCATAATTCTTGTTTCAAGTTTTCATCCATAATACACATTGTCTTACCGGGTCACGCAATCGCCAATGAAAAAAAAAATTGAGTATTTTTCTTTGTTGTTTCTTTTTTTGTTTTATTTACATGTATTTGTTCTTGTTGTTTTTTTTCTATCACAGGAAGCTCCTTGATGTTGTGATAATATCGAACATGTTTAAGGTTAATTCAAACTTTTTTTTTTATTAATGGCATTGCATTTATCATGCCCCTTCTGGCTGAAGGATTACAGTGAATGGTTGAGGCATAAGAATTAGAGCCACCGTTTATCCCTGTGTAATCGCGACTAAATGAGTTTGAATAACTGGAGTCTATGCATATCTAGCTCCAGAAGGTGAGGTGGATTTGACCCCTGGTGTTGGTTTGAAGTTTGTGACGACCGAGGTTAGCCAAAATCATCTTTTCTGTTTTGGCGCCATGTGACCTATACTGTGTTGGTGTGCTGTAAAAGCAAACAAACAAACATATACACAACATCTATATATTTAATCAAGTAATCTGTAAACAAATGAATTTTCTATCATGCTACAATACATAAGCACATGTATATGAAAATCTTTCAAGATGTTTTGGATTTGCTTTAATGTTTTGATTGTTTTTAGTCACGATCCTGGTCAGTTCCACAGACAAGTTCCCCACGGAAGTCACATTCATTTATAGATGTAAACAGGACTAGAGCTTCCAAATCTACTGGCGTCCAATCACCACAGTCAAGTTATGGACAGGCTATCAAACTATATCAAGGGTATAAAAATTATTTTGTGCAGTTTTTGTGCATGTGATAACTTAAATGACCATAAATTGTGAATTATAAACCTGACTTGTGCCCAAAATGTTGAGTAATCATGATTAAAAAAAACATTGTAAAAGAAGATCTGTGACACCAGTATATTGCCAGACACAGCTATCCTGATGCCAGCCCCCATTGCTCAGTCGGTTAGAGCGCAAGACTTGTAATCTCAACATTGTGGGTTCGATTCCTGGGCTTGCCAACTAAAATTACTATTCAATCTTTTGGAAGAGACTTTACATTGAGGATGTCTATAAGTACCTAAACACTTGGCTTTGGCACACTGAAGAAAAAGGAGTAACTTGTGGAATTAGGGCATTTTTATGCCCCCGCCATATAATTTGGCATATGGATATATCATGAGAAAATACAAGTCAAGTTCGAATTTGGTCATGGTTTTATGATTTTTGGCAGAGTTATGCCCCTTTTACTATGAAAATAATATGAAATTTTTCAGTTTCCGTTCATTATCTCTTCAATGGTATTACACATTCAACTCAAACTTGACATATGGATATGTCATGAGAAAATACAGGCCAAGTTCGAATTTGGTCATGGTTTGATGATTCTTGGCAGAGTTATGCCCCTTTTACTTTGAAAATAATATGAAATTTTCAGTTTCCGTTCATTATCTCCCCAACGGTATTACACATTCAACTCAAATTTGACATATGGATATGTCAAAGGAATGCACAGGTCAAGATCAAATTTGGTCATGGTTCAATGATTTTTGGCAGAGTTATGCCCCTTTTACTTTGAAAATAATATGAAATTTTCAGTTTCCCTTCATTATCTCCCCAACAGTATTACACATTCAACTCAAATTTGACATATGGATAAGTTAAAGAAATGTGCAGGCCAAGTTTGAATTTGGTTCACGGTTCAATGATTTTTTGCAGAGTAATGTCCCTTTCACTTTGAAAATAATATGAAATTTTCAGTTTCTGTTCATTATCTCCGGAACAGTGTTACATATTCAACTCAAATTTGACGTATGAATATTTCAAAGAAATGAGCAGGTTAAGTTCGAATTTGTTCATGGTTCGATGATTTTTGGCAGAGTTATGTCCCTTTCACTTTGAAAATAATACGAAATTTTCAGTTTCCGTTCATTATCTCCTCTAGGGTATTACACATTCAACTCAAATTTGACATATGGGTACACCAAAGAAATACGCAGGTCAAGTTCAAATTTTGTCATGGTTTGATGATTTTTGGCAGAGTTATGCCCCTTTAACTTTGAAAAAACGGAAATTTTCAGTTCCCATTCATTATCTCCCCAACAGTTGTACATATTCAATTCAAATTAAAGATATGGATATGTCATAAGAATGCATTGGTCAATTTCCAATTTGGTCATGGTTTGATGATAGCTGACAGAGTTATCTCTCTTGAACTTAGAAAAAAATCAGAAATTTTAAGTTTCAGTTCATTATCTCCCCAGTGGTTGTACACATTCAACTCAAATTTGACATATAGATACATCTTAGGAATAAGCAGTTCAAGTTTGGTCGTTGTTCAATGATTTTGGACAAAGTTATCTCCCTTGAATGTTGGAAAAATTTTGAATTTTCAGTTTCAGCACTCATACTTTTGTGGAAATGTATGTAGCCATTAATTTGGCTAGAAATATGCAATATGCAATTTACAGAAGGTTAACACTGAATAGTTTCAGTGCCTTGAACTTTGTTTAAAAATGGTTTGTGTTAACATTGAATAGTTTTAAGGGCTTTGAACTTAAAATGAAAAAAATAATTTGTGCAAACAAATTTGAAACTAAATTATTATAACATCTAAATTTTGGCTGCATGCAGGGGCATCGGTGGCGTGACGACACATTTCTAATTCTGTATCTATGTCTTGCACTATCCTCAAAAAATCTAAAATGATTAATACTCTTCTGGAGGACTAGCCCATTTTGACAACTGGTGGCGACTATATATAAACTCAAAAAATACCGGGTACACACCACCCAAAAAGCTAAATTCCCCTTTGGGCCCCCTTTACTTTTGAAAACCCTTTTATACCTGTTAGCTCCTTGATGTTGAAATCCTTTACACTATTTGTCGTCAGTTGTTTTTATACATACCGATATATAGCTTTTATACATAGTTAGCAAAGTAAAAGTGAAGAAACTAAAGCTTTAATAAGATTTCTTTTTCATTATGATTATGTACTACAAGATAAAGCGAAAAGATCTCATTAAAGATATTACAATACAATTATATTATATTATATAACATAATTATTATTTGTTGTCACACATTCAGATGATATTTACCTGTTTTAAAAGACAACAGGCCTTGTTTAAAGATTTTCATGGCTTTTTTCTGGTAAAAATCTTAATACTTTGATAATGTATATTATTATCATACATATATTATATTTCTACCTATCTGTTTATTAAGGGCAACAGCAAAGGAAGTAATGAGTGCTGGGAAAAAGAAGGAACAACCAGACATCTCAGAATACCAGATTCGAATTTAACTTTTGAAATGTTCTCGCAATTCTCACATCAGAATTATGATCTCAGAATTATCATCCTGTTTTTATGACATCTTTATATGTGAAGACTGTATAGAGATTATACAACACAAGTGCCAATGTTTTGTAGGTTAGCTGAAATATTTATATGTTAAAATATAGGGTAACATGTGTGTGAGAGAATGACAATCTGACATGAAAGAAAGTGACCAAGCACTTTTATATACATGTACTATCTGAGAAATTGATGAGTGATGAATTAATTCTATGTGGAATAAGTTTATTTATACTGTGATACTGATTCATGTGATTTTTGTAAAAAAAAGTATTATTTATAAAAAGTAAATGGATTTGAAGCTTAGAATGTTTGAGGGAAAAAAAACCTTAAGATATCATGCTGAGAGGGTAGGGGGGAGTGTTGTTTGGGGTCATTCAGTTCATAGTGTGTGGTTATGACATGTGATGATATCTAGTCATCAACTTGATGAGAATCATTTGACTGTGATATACCAGTATATATGTGCTGATTTTATTTGTATACAAAATAACTTTATATTTTCTCTGAATAATATAAGTTTTTGTTTTTTATTTATTTTTATATACATTGTACTAATATTGGATTAATGCTTCGAAAATTATTTTCATTTATATATAGCTGTTGGTGTTGTTGTTACAGGCATAACACGTTTTATGTGTTATGCTTATAGCTTACTTGCTGTGTCATATTTATTATAAATATTCATATTTTAAATTTTTATCACATGCTCATTTGATAGGGGACCAAGTAAAGTATGTGGATAGATGTTAGTTGGTTATTAATCCCTTGATAATAGTTCAGTAACTCAAACCTGTTTGATGTACAATAACCATGGAAATTACCTTTTCTGGAGTAATAGATCAAAGGCCATTGTCACAGCAGCCTTAAAATCAAATAATAAGAGTAATTAAATACTATACTGGGCAGGAACCAGTTTACGGACAGAATTCGAGTTTTTTTAATTGTCTATTTTTAAATAATAAACATGCATTTATAAAACTAACATACCAAAAACCTGAGCTCTAACACAATTAATACTGCCTGGTGACGTAAGCAATGTACAAACTGAAGGGTTAAATTAGGTCATCAATAGTGTAAATTGTTCACTCTTGCAGAACCAGTTTCCGGACATATATTAAGCTGCTATTCATATCTGTTTTAACTGATAATTATTCTAATATAACAAAAAATTTCTTCTCACATATTAGCTTTCTTATATAATTAAGCTGATTTACTGAAAAATGTTTATGATAGGAAAAATAACGATCAGGTGATGGGTCTCGGAATGACTGAAAAGTGAAACGGATATTTTTGTGTGTACGGCAGCAACGAAGTGCGAAAGTGGAGTAAACCTAGCTAAACACCATTTTCCGATACGTTACAGATTTAGCTATTGGGAATTACACCCAATGAACTTCGAATGAAGTACATTGTGCATTAATTGCTACCCCAAATTATATCCCAAAATAAACAAAATATTGCGCATGCGCAGAACCAATTACATGCCCCAAAGGGATATAAGGCTGTTTTTAAAACACAGGTAAGATATCCTCACGAAATTTTAATGATGTATCAACTTGGAAGGAAGTTTATTTTCTCAAACAATCAAACCAAGCATCTTCATGACATATAATACCGATCGTCATCGATAAAGCCAAAATTAAGCCGTTATAATACTTGTCCGGAAACTGGTATTGTCCGGAAACTGGTTCCTGCCCAGTATAGTTTTTAAAATTTTACACTTTCTTTTCTAAACAATCAGCATGATACAGGATGACAGATATAAGTCTGTTTTGTTGCTCAACATGGTTTCTTAGACTTTAAAATTAAATGCCCAACATGACTTGAATTTAAAGGGTTGAATATTTTACCAGGTTATTCTTTACTACCTGCACCAATCCCACACTCACAGGCTGTTTTGAGGATCCTACTTATTTTATAAATGTTTACAAATGCTTTGTTTTGAAATTGTGTATTTGATGAAATTTTACATAATGATTGTAGAATAGGGCAATTTGATTTACATTTTTAGCTCATCTGTTCAAAGAAAATGCTGATCTATTATGATCGCTGACTTGTCAACATTGTTGTCATGTTGTCACGTGCAAAAACCTGGAATGCTTGCTTATCATGACAACACGCATTAAGAATACTAGTCTTTAATCTGAAAGCTTTATATTTGGAGATATGCCCGTTTTTTACATAGAATTTTGTCAGAAATTGCTTAATAAGTATAATGGTTTTAAAACTATGAAAGCTGTCAACTTGGAATTCTGTTTTATGATTACAAAGCATAGTTGTAACAAAAGGGACTTTTACTTAGAGATATATTTGTGGAGTTATGCCCCTTTGTAGCTTAGAATGTTTATAAAAATTGGTAATTAATTAATTAATGATAATGGTTTCCCATATCAGGTGAGAATTGACACTACATGCAGTGCTCTTGTTGTAAATGCTTATTTCAAGAGAATTATTTATCAATGTTATTGATAAAAGCTTATTGCCTATTTAAAGTTCTATACATGTATTATGCTCAAATTTGATATTTACAAAACCTTATAATTAACTTACAGTCTCCTTTTTAAATGGAAAATAAACATCTTGTTTAGAACTTACAGATAGGTATGTTACATCATCCATCACAAAACTTGTCTAGACTACTCCTGTGATTGTTTTTAAGAAAGGACCACACTAACTAGGCAAGTAATAGGAAATACAGCTTCCCAAACATAGTATGCACACTCTTTATCATATTAGACATATGAAATAAGAATTTCCTAGAATTCAATGAATTTCTGCAATAAAAGTATTTCACCCAAAGATGAACATAGTATATATCTTTAACCTATCTTTTTTTTTTAGCTCACCTGAGCATGCTCAGGGTGAGCTTTTAGGATCGATGATTGTCCGTCGTCCGTCCGTCGTCCGTCCGTTCACATTTTGTTGTCAACACTCTAGCGGTCGCATTTTTGCCTCAATCATCATCAAACTTGGTCAGGATGCTTATCTAGTTGATAGCTCGGATGAGTTCGAACATGGGTCATCTCGGATGAAAAACTAGGTCACAAGAGCTAAAAATAGAAAAACCTTGTTAACACTCTAGAGGTCACATTTTTGCCTCAATCATCATCAAACTTGGTCAGGATGTTTGTCTAGGTGATAGCTCGGATGAGTTCGAACATGGGTCATCTCGGATGAAAAAGTAGGTCACCGGAGCTAAAAATAGAAAAACCTTGTTAACACTCCAGCGGTCACATTTTTGCCTCAATCATCATCAAACTTGGTCAGGATGCTTATCTAGTTGATAGCTAGGATGAGTTCGAACATGGGTCATCTCGGATGAAAAACTAGGTCACAAGAGCTAAAAATAGAAAAACCTTGTTAACACTCTAGAGGTCACATTTTTGCCTCAATCATCATCAAACTTGGTCAGGATGTTTGTCTAGGTGATAGCTTGAATGAGTTCGAACATGGGTCATCTCGGATGAAAAAGTAGGTCACCGGAGCTAAAAATAGAAAAACCTTGTTAACACTCTAGCGGTCACATTTTGGCATCAATCATCATCAAACTTGGTCAGGAAGCTTGTCTAGGTGATAGCTCGGATGAGTTCGAACATGGGTCATCTCTGATGAAAAAGTAGGTCACTGGAGCTAAAAATAGAAAAACCTTGTTAACACTCCAGCGGTCACATTTTTGCATCAATCATCATCAAACTTGGTCAGGTTGCTTGTCTAGGTGATAGCTTGAATGAGTTCGAACATGGGTCATCTCGGATGAAAAAGTAGGTCACAAGAGCTAAAAATAGAAAAACTTTGTTAACACACTAGCGGTCACATTTTTGCCTCAATCATCATCAAACTTGGTCAGGATGCTTGTCTAGGTGATAGCTTGCATGAGTTCGAACATGGGTCATCTCAGATGAAAAACTAGGTCACCGGAGCTAAAAATAGAAAAACCTTGTTAACACTCCAGCGGTCACATTTTTGCCTCAATCATCATAAAACTTAATCAGGATGCTTATCTATTTGATAGCTCGGATGAGTTCGAACATTTGTCATCTCGGATGAAAAACTAGGTCACAAGAGCTAAAAATAGAAAAACCTTGTTAACACTCTAGCGGTCACAATTTTGCCTTAATCATCATCAAACTTGGTCAGGATGTTTGTCTAGTTGATAGCTTGGATGAGTTCGAACATTGGTCATCTCGGATGAAAAACTAGGTCACAGGAGCTAAAAATAGAAAAATCTTGTTAACACTCTAGTGGCCACTGTTTTGATCCAAATATCCTGTAAATTGGTCTGAAAGTTTGTTTTGATGATTTCTAAGTCAAGTTCGAACATGGGTCATCTTGGATGAAAAACTAGGTCACACCGCCCAAATATTGAAAAACCTTGTTAACATTCTAGTGGTCACATTTTCGACTCAATTATCATCAAACTTGGTCAGGATGCTTGTCTAAGTAATTGCTCGGATGAGTTGGAAATCGCATGTGAAACTAGGTCACCGGAGCTAAAAATAGAAAAATCTTGTTAACACTCTAGTTGCTACTGTTTTGATCCAAGTATCCTGGAAATTGGTCTGAAAGTTTGTTTTGATGATTTCTAGGTCAAGTTTGAATATTGGTCACCTGGGTAAAAAACTAGGTCACACTGCTCAAATATGGATAATCCTTGTTAACACTGTAGTGGTCACATTTTTGGCTCACCTGTCATGAGACTTGGTCAGAATGCTTGTCTAGGTAATTGTTTGGATGAGTTTGTTGGGTCAGGTGAGTGATCTAGGGCCATCATGGCCCTCTTGTTTAGTCAAATGATGCGTCTTTTAACCTTTATTTTAATGGCAGTCTGTTCTTTGTTATTTTGATAGATAATTGATATATAAATGATTGTGTTAATTGAATTATTTCAATATCGAGTATTGTTCTAATTAATTTGACTGCAAGTAAAGATACTGAAAAAATAGCCATTATAGGAAAACAATATTGAGTATTGAAAGATTGAAGATTTCTTGTGATAAATTTTAGAATATCTATACATTGTTGTGTTGTTTTTCTTTTATCACTATAATTTTTTAAAAGTATATAATATATTTGCAACATATATATTTTGTTGTTGTTGTAATTGTAGTAGTATTGCTATGGAAAAAAATAAAATTTATGTTTCTAAAACTTAGTTATTGTGCTTTATTATATTTCTTGATGAAAAGAGAGGAAATGATCTTGAATTTGGAAATATGGTTGGAGTATTTGTTGTTGTTGTTTTTTTTTAAGAGAATATCAAATTACATAAAAAAAAGAGAGAGAAATTTTTAATATAGTTGAAAGATGTTTGTTTTATGATACATTTCTTTTTTACAAACACAAAGATTTTCTATTTATTATAAAATTACACTGGTCCAGGTGAGTTAACAAATTTTAAAAAAATAATAAAAAATGTAAAATTAGCAAAACATTATGTACGTGTATTATGAGAGTCTACCTGGAGAGCATTGGATTCATAATCCTGATGTTGGCTCAGTCCTTAGGAGAGAAAGAAGTTGATATTGCTAGATAGCTAGTTATCCAGGAACTTTGGTTAGGTTGACCAACAAACGAGATATTTCCAATAGAGGTGTTAAAATCAACTTTAAAACATATTAAACAAAAGAAATATAAGTGTAAAAGATGTACAGAATCTGCTGTAAACCTTTCTAATGTTTCTTTGTGTAAAACATGAAGGAATTCACTGTTTATATCATGACAATTCTACCTGTTAATGGCTATTTTTTGTATATTTCATGGTCATGGTAAGATTTCTGAGGTTAAAAATTCTTTTTCTTTTCCTCATGGAACCTTCATAATTATATTGACTGATATTTAATGTATTTGATTAGCACTTATTTGCATGGACATGGTTTTTTTTAATGTGGTTTGAAGCGTACATGGTCAATGTCAAAGAGGCAAAAAAATTGATTTCTTTCTTCTAATAGTTAGGTAATGTTAATGATGACGTCAAAACTGTGTTGAAGAGCTTCCATTTATGTCACAGGTGATAATGAATGGTCATGATCTTCAAATTGCTTACCTTTCTGAACTTAAGCAGCTAACAACATAATATAGTTCTAACAAGCTGCATGCGTCAATGTTATGTAATCACTGATATATTTTTCCAATATTACAGAAAAAAAGTCACAAAATCATGTTGCTTGATACACAATAAAACTTGAAAATTTTAAATGTTGTTGAAATACTAAGAAAATATTAGGATTAGGACATATAAAATTTTTAAGAAAGGCCTTTTGGTACATTACTAGTGCTCACATTATCTAGTCAAGGTTTCAGGTAAAAAAAACCTATACATCAAGTTTACATAATATTATGTACATTGTTTATATCAGTCCGTCCTTACATTAAGGTATAAAGAGGTTTGAGAGGATTTCATGCTTTGGATAATATTTGAAACTATATGTTTAACTTTTTGAGTTCTTACATTGATAATAACAGAACATTTATCAATATTAAACTTGTTAGCTACTTGATTTTACAATTCCTTTAAGTTAACTAAAGACAATTAGCCAAATAAGCAGTATAACTTACATTTAGCAAACAATATGGTTGAATGTTTTTATCAAATTTTTCTTTATTTAGAGCTGTTGTAAACAGAAGAGATTCCTTTTTTCAACCCCTAACCTGCCAGTATTGATGGGTCAGCCTGTACATTAATGTAGTCTTAGCAGAGCCAGACTATTCAAAGAGAAGTGGGTCTTTCCTATGCCCATGCATGGGCATCAGTGTCAGCTCTAGTTTATAAAACTTTGGTTAAAATTGTATGTGCAACTCAATGTACAAAATCACATCTCATCAAATACTTAAAATATTTCCTTATAACTTGATAACATTTATTTAAGATCTTATAATACTGCATGTTTGTAACGTCGCTTTGCATTGGATAATCGTGACATTTATATAGATTTATATACACGGCTCTTGTTGATTTATGAAGATATCACAAAATGATGCTTGCTGTATTATAAATTCATTATAAAGATTATTGACAGGTTATATGGCCCTATATAAAGGGCTGTTTGCAATATAACCCTCGCCTAGCAGCTTGGCTTATATTTATGAACAGCCATTTATATAGGGCCATATAACATGTCAATAATCTTTATAACCAATAATATAATTTATTGGTTGATATACAAGACTTATAACTTGGTCATGTATGAATTGTCCTATATGTTAATTACTCTTGTTTTACCATTGAGCAATTAGAATAGTCAAGCATGCACCACTCTTGTATATTGATATCCCTTAAATTTTAATGGACTGTTCCAAATTTTAATCATGGCAAATCCATTTCACATATTCAGAAGTCAAGGGTTAAATGCTTTTCTGCTTGGCAACCTGTTACCTTAAATGTGTAAATACTCCAGATCTAGAAGTGTTATTATGATATTATTGACTTTTAGTGCAAACCTCTCATAATTAAACATCAATTTATTGACATATAGTACTTTATTTTTTCTCACACCTAAAAAATATTGATCTTTCTATATGATACTTACTTCAAAATCAATGTACATAAAAAACGCTCTTAAATTGTAAGGATTATTAACCAAAATTGCATTTATTTTATTTAACCCTTTCACAACATGAGTAATGGACCTATTAATAACCATATTACAATTTCAAAGTGCCCATTATTATTTTAAGGCCTTTCCTTATAAAAAGACTAAAATTGATCTGCCAACAGGAATATAGTCAAACTGCCCACATGTGCTGTTAAAACTGGCATGGCTGTTAAAACATGTCATCTTGAGGCTGGCCAAGCTGTAAACACAAATTGAGATTGACCTGGCTGTAAACTATGTTATATTGTGGTGGCCTGGCTTTAAACTATGGCATATTGAGGCTGCCCTTGCTGTAAACTATGTCATATTGAGGCTGCCCTTGCTGTAAACATGTCATATGGCTGTAAACTATGGTATATTGAGGGTGGCTTGGCTGTTAACTGACATACTGGGGCTAGCCTGGCTGTAAACTGTGGCACATTGAGCTGCCCATGCTGTAAACTATGGCATATTGATTCTGACCTGGCTGTTAACACATGGCATACTGAGGCTGGTCTGGCTGTTAACACTTGACATTATGAGGCTGGCCTGGCTGTATACATATGGCTAATTGAAACTGACCTGGCTGTTAACACATAGCATATTGAGGCTGGTCAGGCTATTAACACATGACATACTGATACAGGCCTGGCTATTAACCCATGGCATACTGAGACTGGTCTGGCTATTAACACATGTCATACTAAGGCTGGTCCGGCTGTTAATGCATGTCATACTGAGGCTGTTTTGCCAGTTATCACACAACATACTGAGGCTGGTCTGACTGTAAACACATGGCACACTGTTGTTGGTCTGCCAGTAATCACTAAACATACTGAGCTGGGTTTTTTTTTTTTTAATGCGTTTATTTAAGGTCGCCGCCGGAAAGCCATATGGGCGACCGTACACTCAAGTCGGGCCATCCTAGAGCGTCCTGCCGAGATTTTTTTTCGTCGATTTTTTTTTCCAGCTTTTATTGGTGGAGGAAGACCCCAGGTGCCCCTTCGGGCATTATTTCAGGCACGAGCGGGCACCTGGGTAGAACCACCGACCTTCCGTAAGCCAGCTGGATAGCTTCCTCACATGAAAGATTTCGACCCGAGTGAGGATCGAATCTACAGCGGTAAGGGACCTGTGATCTCAAGTCAGCGACCTTAACCACTCGGCCACGGAGGCCCCTTACTGAGCTGGTCTGCCAGTTATCACACAATATACTGAGGCTAGCCTGTCAAACTAAGATTAGCCTGGCTGTTAACATTGGCATACTGAGGCTTGCCTGCCAGTTATGGCATGGCATACTGAGGCTTGCCTGCCAGTTATGGCATGGCATACTGAGGCTTGCCTGCCAGTTATGGCATGGCATACTGAGGCTTGCCTGCCAGTTATGGCATGGCATACTGAGGGCTTGCCTGCCAGTTATGGCATGGCATACTGAGGGCTTGCCATAGCTGTTTTAACATTGCATATTTGATGCTAGCCTGGCTTTCACTCATGGCTTAGGTTTATCACTTTAGCCATTAGTGCTGAGTTACTAGACAGTAGTTTAGTTTGAAACCTCTACAATAAGCAAAGAAACCTAATGTTTTTCAGTCTTACCAGGCTCTTTACTTGTAGATGCTTAGTTTTATAATTTGGATAATGAAATCCCTTAAATTAAAAATGGATAAATCTGAATATACAGCAGGACAAGTCCATTTAACACATTAAGGTTACCAAGCCACAATACAAAACATTCTTCATAAAATATTGGCATCATGATTTGATATTGTAATTTATTACAATAGTTTTTTCTCTAAATTACAACATTGTCTGCATTTCTCATATAATGATAGAATCAAATTGAAGTGCTCAGAATAACTTGCTCTTTGTTCAGTGTAGAATGAAAGACTAAATTATACCTTCACATTATCATTGTAACATGATCTTCTATTGAAATTTAATCTTTTTGAAAAGCAATATGGAATCTTTTACCAAAAATCTGTTGATATATAATTGTTTCAAAAATTTATGTACATAATTGTACACCGAATGATATATTTTCTGAAAAATTTAAGTTATTTTATTGTGTTTGGTGGTGTATTCAGGTTTTTAGTCTTGTAAACTAACTTATTCTAAGCTGTATAAAATGTTTGCGCTTAAAAAAAATTTCTTTTAAATTTTACATTGTTTTTTATTTGTTCAGGATAAGTATATTTTTCTAAAAGTAAGATTTTTCTAAGGTACAGAATGTGATATAAAAACAAAATAATGTGGAATAAAAAGTCAGAAACTACAAATATCAGTATCCATTGGTTTTGGTGAATACATACCGTAACCATTTGGCACTTAATGTAATGTAATGATTTACTTAAGCCACCAGTTCTATTAGGTCACTCATTATCACCATAATTACAGAGACAAGTACCTGTATCCTTACTTTAAATCTTAATTGGTGCCTAATCAAGTAAAGAATTTGGTGCCTGATCAAATGAAGGATTTGGTGCCTGATCAAATGAAGGATTTTGTGCCTGATCAAATGAAGGATTAATGGTGCCCATTCAAGTGAATATTTGGTGCCAAATCAAAT